CAGAGAAGGTCAGAGCAGTATTAGAATGGGCACCACCCCGCACAAGAAAGCAACTACAAAGTTTCCTGGGCTTTGCAAATTTTTACCGCCAATTCATCCCCTCATTTGCACAGATAGCCTTGCCCCTCACTAACTTACTAAAAACGAAGGGAACATCCTCAGTAAAACCTAGCCAGCCACTAACATGGACAATGGAGTGCAAGCAGCGTTTGAGAGACTAAAGAGACTTTTTTCTGCCGAACCAGTACTAAGGCACCCAGACATGGACAAACCCTTCATAATACAGGCAGATGCAAGTGATGTGGCAGTGGGGGCTGTGCTATTACAAGAAAATGATGATGCAGTATTGCAACCCTGTGCATATACATCCAAGAAACTCACGGAAACAGAACAGCGCTGGCCCGTATGGGAGAAGGAGGCTTATGGGATACGTTGGGCATTACTCACATGGCGACAGTTCCTGGAAGGCAACAAAATCCCCTTCCAGGTGTGGACTGATCACAAAAATTTGGAAGCCCTGAAAACTTCCAGGAAACTCAATCCCAAACAAGCCCGCTGGTCCCAGCATTTTCACCAATTCCAATTTAAGCTCAAACATTTACCAGGAAGAAAGAACTTCCTGGCAGATGCACTATCTCGCATGCCCCAATATAACAGCGCACGAACCACAGACTCTAGACCAATAATGGCAGAGTCACAACTGGCAGCACCAGTAACCACAAGAACCCAAGCCAAATTAAAACCACAACTGGACAGCCAAACTGGAATTGAATCAGAAAAAGTTTGGAAACAGATGATTGGTTCCAGAAAAACAAAAATGTGTGCACAATGAAAGACGGGTTGCCTTGGATAGGGGAAAAAGTTATATATACCAACAACTCAAAGAGTAACTTTCATGCACCTTTGCCATGACACAAAATCAGCAGGGCATTTTGGATTTGTAAAAACTTTACATTTAATTAAACGGCAATTTTGGTGGCCATCCATGAAAAAGGACATTGAAAGTTATATAGCCAGTTGTCCAAAATGTGCCACGGCAAAGAGGTTGCAAGGGAAAGTGCCAGGACTATTGCAAACAGTGGCAAGTCCCTCAGCCCCCTGGAGAGAAATAGCCATGGATTTTATAGTGGAATTGCCAGAAAGCAATGGGAATACTGTGGTCTGGACGGTCACGGACTTGTTTTCCAAACAGGTGCACTTTATCCCTTGCCAAAAGATTCCCACTGCAAAAGCCTTAGGAAAACTTTTCATCCAACACATTTACAGATTGCATGGGGCACCCCAACGCATCATCTCTGACAGGGGGGTGCAATTTACGTCTGCATTTTGGAAGGAATTTTTTCCCTCTTAGGAACCACTCAGGGACTGACATCTAGCCACCACCCTCAAGGAAATGGGGGGGCTGAAAAAATGAACTCAGTACTTAAGCAATATTTAAGATGTTTTCTTAGTTTCCAGCAGACCGAGTGGGCGGACTTACTCCCCTTTGCAGAAGTTTCCTACAATAATGCAGTCCACTCCAGCACAGGTTACACTCCTTTTCAAATAGCCACCGGTCAAAGTTTCAACCCCATGCCAGAATTAACCCCAAACGAACCAACGATCCCCTCGCTGAAAGAATGGATGGAAAAATTACAAAACACCTGGCCAATAGTCAGAAAAGCACTAGATGAAGCTAGGCAGGCTTACAAAACACAAGCCGATAAAAAAAGGGTTGAGCCTACACCATTCATTATAGGAGAGATGGTGTACTTATCTACAAAATACCTAAAGTCCCTACAGCCCTGTAAAAAACTTGGACCAAAATACATAGGACCTTTTCCAATCAAAAGAATCATAAATCCAGTAACAGTAGAATTAGAATTACCCAAAAATCTCAGGCAAATACACCCAATTTTTCATTGCAGCTTGCTGAAAAGAGAGCATCAGTCACCTCTACGGCCAAAAATCCCCCCCCCCACCACCTCCAATCATGGTGGAGGGTGAACAACACTTCGAAATAAAGGAAGTCCTTGACTCTAGGAGATATCATGGAGCAACTCAGTACCTAGTTGCCTGGAAACACCTCCCTCCCTCACAAAATGAGTGGGTCCATAAACGTCATGTCAGAGCCCCGAAGCTATTGAAGAAGTTTCACACAGAGTATCCTAACAAGCCTGACTAAATTTTATACTTGTGTTTTCTTCAGGTGGATCTCTCTTATTGTTAAGAGGGGCCGGATGTCAGAATCCAATTATATTTCATCTTTAAATTATCAAATATAGAAACTCCCAATTCTGCCTTCTCTGGATTCTGCCATAAGAGGGAGAGAAGGGGGAGAACAAAGGGGCTTTATGGCCCTCACTTCCTTCTTTACACTTCAAAGAGCTGAATGCTGAATGTGTGTTTATTGTAACCTCGAAGCGTTAACCTACCAAAGGAGGGAAGTTGCCTTTCATGTAGTTATCTGAAGTCTCCATCCAGACGGAAGAAAGAAGAAAGGGAGTGGAATTGTGATACTTGAAACTATAACTGGAAGGGGGGTTGATTGGGTGGGACTACTGGGGAACCCCTTAAAACCTTGAATGGGAGAGCTTGGACCCCAAGTCCTGTCTAGCATGCCTACAACCATTTTCTCTTAATAAAGGATTCCTGTTGGAAGAATTATTCTAAGAGTTCTGTCTTCTTAAGATGCAAAGTGGGGTGGGTCCTTACAATCAATTAGCATGTCCATCAGGTGTGAGTCCTCCGAGTCTGACTCATTCTCCTCACACAGCTGAGCTTCATCAGGAACACGACTGGAGGGCCCAGGCTCTTTATCAAACTGTGAATCATGTAATTCATCTGAGCCTCCCTCTGACCCTGATGGCCCTTCAAATGCCTCTTCCACCTCCTCCTCAGATTCCTCAGACTCAGCTGTTGGGAACACAGGCTGGCACGGAATCACAACAGGATGCATCCCAGCACCCATGTGCTCGCCGGCCTCTGTGTGCAGGAGCCGATAGTGTCAGGCAGCCTCACCTGCCTCACCTTGCCCTGTGACAATGGCATGCCCGCCCTGCCTCGCCTTGCCTCACCCTGCAGGATGAGCCTCCTTCCCACTGCCCCACCTGCCAGAGACCCCTTGGATCTCCCCCAACCCTGCCCAGCCCCCACAGGTGTCCCTCCCCACGAGCAACATTGAGGTGATCATGCCCACCTTGGCCACACCCACCCAATCTGCCATGACCACAACCACGCCCACCCAGTGGGCCACACCCACCCAGCAGCCAGCGATAAATAAGTGGGTTTTGGGTTGCAGTTTGGGCACTCGATCTCTAAAAGGTTCGTCATCACTGGACTAGAGTTTCCTTGGGAGCAAAGTGGAGGGGGAGAGGTCCTCTATGCACTCTAAGCTTGGCTGTTTTCTTGCACTTGTTTCATTACCCAAAGTAGGTTAAATCATCAGTGCTAGACTGATGGAAGTGATTTGCCATCCATGGCATAGATTTTGGCTTCTCAGCCTGGTCTAAAAACCTGGAATTCAACCCAAAATTTCTGTGGCTAAGCAAGAGAGTTGCTGTGTTTTGCCCCATTTTACGACCTTTCTTGCCACGGCTGTTAAGTGAATCACTGCAGTTGTTAAGCTAGTAACAATCTGCTTGTCAGAAGGTTGCAAAAGGTGACTACATGATCCTGGGACACTGTCATAAATATGAGTCAGTTGCCAAATGTCTGAATTTTGATCACATGACTATAGGGATGTTGCAATGGCTGTAAATGTGCAAATGGCCATAAATCACTTTTTTCAGTGCCATTGTAACTTTGAATAATAATAATAATAATAATAATAATAATAATAATAATAATAATGATGATGATGATGATGATGATGATGATGATGATGTTGGAAGGAACCTTAGAGGTCATCTAGTCCAACCCCCTGCTCAGGCAGGAAACCCTATACCATTTCAGACAAATGGCTGTCCAGTCTCTTCTTAAAAACTTCCAGTGTTGGCGCATTCACCGCTTCTGGAGGCAGGTTGTTCCACTGGTTAATTGTTCTAACTGTCAGGAAGTTTCTCCTTAGTTCTAGGTTGCTTCTCTCCTTGATTAGTTTCCATCCGTTGCTTCTTGTCCTGCCTTCAGGCGCTTTGGAGAACAGCTTGACTCCCTCTTCTTTGTGGCAACCCCTGAGATACTGGACCACTGCTATCATGTCCCCCCTCGTCCTTCTCTTCATTAAACTAGACATACCCAATTCCAGCAATCGTTCCTTATATGCTTTAGCCTCCAGTCCCCTAATCATCTTTGTTGCTCTTCTCTGTACTCTTTCTAGAGTCTCAGTATCTTTTTTACATTGTGGTGACCAAAACGTAATCAGTATTCCAAGTGTGGCCTTACCAAGGCATTGTAAAGTGGTATTAACACTTCACGTGATCTTGATTCTATCCCTGTTAATGCAGCCTAGCACTGTGTTGGCCTTTTTGGCAGCTGGCTTATATTTAAGTGATTGTCCACTAGGACTCTGAGGTCCCTCTCACAGTTACTACCATTGACCAAGGTAATATTCACTAAAGGAATGGTTATAAATTGAGAACTACTTGTAGCCTACCATCCAGGTTCTAACCAAGCTGGACCATACTTAGTTATCAAGCGTAGACAATATTAGGCAGGTACTGCTACCTGCAATAGCAATCGCATTTAGACTTATATACCACTTTACAGTGCTTTACAGCCCTATCTAAGTGGTTTACAGAGTCAGCATATTGCCCCCAACAATCTAGGTCCTCATTTTACCAACCTCGGAAGGATGGAAGGCTGAGTCAGCCTTGAGCCAGGTCAGAATCGAACTGCCGAACTGCTGGCAGCCGGCAGTCAGCAGAAGTAGCCTGCAATACAGCATTCTAACCACTGCACCACCATGATTCAATCTCACCGAATCCTTCCAGGAGAGCTTCCCTTTCTTTGCCCAATTGTTTCTGGTTCTTGAGGTCTTCAAAGCAACCTGACTGGTCAAAGCCAGCCGTCCCTGGACTCACCTGAGACAGAAGCCACCAGTTTCTCAGACACCGCAAGGCCCATCACCGCTTTCTCATGAGCCTTGAACTGATGGCAGCAGTCAGAGCTACTCTCAAAAGTCTTCCAGACACAAAGGGACCCATCGCCGAGGCCCACAACCAAAAATACATGGTGTAACCAGGCCAGGCTACAAACAGCCACATCGCTTCCTTGTAAATGAATCCGGCTTGTCTGAAAGCCTACAAGAATAAGAGAACATGCATGGATGAAAAAGATATCTAAGGATTCACGCTCTAATAATACTTTTCAGACTTGAGACCAATTTAGACTCAATCTGCAATATGCAGTCTTTCCTGATTTTTTTTTTCCCTTTAAAAAGTACACACATGACTGATTAGAGATCTGGTACTTTTAACAGGTGAGCAGATCATAAAGACACTCAGTAAAAATAACCACAGCATGGAGAGATAACACACAGCTCACAGCAGCTAGCAGGAAGGAAGGAAGGAAGGAAGGAAGGAAGGAAGGAAGGAAGGAAGGAAGGAAGGAAGGAAGGAAGGAAGGAAGGAAGGAAGGAAGGAATTCAGACAGGCAGGCAGGCAGGCAGGCAGGAAGGAAGGCAGGTAAGCAGGAAGAAAGGAAGGATGGAAGGAACACAGGCAGGCAGGCAGGCAGCAGGCAAGCAGGAAGGAAGGAAGGAAGGAAGGAAGGAATGAAGGAAGGAAGGATGAAGGAAGGAATGCAGGCAGGCAGGAAGGAAGGAATGCAGGTAGGCAGGAAGGAAGGAAGGATGGAAGGAACACAGGCAGGCAGGCAGGCAGGCAAGCAGGAAGGAAAGAAGGAAGGGAGGGAGGAAGGGAGGAGGAAGGAGGGAGGAGGGAGGAAGGAATGGAGGGAGGAGGGAGGAGGAAGGAAGGGAGGGAGGGAGGGAGGAAGGAAGGGAGGGAGGGAGGAAGGATGGAAGGAAGGAAGGATGGAAGGAACACAGGCAGGCAGGCAGGCAAGCAGGAAGGAAAGAGGAAGGGAGGGAGGGAGGGAGGGAGGAAGGATGGAAGGAAGGAAGGAAGGATGGAAGGAACACAGGCAGGCAGGCAGGCAAGGAGGAAAGAAGGAAGGAAGGGAGGAGGGAGGGGAGGGAGGGAGGAAGGATGGAAGGAAGGAAGGATGGAAGGAAACACAGGCAGGCAGGCAGGCAGGCAAGCAGGAAGGAAAGAAGGAAGGAGGGGAGGGAGGGAGGAGGGAGGGAGGAGGAGGAAGGATGGAAGGAAGGAAGGATGGAAGGAACACAGGCAGGCAGGCAGGCAAGCAGGAAGGAAAGAAGGAAAGGGAGGGAGGGAGGGAGGGAGGAAGGATGGAAGGAAGGAAGAGGATGGAAGGAACACAGGCAGGCAGGCAGGCAAGCAGGAAGGAAAGAAGGAAGGAAGGGAGGGAGGGAGGGAGGGAGGAAGGATGGAAGGAAGGAAGGAAGGATGGAAGGAACACAGGCAGGCAGGCAGGCAGGCAAGCAGGAAGGAAAGAAGGAAGGAAGGGAGGGAGGGAGGGAGGGAGGGAGGGAGGGAGGAAGGATGGAAGGAAGGAAGGATGGAAGGAACACAGGCAGGCAGGCAGGCAGGTAGGCAGGAAGGAAAGGAAGGAAGGAAGGAAGGAAGGAAGGAAGGAAGGAAGGAAGGAAGGAAGGAAGGAAGGAAGGCAGGCAGGCAGGCAGGCAGGCAGGAAGGAAGGCAGGAAGGAAGGAAGTTATTATAGTTCCCCATAATAAATAAAGGAACCAAACTGCATCACCAAACTTCCAACCATAGCTGTCTTACGCCAAGGTTGGCTGTAGATCCAGATGCCATCTGAATGGTGTCCCACAGCCAGTCGACTTCCATCAAGGTTTGAGGCCACGCACAAGGCTGGGGAAAGGTCTCTTGATCCTAAACTGGTCCAAAGTTGCCCCAAGTGGCCTTTGCAAATCTGGACCTGTGCAGCAGGATACAATGATCAATTAGGCAACACACACAGGAATACAGATGGGGATTTACTAATATTTATATAATTCATTGAGGGGGAGGGAAGAGAATTAACCTGCCAATAAAAAAAAGGTGCCAAAAATCTCAATAAAATTTCAGTTTTTTTTTTTTTTTAAAAAGACCGCATACACAATCATACTTCATTGGTTTGTCCTATTTGTGGCTAAACTCCAATGCAGATGGTGTGGGATTTCATATTAATGGCCATGTCTTTCTTTAATAATCAAAGTGGGTCTCCAGCTAGTTAAATGGATTAGAAAATGACAACAAAAGCAAGAGTTTTTCATCCTAGTGAGCTATTGCTGCATGTTGTGGACTGTTGCTGAGTTGGAAAAATGTGAATTAGAAACCAATTTTTCCCAAAGCCGGACTCTTGGGGGTCACTCAGAATCCCCACCCAGTCTAAATCTTCTCACTCCTTTCCATAGACTATGGGCTTCTCACATGCTTTATTTATGAAGGAAAAGTTGTTTTGGGCTTATATTTGTAAGTCTTACTTTTATTGAGATCCTTTTCTCATGATAAACTATTTTTAATTATTTATTTAATTTATTAATTTATTATATATATATATACACACACACACACACACACATATATATAAATAAAATAAATATATAATAAAAATAATATATATATATATATATTTATACACACACACACACACACACACATACTGCATATATAAAATAAATAATAATTAAATTAATACATATACATGTTAATGTAATTTATTATTAATTTATTTAATAATTAATAAATATATACGTTGAACTCTGCCTGGTTCCCAACCAGCAATAATCTAGTATAGACTTCTGTAAATTCATCAATCTACTGGCAGAAATTGAAATTATGACAGATACATTATAAGTGCAAGAGAATTTTCTAATAAGGTTAGTCCTCAACGTATGGCCACCACTGAGCACAAAATTTCTGTGGTTAAGTGAAAACATTTGCCAAGTGAGTTTTGCCCCATTTTACGACCTTTCCTGCCATCGTGGTTAAGTGAATCACTGCAGCTGGTAAGTTAGCAACCAGGCTGTTAAGTGAATCTGGCTTCCCCATTTGACTTTGTTTATCAGAAGGTCGCAAAAGGTGATCATGTGACCCTGGGACACAGCCAGTGAGTCAGTTGCCAAGCATCCGAATTTTGATCACATCACCATGGGCAGGGGTAGGCAACCTTGGCTCTTTTATGACTCGTGGACTTCAACTCCCAGAATTCCTGAGCCAGCATGGCTCAGCTTGGAAACTCTCCTTTTTCCCTCAGCATGGCTGGCTCAGGAATTCTGGGAGTTGAAGTCCACGAGTCATAAAAGAGCCAAGGTTGCCTACCCCTGGTCATGAGGATGCTGCAAAGGTTGTAACTGTGAAAAATGGTCATAAGTCACCATTTTCAGTGCTGTTGTAACTTTGAAAGGTCACTAAGCGAACTAATGTAAGTTGAGGACTCAAACCAACTGATCAGCCCACGGCCCTTGCATCCCTCCCCTCAGTCTTTAACATCATTCAGCCTGGTCCAAGCTGCACCTTGCAGTCTTCTCCTGCTGTAAGAAGTTTTTCGTCGGAAAGGAACCGAGCCGCGGAGATGCATCCAGAGTGAGCCTTGAATGAACCCAGGATGATGGCCTCCTGCCACGACCAGAGGGTGATGGAGCCAGCCAAAGTAGCCGCTGCCAAAACTTTCCCAGTGGAAGAGAAGGAAATGGAATGGATGGAGGCATCGTGGTCCTTCATGACCTAGAAGAGACAACGGTTGTCAAAAACAGCTGTCTGCTGGCATTTGGATCCTAAAAAGTTGTCTTGTATGTATCCGAACTTGCAGCCCAAATGTTGGAGATGTGGTAGTTCTGAAGCAACTTATTTTCATGTTTGGTAGACTTGTAAAAATATTAAAGCTTTTTGGATTATGATTTGGTGGAACATTCAAAAGGTTTTTAAAAGGAAGATTAAGTTTACTCCTCAATTATTTCTTTTGGGTATTTTTGTGGATTTTGATGCTAAAGAAACTATTTTAATGTTGAATTTAATAACAGCAGCAAGATTATTGGTTGGTCAATATTGGAAGAAGGGCTCTCTGCCTACTTTAGAAGAATGGGTATTTAAGGTTTCTAATTTAGTAGAAATGGCCAAAATTTCTGCTTATTTAAAGGACCATTCACAAGAGAGGTATGTTATTGTTTGGAGAAGATGGATAGAATATGTTCAAAGGAAATATGGAACTACAAAGTTTCATTTATTTTATGAATAATGGATTTGTTTATAAAATTATGCTTAGTATGATTTTGGTTATTGTATAATTAGTAAAGTTAAGTAGATTATGTTTAATATGTTTGTATAACCCTGTACTTGGCTCTGGGAAGTGGGGGGGGGAGAGGGGTGGGGGGAGGGTGGGTTGGAGGTTAAATAGGTCGGATAAGTAGAAATAGTTTTATTGTATATAATATTGATGTTGTAATTTGGAGAGAGGAATTGCTCGGGCATTTTCCCTGGACTGCATCCGGAGTGGGATGAGAAGGTAGGAGGAAGGGGAGAAGCAAGTAGGAAGGTGGAGGAGAAAGAGGAGAGGAGGAGAGTGGTGAGGAAGAAGAGGGAGGAAGAGGGAAGTAAGGGAGGAAGTCAGAGGGAGGATGCGGTTTGGGGGGAAATGAGTGAGCAATACCGAAAGTTGTGTGTATAAATTTATTTTATTCTTTATCTGAAGTATTTTGTATGAGTGTAACGAAAAATGGAAAATAAAAACTTTAAAAAAAAAAACTGTCTGCTTCCTCAAAACTCCCAGAGCAAGTTCCATGGACTGGTAGGTCTTCATCAATCATGCATCTCCCAGTTATATGCCGAGTCCCTCTCAACCTTACCGAGATCTTGCTTATTCCATTTGCATCCAAGACGGTGACCGATCTGTCCCATCCACCAGTAGCCACCAACTGACCCATTGGATGAAAGGTCACGCAGTTCAAAGGGCACGGGAAGTCCCACTGGTGGAGCACATGTCCTTGGGCAGCTTCCCAGAGCTGAGAATTTTTTTAAAAAAAATAGTGAGAAATTGGGGGGGGGCCAAGGTTTGTAAATGCTTTACAATTGCTGCCATTATTCCCCTAATGCTGAATTTAGACTTAGTCCCTGCAGTAGGAGAAGCTCTAATGGTTCTATTTGGCAACTGCTGACAGAGAAAACAGGGCAATAACTGCACTTTAACTTGGTTAAAAATGCCACTAAGATGCATTATATGGGCTGGAACAGAGTGACTGACGCCACAAAGATGCATTATGGGGGGGGGGTAAACAAAAGGGGCAAATACATCCAGAAACAAGGTATATTTTAATAAATTAATGAGTTCATGTGAGCCAAAAAGGAAAACTTAATTTATATGGACTTCCATATACAACAGTGGTTCTCAACCTGTGGGTCGGGACCCCATTTGGGGTCGAACGACCATTTCACGGGGGTCGCCAAACAACGCAGTCCGCCATTTTTTCCCCCTTTTCCTTAGCTGTGCTACTCCCTTTTATTCTATTGGCTTTTGAAAGCCAATAGAATAGACTCTCTTGAATAGAGTCTAATTCTATTGGCTTTCAAAAGCCAATAGAAATTGTCCAGGCTGTCTCTGCCCTGCTGAGCCCGCCAAAAGTCCCATTCTGCAAACGGTGCTGCACCAGTTGAGTAGTCCTCGACTTACAACCGGTTGAGTAGTCCTCGACTTACAACTGGTTGGGGGTCGCGGCATTAAAAAGGTTGAGAACCACTGGTATACAACAAATGTAACAAATAAACTTAAAAATCTGAAATGTTGAGGGCCCTTCCCAGACAATGAGGCTCTAAACCAGGGTTTCTGAACAATCTGAAGGTGTGTAGGCTTCAACTCCCAGAATTCCTCAGCCAGCCATGCTTAAATCCAGTTCTGTATTCCCTCCCCTAAACCCAGTCAAGAATACCTTAAGAGTGCCATCCAGTGATACTGAAGCTAATAGTTTACAATCTGAATTGATGCAGCAGTCTGTAATTTGGGCCTTGTGGGCATCCTTGCTCAGGTTCCTAAAACAATAAAGAAACAGGAAGCCGGAAGCAGCACTCAGATGTGGTGGCTCGCTGATCTGACTTACTGCAGGATCACTAACTCTATTTTAAAATGTATATTCATTACGGGTTTTACGTCAGGTAGTCGACAAATTTAAACAGGATGAAGGAAAGCAAAGAAACAATGGAAAACAAAAAAAAAAAAGTTATGAAATATAGTGAGTTCCAACCTACTGTGTAAACCAGGGGTCTTCAAACTTGGCCCTTTCATGACTTGTGGACTTCAACTCCCAGAATTCCTTAGCCAGGCATGCTGGCTGAGGAATTCTGGGAGTTGAAGTCCACAAGTCATAAATGGGCCGAGTTTGAAGACCCCTGGTGTAAACAGTTCATTATCCACCATCCCTCTCAGCAGAACAACAAATGGCTGTCCAATCTTTTCTTGAAATATTTTATCTTGAAAGAATCTGGAATCTTTTCCTAGATATTTGATAAATCACTTCCATGCCTCACTTAATTTGCATCTTTTTCGGTCACCCAAATCATAAATCATCATATCATTTTTTTTTTAACATTCTTTCAGCAAAAACTATCAGGGTTTCCAGTCTTTCAAATAAGTTTCTCTCATTTTTTTCTTCTTCTAATCAAACAAGTTAAATTTGTCATCTCGGCAAGCTCTGACATTTTTACAATATACTCCTCCACTGAGGCAGGAGTATTAAGCTTCAAAGAAGGGCACTAGAAGAAGAAAAATGAGCCGTTAGTACAAGAAAAGTAAAGACCGAACAGCCAAATCTCTCCCCTTTTTTAAATCATTTGGCTCTAAGTCAACTGGACTTTCACTTTTTTACATTTCCTGTCTCAAACCAGACAGAAATTATGTCCTGACCTTTGCATTTGTGCCTGGAAGGAGATCCAAAGGTGCTGATAAAGAGGAATCAGGATCTACGCACCATCATATTGCCCACCCCAAGGATTTAAACTGTAGCCCTACTTTAAATTTTACAAATACAGGCTGTCAACACCCTCCAGCCTCATAATTCCATGGGTGGCATCTCTGTTTCCTTTTTTTTCAGAATAACAAGAGTTGGAAGGGACCTTGGAGGTCTTCTAGTCCAACCCCCTGCTCATGCAGGAAGCCCTATACCATTTCAGACAAATGGTTGTCCAGTCTCTTCTTCAAAATTTCCAGTGTTGGAGCATTCACCACTTCTGGAGGCAGGTTGTTCCACTGGTTAATTGTTCTAGTTGTCGAGAAATTTCTTCTTAATTCTCCTCTCCTTGATTAGTTTCCAGCCAATGCTTCTTATCCTGCCTTCAGGTGCTTTGGAAAATAAGTTGACCCTCTCTTCTTATTTGGCAGCTCCTCAAATATTGAAACACTGCTATCATATCATCTCCAGCTGTGGTTAACCTCTATTTCAGGTAGTCTCAACTTACAACCATTCATTTAACGACCATTCAAAGTTACAACGGCACTGAAAAAAAACTGACTTATGAACTGGTCCTTACACTTCAGACTATAGCAGTGGTGGCGAACCTATGGCACGGGTGCCAAAGGCAGCACTCAGAGCCCTCTCTGTGGGCACATGCGCCGTCGCCCCAGTCCTAGGCCTTCAGCTGGGTTTTATAAAATCTTTTCACTTTAGGCCTCCGCCACCGTGTACAAAAAAAAAAAAGGTTCAATCAGTCAATTTCAACTTCTCGTGGGGAAAAAAAAGATCTTGCAAAGTTGGAATTGATTGATTGAACTTTTTAGTCCCACCCAGTCTGCTGTTACCACTGCAGCCACGCCCACCCAATGGGCCACACCCACCCGGCACCCGACGATGCGTAAGTGGGTTTTGGGTTGCAGTTTGGGCACTCGGTCTCTAAAAGGTTTGCCATCACTGGACTATAGCCTCATTCCCATGATCATGTGATCAAAATTTGGGTGTTTTGGGCAACTCCATGTTGCAGCGTCCTGGAGTCATGTGAACACTATTTTTAACCTTCCTGACAAACAAAGTCAATAGGCAGATTCACTTAGCCATCCCAGGATTGGTTTAACAACTGCAGCGATCACTTAACAACCACGGAGGAAAGATTGCAAAATCAACGACGATTCATTTAATAACTGTCTTGCATAGCAACAGAGATTCTAGTCCCAGTTGCAGTCGTAATTCCAGGACTATCTATAATCAAGATAAAAAAAGTTTTTCCCCCGGTCCGGATTTACCTGCATCCTTCTCTCAGGCTCCAAAGTTCAAAGCGTCCATTGAAGGCCCCGAGACAAACGGTTGCTTCAGACAAGAATGCGCAGGCGGAGATTCCGTCACAGGAGGTCAACAAGGATTTCTGCTTCTAAATCACGAGAAAGAGAATTTGCAGGCGGAAATCAGAGCCAACCCTAACCCTCACCGACCAGGCTCATCTGATGCAAACATTTTGTGCTTGTGTGGATTTGGGCAGAGGGCTCTGAAGCAGTGAGCCTACACAAGCTTTAATTTCAAAGGTCAAAAGGATGCTTTTAGCAGTTTTTCTTCTTTGTTCTGGGCTGCCACTCACTCCGAGATCCTTTTTCGTATCGCTGAAAGTAATATACAGGTAATCCTCGAGTTACGAATGTCATCGAGCCAGCTAATACATTCGTAACCCATGGATTCGTTAAATGTATCACGTTAAATGAACATAATCCTTCCCTGCTTAACCCAATGCATTTGCTAATAGAACGCACAGGTCATTAAATCCTCAGGGTCACCGGAGTAGTTGCAAATGTGGGGGGAGCCTTCTTGGCTGCAGGATGTTTTCTGCTCCGCACACATTTGCAGTACTCAGGTGACCCTGAGGACACAGACGAACCTCCAAGTGGCTTCAACAACTCTCTAAAAGAATGCAAATGACCAGCTGTCTGTGAGGAATATAAATCTTTCCATTCTCCACCATCCGGTCAGAGCTGAAGAAGCTTCTTGGATGAGAAGTGAAATGTCTTCAAAGAAAAGGAATTGGGTATGTCTAGTTTAACAAAGAGAAGGACGAGGGGGGACGTGATAGTAGTGTTCCAAAATCTCAGGGGCTGCCACAAAGAAGAGGGAGTCAAGCTATTCTCCAAGGCGCCTGAAGGCAGGACAAGAAGCAATGGGTGGAAACTAATCAAGGAGAGAAGCAACCTAGAACTAAGGAGAAACTTCCTGACAGTTAGAACAATTAACCAGTGGAACAACCTGCTTCCAGAAGCGGTGAATGCACCAACATTGGAAGTTTTTAAGAAGAGACTGGACAGCCATTTGTCCGAAATGGTATAGGGCTTCCTGCATGAGTAGGGGGTTGGACTAGATGACCTCCAAGGCCCCTTCCAATTTTACTATTATTATGATTGTGATTATGATTATGATTATTAACAAGAAAGGCCGGTTGCATCCTGAAAAAGCATCTTTGGGTTACCAATGGTAATTTAATTGAAATGACATAAAGATCACTTAATGATGTTGGTTTTTATAATACTGATAGTCCTTAAGTTACAACCATTTGTCCCACGACTGCTCAAAGTTACAAATGATGCTGAAGGAAAAAAAACATACAAGCGGTCTTTGATATTTGATAAGACTTTCTGACAAGCAGTTTGGGACAATGAAGGAAAAGGGTTGGGAAGCACTGTTCTAACGGAACACTAGCACAGAACTTGGAAGGCTTCTGAAGCTGAGAAATCAGATCGTTTTTACCTGTCCGGTCTTCATGTCCACCAGGTGCAATGTCCCTTCCACAGTACCCACGACGGCCAGTTTTCCCGAAGGAGCGAGAGAAGCAGAAGAAGGAGTGGACGGAAGGTTCAAAACAAGGCTGTTAAATAAAATAAAAGAGGTTGATGAAGATCCTCAGTCATCCAGCTGAGTCATGGCAACTGCAGTTCTCTGTCTTTTGGGTATGAAAGCTTTCGCTGTTTATCCAAACAGCTTCTTAACAGTCTGAGCAAATGTCTGTGGAGATTCTCAGTCATCCAGGCCACAGTTGTTTCCAATGTGCTTTTTCAAAAGGCAGCTGAATTGTTTTTTTTCCCTGAGGACGAAGAAGAAGACATTTCACTTCTCATCCAAGAAGCTTCACTGATTCTGAAGCTTCTCGGATGAGAACTGATGAAGCTTCTTGGAGGAGAAGCAAAACATTTGCTTCTTCCTCAGGGGAAAAAAAACACTCCAATTGCCTTTGGAAAAAGCACCAGGGAGTCTGTCTGAGCAAGCTGGTTAATGGGACCCCATATGTGCCCTTTGGGGTGGTTTAATTTCTCACCTAATCTGGATAAGCTTGCTAGGTGAGCAGGCAGAGAGTCATTGAGATGTAAATAACCAATCTGATAAGCTGAAGAAGCTACATGGATAAACAGCAAAAAGTTAGCTGTCCAAAAGAGATTGGACAGCCATTTGCTTGAAATGATATAGTGTCTCCTGCCTGAGACACCAGTCACCTAGCAAGGTGTCAAAATCTTGATGACCAAAAAAAAAAAGGAAAAAAAGTGATGAAGTACAGGTAGTCCTTGACTTACAACATTTCGCTTAGTGACTGTTCGAAGTTACAATGGCACTGAAAAAGGTGCCCCCCCCAGCCACAGCCCAGCAAGACACCTGTCTGCCCGGCTGGCAGCGCTCTTCCTCTTGTCCGAGGTTTCCATTGTTGTGAGCATTTCTGTTGAGGATTGGCAGCGAGGGTGGGGTGGGGGTGTTTGGTTTTTATTTCCCCTGTCTGCTGGGTGGTTGCGGCAGGTTTTGGTCACTTGACATGACCCTAGGACACTGTGACCGTCATAAATATGAATCAGTTGCCAAGCATCTGAATGTAAATCACAAGACCCTGGAGAGGCTGCAACATTCCAGCTGATCGGCTTCTTCTGGGCTCAGCAGAAGTGTCAGGATCAGTGCCGAGCTCCAGCTGATTGGTGCTTCTTCTGGGCTCAGCAGAAGTGTCAGGATCAGCGCTGAGCTCCAGCTGGAGCCTGGCGCTGATCCTGGCGCTTGCACTGAGCCCTGACAGCCCTGCAGCTCCAGCCATCTCTCGCTCAGGCTTGTGCGGTTCTGCCACTGGTTCAGCTCCTCCACTACCACTTTTCTAAGATAGTCGCGTACCATCTGCCAGGTGCCAATGTACCACAGGTGGTCCCCGTACCACTGGTTGAAAAGCCTTGGACTAGAAGACCTCCAAGATCCCTTCCAACTCTATTCTGATTGAATTATGCATGCAGCAATTATGCAATTATAACCGCAGTTATGCAGTTACTCTGTCTCGAACCGACAAGAAAAGACGTTCATTTGCCTTGATTCAATGTGCAGATAAAAGGTGCAGGGCAGCAATAACATTGTGAGATGCATGAAAAGGACCTCATCCCTCCATGGTAGACTTACCTCTTGGTTAGCTGGGCCCTCTCTGGCTTGTTAATCCATTTCAGGAAAGGTCTCCCACATTTCTGGAGCGCCGCCCGGGCTTGAGAGCAGAGGTCTGAGGATCTAGGCTCATTTGCTGCCTGTTGCAGGAGCAGCAGAGGATTTTGGGAAAGCAGCCCGAAGTTTCTTTGCAAAAAATCAGCGAACAAGTTGACTGCCTCACTGGGCTCTGAGCCAGCAGCTGTTGCTACAGAAAACAATGGATCATAGATTCCTATTTTCAGTCCCTTTTAGCATACTTGTATTTCTACAGAATGGGCCCCAACCCCCAAATCAGAGAGGTCCAACCTTGGCAACTTTAAGACCTGTGGACTTCAACTCCCAGAATTCCACAGCCGACATGGGGAATTCTGGGAGTTGAAGTCCCCAGGTCTTAAAGTTGCCAAGATTGGACATCCCTGCCCAAAATGCAGCCTGCAATTTTTCCATCCCAGCTAAAAAGTTGCAGCCCTTTTCCAGGTCTGTGATTCCCCAATTTATTGAGGGGGGGGGAGAGAGAGAACCCCTACTTTCAATCCCATAATGGCTCACCATAGAGTGCATAGGCTTTAGAGAGGCTACGGAGGAGGCCGAGGTGAAGATGCGTGCTGACAACCTTTAAATCAGTCAGGAAAGAAGCCAGAATGTCCAAATGCCCACTTTGGACCTGCGGAAGAAGAGTTATAACTCAAGAAGGCCACTCTTTCAAGCAGCTTTTCTCAACTTTGGCAACTAGGACATTTGTAGACTTCAACTCCCAGAATACCCCAGTCAGGAAAGGAACCGGGAGGTTGTGAGTTCTAGTCCCGTTTTGGGCACAAAGCCAACTGAATGATCTTGAGCCAGTCATTTTCTCTCAACCCTAGGAAAGAAGCAATGAGCCGAAGTGGCGCAGCAGTTAGGGTGCAGTACTGCAGGCCACTTTAGCTGACTGTGTTCAGCAGGTCAGTGGTTCAAATCTCACCGGCTCAAGGTTGACTCAGCCTTCCATCCTTCCAAGGTAGGTAAAAGGAGGACCCAGATTGTTGGGGGCAATGTAAATATAGATATACATTGCTTACTGGTGTACACCGCTTAGAGAGTGCTTGCACTTAAAGCGGTATATAAGTCTCATAAATAAAATAAATAAATGAATGAATGAATGGCAAAACACTTCCAAAAATCCTTGCCAAGGAAACTGCAGGGACTTGCAAGGGCGTCTCTAAGAATCAGACAGGACTGAATAGAAGAAAAAAAAAAAACAATTCTGTATGTAAAAGAAACTGTTTTAAAATGGAAAATTTCCCCTGAAAGATGCACTTCCAATTCCTTATATCAGTGATTCTCCACCTTTCTAATGCCGTGACCCCATAATACAGTTCCCCATGTTGTGGTGACCCCCAAGTGGGTGTGGCCACCAATAAGAGGGAGTAGGACAGCTAGGAAAAAGGGAAAAAAATGGCGGACAGCATGGTTTGGTGACCCCCGTGAAATGGTCATTCGACCCCAAATGGGGTCCCGACCCACAGGTTGAGAACCACTGCCTTATATACACAGAATTTCTCTCTCTCTCTCTCTCTCTTTCTTTTTTTTCTTTTTTTTTTGCTCTATAAACATGAGGTCTAGGAATTTAAGTCTCCAAGGAACTGCTTTTATTCAGACTAACAGTCCAGCTTCTCTAAGTTGTTGCTTAGAAGCATTCGAGTCACTTACCAAGTGGTATGGCAGGGCAGTTAGTGCCTCTGCCTCAGATTTCTGGAAGGTCCGGGAGCCATCTGGGTCTGAAAGTTTCCACCAGTGAGCTACAGAGGAGAAAATATCAGGCAACTGCTCATTATTGCCCCCAACAGGTTGAATTTAAACACCGTCTCCCACTATGAAAAACACTGCCTCCCTCTAGAGGTTGGCTGGGGTGCTACAATGATCTGTTCAATCATGGCACAATTGAACGCAAGTACAGATAAGTCTCAGTAAGTACAGTTAACGAATCTCACCAAATGATCTCATTATTCTAACTTGCATTATCCAAAGTGATATTTCCATGGAAAATGTGGAAATTGGTTGCAGCTCAATGGAAATGGACAATAAAAAATGGTAAACATAAATTTTATATGTATATTTAATGAAGTACCACAGAAAAGGATAAAAGAATATGCTTTTAATTTGCACTGATTGTTAAGAGGGCCACAGAGTAATTAGAAAAAGCAAAATACAGGTATTCCTTGACTTACAATAGTTTAGCTTAATGACCACAGAGTTCACTTAATGACTATTGCAGAAAAGGTTGTCAAATCGGATCAAAGATGATCCACTTTACAACTGTCTTAACTTATGACCCTAATTGCCAGGGAGTCATAAGGACTAAAATTAAAATTCAGGCATTTTAATATCTTTAGCATTGCTTTGCCACTGCTATGACCATGTTTATGTGTTTCAATTACATTAAATTTTTGTCCTAATGCAGTGTTTCCCAAACTTGACAATTTTAAGGCATGTGGACTTCAACTCCCAGAATTCCACAGCCAGCATTGCTGGCTGTGGAATTCTGGAAGTTGAAGTCCTCATGCCTTAAAATTGTCAAGTTTGGGAAACACTGTCCTAATGTAATAATGAGGCTATTCTTTTTAAAACTTCTACTGTTCTTTTCTGACAGACTCTTCCTTCTCTCGAAAGCACCTGAAGGCAGGACAAGAAACAATGGATGGAAACTAATGAAGGAAAGAAACAACCTAGAACTAAGGAGAAATTTCCTGACAGAACAATTAACCAGTAGAACGAATTGCCTCCAGAAGTTGTGGGTGTTCCAACACTGGAGATTTCTAATATTGGACAACCATTTGTCTGATATGGTATAGGCAGTGGTGGCGAACCTACGGCACGTATGCCAGAGGCAGCACTCAGAACCCTCTCTATGGGCACACGCGCCGTTGCCCCAGCAGAGTTCACCAGAGTAGCGAGCATGTGGCGTTTGGAAGCAACAGGGCAGGAAGTGAGCAAGCAAGCAGTGTTGGCCCCCGGGGATGCCCCGGAGATGGTGAGGGACTGGCCCCTGCCGCCCTGGTCCCAACCACACTAATGCAGTCTGCCGTGACCACTGCAGCCACGCCCACCAAGTGGGCCATGTCCCCTGCCCCAAGGGCATCACAATGCTGATGTGGCACTTTGCGATAAATAAGTGGGTTTTGGGTTGATGTTTGGGCACTCGGTCTCTAAAAGGTTCGTCATCACTGGTATAGGGTTTCCTGCTTGAGCAGGGGGTTGGACTAGAAGACCTCCAGGGTCCCTTCCGACTCTCTTATTCTGTTATTCCTTTGGGCACAGTTGATTTGCAATGTCAAAGACCCTAACTGCAACTATGCATGTGTTAGCTTTAATTGCACTGTGCCCCAGCCTCAAATGTTGGGCTGCATTAAACACAACCAGGTATCAGTTTACAATTTGCACTAAAATTAAATATCACACTATTTGAATTCCCATTAAAGACGGGTATCTCACTTGGTGACCTACCTTTTATTTAAACACCACCAACTATTAAGAAAAAAAAAAAGCTGAAGGAATTTACCTGCCAAGAACACATGAGCTGTATGCTCCAGTCCTGGTTTTTTCAAGTAGCGCCGTTCTACTGCCATTCTCAAGGGGGTGCCACAGAGTTGCAGCCGAGAACCCGGAAGCTCTGACGGGGAACCGCATGCCCCAAGAAGACTATGGAGAAATAGCAGAGAGATGGATCAAATTTCCTAGTTTTTTATATATTTATATATATATATATATATATATATATATATATATATATATATATATATATATATATATATATATATATATATCTGTGCTCTGCTACACCTCTAGGTCAGTGTTTTTCAACCATGGCAACTTTAAAGATGTGTGGACTTCAACTCCCAGAATTCCCCAGGCAGACTGCTGCTTAGGGAATTCTGGGAGTTGAACTCCACACACCTTGAAGTTGCTTATATTGAGAAACATGGCTCCATTTGGGGTCGAACGACCATTTCACGGGGGTCGCCAAACAACGCATCTGCCATTTTTCCCCCCGTTTTCCTTAGCTGTGCTACTCCCTTTTATTCTATTGGCTTTTGAAAGCCAATAGAATAGACTCTTTTGAATAGAGTCTAATTCTATTGGCTTTCAAAAGCCAATAGGAATTGTCCAGGCTGTCTCTGCCCTGCTGAGCCCGCCAAAACTCCCATTCTGCAAACGGTGCTGCAATTTGTCTGCAGCGAAGGCGAGCTGTCTGGAAGTTTCCACCCCTCCCTGCTGAGCAACTACTAAAAATGTAAGTAAAAGAAGGCCAGGGTGGGAGGCTGACAGGCGCAGGGAGGGTTGCTGGCATACGTGGGGCCGGCGGGTACCTTACCTCCCTTGGGCTGGGCCAGCTGGTGGCCCAGCCGGTGGTCGGCCTGCGCCGTCTCTGCCGCTTGCCAGCTACGCCTCGGCCAGCACAGGGGGTGGCACCACGCATGCGCGGCACTCCCGGGCAGGGAAAGTCCTCGACTTATGATCGGTTGGGTAGTCGTCGACTTACGACCGGTTGGGTAGTCCTCGACTTACGACCGGTTGGGGGTCGCGGCATTAAAAAGGTTGAGAACCACTGCTCTAGAGACCCTTGAGAGTCTGCTCTCCATTATGACATACACTTGATTGAGAGGCAAGAATTGGGCCCAAAGTCACCCAGCAAAATCAATGGAAAACTTTATCTAGGGCTCCCAAAGTCCAACTGCAAAACAGGGGCAGCAGTTAGGATTCTCTATGTTTCTCTTCTGCCACCTGGTGGCTGTTCACATTATTGCAGCCCCCTGACAGCATCCTTAATCTAATTCCCATTTTTATCTTTTAGGAACACTTGGCATCACACATATGAAGACCCCATTTTTTCATCTACGACATACAGCAACTCACAACCTACAGGGAGAATTATCTTTATTCAGCCAGAAGCCCAAAAGTGAGTCCCTTACCCCCTCAGACTCCGTAGCAGGTCAAAGAAGAGAGCAGTGGGGAAGCTGCCAACGTGTCTTCCAGCATTAATGGCTTTTTCCAAGGTTACGGTGGTCTCATTTAATTCTTTCCACATAGTGAGGACGGAATAGAGATCTCGTTCCATTAGTCCTGCGGGATCAAAGGCAGAACAGCCTTTCAATGGAGCAGCTTAGGGCCTGCTAGATATTTTGCATCAAAGCATGACCTTAATTATATCTAAACATCTTTCTTCTGTCATTTAAGGAAGATGAGCTGAAGGTCTCCCTTAATTTTAAACTCATCCCAGCCTTGGACTGAAAGAGAATGGCTGGGCCAAAGTAGAGATGGGAAGGCCTGGAAAATGGCCTTGGAAAACAAGGGGAAAAAGGGGAGGAAACATTTTTTCCCAATTTTTCCAGTTTTTTTTTTCCAGGCCTTCCCATCTCTAGACCAAAGTCACTTCCTCTGTTAAGAGGCCTTGAAACTAGATCTTCAGGCATCAAGTTCAAATACAAGTTCTTCCACAATATGCCTGGAAGCCAATGGCTTCCCTCTTTCCCATCAATCAAAGGTGGAATATTTGTAGCCGAGGGTTGAAATGTGGGATCCTTGGTGCTCTCTGAGCTTGATTGTTTTTTGCAAACCTTTCATTATCCAAACTCGGTAATGCCATCAGCGTTCAACATCATCAACTTTGACTAACACTGATGATGTTACCTAGCCTGGGTAATGAAACGTCTGCATGAAGCCAACCAAGCTCAGAGAGCACTAAGGCCCCTCAAAGGTCTTATTTATGGCCATTGCCACCCACACCCCAGAGCCAATGATGCTGCTGAATGTTCACAGGCAACAGTCCTTTCCAATGTACCATCTCTGCTGGCCCAGAGAGAGACCACAGTGATAGCAACCAGCTCCAGTCCATGGTCTTGCTCCAAGCAACCCAACAAGTGTTGCATCATCAGCGGAAGAGAGATGGGAAGCTTCTGGATCCGTTCTGAGAGCTGAAACCAGAAAGATAGATATATTTAAAAAAAAAGAAAAGAACGACTGATGAAACCTCTTGAGGCTTAGACATAGGCTGAAGTCTTGGTTTTCCAAGCCACCCTTCCCCTAAGACAGACATGTCAAACACAAGGCCCGGGGGCCGGATGCGGCCTGTGAAGTGATTTCATGTGGCCCGCGAAGCCATCCTGGAAACAGTGAGGGAACGGCCCCCGCTGCCTTGGCCCTGGCCCTGGCCGGCCGGGAGCCAATGTACAATTTTGTGGTGGCCATCTGTGCTGAAACGCATTCAGCCTTAGCTCCACAAGGCCATCTGGAAACAGCGAGGAACCAGGAGAACCTTGAGCAACAGCCTTGAGGAAGTGGGGCTGGGTTTGGTGCTGGGCATTTGACCTCTGTTGCCCAGGGCTCCGGGCAGCCTGCACCACCATCCAGCCCCCCTCCCACATGGCCTGAGAGGAACAGTGAGGCTCCTCCAGTGGACAATGCCTTTGGACTTGCCCTGGTCCCACCCCCTTCTGCCAGAGACCCTCAGATCTGTCCCACTCCTGCCCAGGCCCCCACAGGCACCTTTGACACGAACTATGTAAAGCTGGCCACGCCCACCCAGTAGGGCACACCCACTCCATCCACGCCCACCCCAGTAGGCCGCACCCACCCTGGCCACACCCACACGCCCCCCTGAAGGCAACCACAATGCTGATGCAGCCCTCAATGAAATTGAGTTTGACACGCCTGCCTTAAGAGCTCTTCTAAGGGACCAATCACCTTCTCGTAGAGGGCAAACAGCCGCAGGTCCTGAATCAGCAAGCTTAGGTATAAGGGTTCCCGAGAGCCACGTTTGAGGAGCACAAGCCGCATCTATGGAGAGAAGAGATTGGAGTCCCAGGATCCATTATGCCTTTCCATTGCTGTCCTCGATCTTCTGCCTCTCACTAAACCTGTGTCAAGGACTCCCATAATTCCCAGCTAATAAAACCAGGAAAGATAAGGCAGCCCATATGTAGTATCTGGAAGGCAGCTGTAGAAGTAGACATGCCTTGCTTTGTTGAGTTTCATCCCACTCTTTATCCCATTTCTTCCAAATGAAGGGAGTTATGAGGTCAGCGCTGCTAACAGTCGGAGGTTCTTGCTTTGACAACAGAGGGAAATGCAGCCATTTTTCTCTGTTGCTTTTAGTTGGTGCTGGGAGGGGGAATGTGGATGAGAGCCCAGCTAGTCATAACAATAATAACTCAGCCATGGGAATCCAAGGTCATTGGGCCCAGATAGCAGTGCTTCAAGCTAATTGGGGAATGTGAGGAAATGCATGACCCCAGGACACAGCAGCCATCATAAATGTGAGTCGGATGTCAAGCATCAGAATGTAAATCATGTGACCACGGGGATGCTGCAACGGTCATAAGTGCGAAAAATGGTCATAAGTCACTTTTTTCAGGGCCGTTGTGATGTTAAATGGTCAATAAATGAACTGTTGTAAGTCGCATATAAGTTGTATATGCTGGAGGCATGACGGATGGTTATTCGGGGGTGGTGTTTGTACAGAATGTTTGAGGCTGACCATGGCTAGATCTGCAGATTTGCCATTTACCTGGTTATTAAAAGCCGACTCCTCCAATTTCTTCCCATGCAGGGCCAAATCTTTGCGGACGATGGCAGCTCGGTCTGGAGGGGCCAAATGCTCAAGAGGAATGAAGATGGCATCCTTCCGTTGCTTAAGAGATTCAAGCAGCATGGACTCTGCCGAGACGCTGAGAACCAGGCTGACTCGCTGCAGGGAGACACAGAGCCAAGGAAGGGTGAGATGGAAACTAACTAAGGAGAGAAGCAACGTAGAACTAAGAAGAAATTTCCTGACAGTTAGAACAATTAACCAGTGGAACGACTTGTCTCCAGAAGCTGTGAATGCTTTAACACGGGAAGTTTTTAAGAAGAGATTGGACAACCATTTGTTTGAAATGGTATAGGGCAGTGGTGGCGAACCGATGGCATGGGTGCCAGAGGCGGGACTCGGAGCCCTCTCTGTGGGCACACGTGCCGTTGCCCCAGCCTCGCCTCCCCCCGTGATCCCCTCCTCTCCAGCAGCCCCCCTGGAGGAGAGTTGCCCCTGAGCGTGGCCCACTCAGAGCAGTGCAGCCAAGGACATGGCAGCCAGGCAACGTAGACAAAACTCTGCCCTCACACCCCATCATGCACAGTTGATGCTGCGGGGTGTGGGCAGAGAATATGACCGCCATAGCGCTGCTGGGCTGCCTGGGCGGTCTGTGGCGGGCCCTGGAGGTGGTGAATGACCCTGCGGGCAGGTGGGGGATGGGGGGGCAGAGCAGGGGGTGGAGCAGGGCGTGGTCAGTTTTTGGGCACTCGATCTCTAAAAGGTTCGCCATCACTGGTATAGGGTTTCCTGCCTGAGCAGGGGATTGGACTAGAACATGGGTCGGCAACCCACGGCTCTGGAGCCGCACGTGGCTCTTTCAGCCTTCTACTGCGGCTCCCAGTCTTCCGCCATTTGCAGAGAAAGAGAGACAGAGAGAGGGACTTGCACTTCCCCTCTCTCAGATGGGGGGGTTTTAAGGCTGCGGACCTACTGCACCTCCATCTTTTTGCAGGTTCCAACCAACTGCTTTGTATCTCACCGAGGTCCCCGGGCTGTCAAAACAGCTGCGATCGGAATACGCAGATAAAGCAGCGTTACGCTGGCATTGAAGACAAGCGGAGGCAAAGGACGGAACAGGCAGGGCTCACTCCCTGGGACCAGGGGCAGCTCCTTCAGACTAACAGACTGCCTGCTAGCTAAGCACTCGGAGCTGGCAGCCTGGCGAGCGAGTCTGACTGCACGCCGCGGCCGAGCTGCTGCCAAAAAGGCCACACACCCCCGTCAGCGGCGTGCAGTGGATTTTATGTATGTGGACCAGGCTAATGGAGCCAAGGACTGGGAAAAATATGAAAGAAAGCTACACCTTACCTGTGGCATCTTCTCAGGCAGCCAGTCAGATACCAGCTCTCCTCCGGCATCATGGATCAAGTCAGCACCGTCGATCAAAAGCACCAAAGACTGGCGCCGTTTCAGCAACTTGGCCACCGCATGGAGAAGGCATTCAAATTGGGTTATCAGCCCTCTGTAAGCAAAAAATAAATCTCTCTCTTTCCTTCTTGCAAGATCAGGATTAATTCAGTATTTCTCAACCTTGGCTACTTGAAGATGTATGGATTTCAATTCCCAGAATGCCCCAGCCATGTGATTGACACTGATAGGGCAAGCCATTAGAACAGGGGTAGGTAACCTTGGCTCTTTTATGACTCGTGGACTTCAACTCCCAGAATTCCTGAGCCAGCATGGCTCAGCTTAGAAACTCTCCCTTTCCCCTCAGCATGGCTGGCTCAGGAATTCTGGGAGTTGAAGTCCACGAGTCATAAAAGAGCCAAGGTTGTCTATCCCTGCACTAGAATATAAACTGAAAGCAAACCCCACCCCTTACTAGCACTGATAATGTTACCTAGTTTGGGTAATGAAAAGTCTGCAAAAAACAACTCAACCGAGTTCAGAGAGCACCAAGGACCCCTCATTAACCAATTGACTGGGAATTCTGGGTTTTGTTGTTGTGTCACACTTGCAGGGCAGAGGGCAGTCTTGAGGCAATCTTCTCATGATGTCCAGCATCTACCTAATCAAGCCCAGATCTGAAGAATTAGGACTCTACCAACCTGTAACTTCTAGGTGGGGTTGGTGGGTTCTCTAGCAACTTCCTCAGCAAGGCACAGAGATGGTCTAACACAACTTGGGCTTTGGTCTGATTGGGTCCTGCCTTGGTGAAATGGGCTACAACATGATACTTGGGAGGAGGGCCTTCTCCTTCCAGCGGCACCATCTTCCCGAGCTTCTCTGCAAGTGCTGCCTGTGGAGATGGAAAGAAAAGGAGAGAAAGCTTCAGCTGTGGGTCCCAGCCAACATAACAATCCCTTCTATAATTCCATCAAACCTGGAACTGAAGTAGTAGTAGTAGAAGTAGTAGTAGTAGTAGTAGTAGTAGTAGTAGTAGTAGTAGTAGTAATAATAATAATACCAAAAAAACTGGAGCACCACTTGAACACCATTGGCATTGACAAATTCACTATTAGTCAATTGCAAAAGGCGGCCTTACTAGGAACTGCTTCCATCCTGCGACGATATCTGTAATACCATCAAACATCCACATCTGCCTATCCCAGGTCCTGGGTAAGGACTCGATAGGTAGACAAAATGCCAAATCCAGTCTGAACATCTGGCTGACTGTGCGATGATCCATAATAAATAATAATAATAATAATAATAATAATAATAATAATAATAATAAAAGTTTGAAGGGACCTTGGAGGTCATCTAGTCCAACCCTCTGCTCAAGCAGGAAACCCTATACCATTTCGGACAAATGGCTGTCCAGTCTCTTCTTAAAAGCTTCCAGTGTTGGAGCATTCACCGCTTCTGGAGGCAGGTTGTTCCACTGGTTAATTGTTCTAACTGTCAGGAAGGTTGCTTCTCTCCTTGATTAGTTTCCATCCGTTGCTTCTTGTCCTGCCTTTGGAGAATAGCTTGACTCCCTCTTCTTTGGGGCAGCCCCTGAGATATTGGAATACTGCTATCATGTCCCCGCTTGTCCTTCTCTTCATTAAACTAGACATACCCAATTCCAGCAACTGTTCCTTATATGCTTTAGCCTCCAGTCTCCTAATCATCTTTGTTGTTCTTCTCTGTACTCTTTCTAGAGTCTCAACATCTTTTTTACATCACGGTGACCAAAACTGGATGCAGTATTCCAAGTGTGGCCTTACCAAGGCATTGTAAAGTGGTATTAAGCGGCCAAACCTCAAACACCAAAACAGTCACCATTTCCTCTCAGCTGAAGTATTCTCTCTTAGGGAGCATTTCAGTCCAGCAACTCCAGTTTTAACAAAGTACAAAAGTCCATCTTCCATAGAGAGGAATAAAAAATGCCTCAAGCTCTTCCCCAAGACCATTTCTCTCTTCTGCATCTCCAGAGCTAGCAGGAATAAATGTCTAATATAGGCAGTCCTCGAACGTATGACCACAATGAGGCCCAAATTTCTGTTCCCGAGCGAGACAGTTGTTAAGTGAGTTTTGTCCCATTTTACCATCTTTCTTACCACAGTTGTTAAGCGAATTGTGGCAGTGGTTAAGTTAGTCACATGGTTGTTAAGTGAATCTGGCTTCCCCAATTTCCCAGTTGCAATGGTATGGCTGTGAAAGTTGGACCATAAGAAAGGCTGAGCGCCAAAGAATGGAGGCCTTTGAACTATGGTGCTGGAGAAGATTCCTGCGAGTCCCCTGGACTGCAAGGGATCAAACCGGTCAGTCCTAGAAGAGATCAACCCCGACTGCTCTTTAGAAGGCCAGATCCTGAAGTTGAAACTCAAGTACTTTGGCCACCTAATGAGAAGGAAGGACTCACTGGAGAAGGGCCTAATGCTGGAAAAGATTGAGGGCAATAGAAGAAGGGGACGACAGAGAATGAGGTGGCTGGATGGAGTCACTGAAACAGTAGGCGTGAACTTAAATGGACTCCAGAAGATGGTAGAGGACAGGAAGACCTGGAGGAACGTTGTCCATGGGGTCACGATGGGTCAGACACGTCTTTGCAATTAACAACAACAACAAATTGACTCTGCTTGTCAGAAAGTCGCAAAGGGTGATCACATGACACTGCAATAAATATGAGTCAGTTGCCAAACGTCTGAATTTTGATCACATGACCATGGAGATGCTTCACCAAGTGGGAAAAAGGGTCATAAGTCACTTTTTTCAGTGCTGCTGTAACTTCCAACGGTCACTAAACGAACTGTTGTAAGTCGAGTACTATCTGTACTTGACTCTTTTCCTTCCCCTCCTCCAAACTACTAATATTTCCTGTTGCATACAGGTGATACTATTTTTATCACACCAGAACATATTACTGGAGCCATGGTGGTGCAGTGGTTAGAATGCAGTACTGCAGGCTAATTCTGCCCACTACCAGCAGTCTGATTTTCACCAGCTCAAGGTTGACTCACCCTTCCATCTTTCCAAGGTCAGTAAAATGAGGACCCAGATGACTCTGTAAACCATTTAGAGATGGCTTATATACTAGAGGGATTATAAAGAGAGGGCTTATATATTATGAAGGGGTATATAAGTCTTAAGTGCTATTGCTATTCATTCATTCATTATGATTTTTACTTCCTAATGGGTAAGTGGGCCAGCACTACCTCGTGCCTTGCTACAGATTGTTGGGGGGGCCATATGCTGACTCTGTAAACCCCTTAGAGAGGGCTGTAAAGCAGTATGAAGCAATATTAATAATAATAATAGTAGTAGTAGTAGTAGTAGTAGTAGTAGTAGTAGTAGTAAAGTTGGAAGGGACCTTGGAGGTCATCTAGTCCAACCCCCTGCTCAGGCAGGAAACTCTATATCATTTCAGACAAATGGCTTGGAGCATTCACCGCTTCTGGAGGCAGGTTGTTTCATTGGTTAATTGTTCTAACTGTCAGGAAGTTTCTCCTTAGTTCTAGGTTGCTTCTCTCCTTGACTAGTTTCCATCCGTTGCTTCTTGTCCTGCCTTCAGGTGCTTTGGAGAATAGTTTGACACCCCCCCTCCCTCTACTCTGTGGCAGCCCTTCAGATATTGGAATACTGCTATCATGTCCCCCCTCATCTTTCTCTTCATTAAACTAGACATAGCCAATTCCAGCAACTGTTTCTTATATGCTTTAGCCTCCAATCCCCTAATCATCTTTGTTGCTCTTCTCTGTACCCTTTCTAGAGTATATAAGCCCAAGTGCTATTGCTATTGTTATTGCTGCATACTGAGCTTCCATATCTTGTCCCAAGTTCTCCAGATCTCCCTTTACTCACCAAGAAAACTGTCTTTCCCTGGCCAGGTTCACCGCTCACAACGTAAAGCTTGCCACCACGCATCTGAGCCGCTGTGGTATTCAGAAGCTTCGTCCGGGCACAAAATCTCCTTTGCTGCAATTCTTGGAAAGATTCTTGCAGAGCGTTTCCTTCTTCTTCCTTTGAGTCTGTCGTGAGTTCAGATTCGCCTCCCTAAATTGAGAGGTGAGAGACATAAAGCTCAGTTTATTTCTAAATAAATTTTCTTGACAACGTTTAAAAAGTATCCCTGAAGCTAGACTATAGCAGAGCTTTGACAAAGTTTTGCAGATATGAGGGGTCTTGGTACTCTCTGAGATTAGTTGCTTTCTTGCAGTGCTGATGTTACAGTGGCGTTCAGTACAGTTCAGTATAACTGTCAAGAAATTCGTCAAATTTGGTACTCAATGCATTTTGACAAGAAAATTTTGTCCCGGTCCTTGCCGTTTGCTTGGTACTCCATGCGCAAGCTAGAAATTATTGGTGTTGTTTACCTCATGACCCTCTACCCTTTCCAGTCAAAACAAAGGGTGACACAGTACATCTTGCCCTGTGTACATCACATTGAAGTCTTATCTTAGCTTCTGTGGTCATTTTGAGTATTTTTGCCCTTTTTTCCTCATCAACATAGGTAAAGTGAAGTTTTTATTTTATTTAATCTTACGTATTCATTTTTAGGTTTATTTCTCAGGCAATGATATATGTCAAGGTAATAATTTAACAGCTAACCAGTTTATGTAATGTGAGATGTGTGATGTAATGTTGGGAATGACTCAGCAAGGTCTAAGTCCCTTTAAGAGCCAGCTGGATCTGTCTCTCTTTAAGAGCCTCTGTATAAAAGGGAAGGCTCCGCTGCTGTGTTCGTTCTCTTTTGTTTCCTACTGTGTGTTGGAGATTGCTGTATTAGCACATGTATGTATATTGTTCCTGGGGTATGATATTGTAGATAGTGTAAGATAAACCACCATTTAATATAGACCACTGTGTCCTTTCTTTAAGGAAGAATTTTTGCCTTGAAGTTCTTTTGATGGGTTTCATCTATCGCAGGGATGTCAAACTCAATTTCATTGAGGGCCGCATCAGCATTGCGATTGCCCTCAGGGGGCTGGGTGGGTGGGGCCAGGGTGGCTGCGGCCTACTGGGTGGGCGGGGATGGAGTGGGTGTGACCTATTGGGTGAGTGTGGCCAGCTCTACATCATTCGCGTCAAGGATGCCTGTGGGAGCCTGGGTAGGAGTGGGATCTGAGAGTCTCTGGCAGAAGGGGGTGGGAACAGGGCAAGGGCCAAGGCATGGTCCACTGGAGGAGCCTCACTGTTCCTCTCAGGCCAAGCGGGGGGGGGGGCTTATGGAGCTAAGACTGAATGTGTTTCAGCATAGATGGCCCCCACAAAATTGTACATTGGCTCCCAGAAGGGGCCGTTCCCTCACTGTTTCCAGGATGGCTTCGCGGGCCACATGAAACCACTTCACGGGCCACATCCGGCCCCTGGGCCTTGTGTTTGACATGTCTGATCTATTGGAACCTTGACACCACTGTTTACTGTGTTTACTCCTGGGTTATCTCAGCGCAATATGGCTGCGCATGCTCTGACAATATATAACCCTATCTTTTTACATATTGTCTTAAAATGTGCATTACCTTTGGTTTGAGAGCACATTCAATTTATTTACATTAGTCCTTATGGGAAAAAATGGTTTGGTACTCATCATTTTTGGTACTCATTGTGTCTCTCGGAACCACTTAATGACGAGTGTCTATGGAGATTTTCAGTCATCCAGGTCATGATTGTCCCAAAGGTGCTTTTTCAGGAGGCAACTGGACTTTCTTGTTTTTCTTTGAAGATGTTTTGCTTCTCGTCCAAGGATCTTCTTCAACTCTGACTGGATGGTGGGGAATGGAAGGATTTATACTCCTTGCAGACAGTTGTTGAGGCCATTTGGAGGTTTATCTGTGTCATCAGGGTCCTCAACAACTGTCTAAAACAGGACTTTTCAACCTTTTCACCCATTGTACCACTTTTAGGATATGGCAATATCCAGTTACCACCAGTCGCCTAGCAAGGTGTCAAAAACTTGAGGACCAAAAAAAAAAAGGAAAAAAGTGATGTACAGGTAGTCCTTGACTTACAACAGTTCGCTTAGTGACTGTTCGAAGTTACAATGGCACTGAAAAAAGTGCCCTCCAAGCCACAGCCAAGCAAGACACCTGCTGCCCGCCCAGCCACGTTCTTCCTCCTGTCCGAGGTTTTCATTGTTGTGAGCATTTCTCTTGAGGATTGGCAGCGGGGGTGGGGGGGTGTTTGGTTTTTATCCCCCCATCTGTTGGGTGGTTGCAGCAGGTTTTGGTCACTTCACATGGCCCTGGGACACTGTGATCGTCATAAATATGAATCAGTTGCCAAGCATCTGAATGTAAATCAGAAGACCCTGGAGATGTTGCAACATTCCAGCTGATCGGCACTTCTTCTGGGCTCAGCAGAGCTCCAGCTGGAGCCTGGGGCTGATCCTGGCGCTTCTGCTGAGCCCTGACAGCCCTGCAGCTCCAGCCATCTCTCACTCAGGCTTGTGCGGTGCTGCCACCGGTTCAGCTTATTCCCCTTCCCCCCTACCACTTTTCTAGGATGGTCACGTGCCACCTGCCAGATGCCAATGTACCACAGGTGGTACCCGTACCACTGGTTGAAAAGCCCTGCTCTAAAAGAATGCAAAGGACCAGCTGTCTGCCAGGAGTACAAATCTTTCAATTCCCCACCATTCACTCAGAGCTGAAGAAGCTTCTTGGATGAGAAGCGAAACATCTTCAAAGAGAAACAAGAAAGTTCAGCTGCCTCTTGAAAAAGCACCTTTGGGATGATGAGTACCGAGGTACCACCGTATGAGGTTTGGTAATGAAACGTTTGCATGAAAACAACCAAGCCACAGAGAGCACCTGAGCTACAAATATTCTGCTTTTTGGTAGTTTGCAGATACCTCAATGAAGTGGTGCTGGAGGCATTTCCACACATCCCGCAAGACTCTGTGTCCAAAATCTTCAAGACCTTTCACAAAAGGCTGACCTTGGGCCAGTCCACCCCATTGACAGGAATAGCTACAAAAAAAAAAAAAAAAGAGAGGTCAGGTTAGGACACATTATGGATAGTCCTCATTTTATAACCATTCATTTGGAGACCATTCGAAGTTACAACGGCACTGTCAAAAAGTGACATATGATCATTTTTTTCACACTTATGACCCCTGTAGCATCACTGCAATCATGTGATCAAAATTTGGACAACTTGTGTTTATTTATGATGGCTCCAGGGTCATGTGATCCCCTTTTGTGACCTTCTGACAAGCAACATTGGTGGGGAAGACAGATTAACAACTAATTTAACAACTGCGGTGATTCACTTAACCGTGGTGAGAAAAAACATAAAATGGGGGGGAAACTCACTTAACAACGATCTTGCTTAGCAACAGAAATTTTGGGCTCAAGTGTGGTCGTACGTCGAGGACTACCTGTATGTTCTCCCACTCACTCAGCAGCTGTCGCAGAACATACACAAATGTCACTCCCTTTACCTGCTAAGGACGGCCAAGCTTCCATGTTTCCTGAGATGTTCCTTCAGATCTGCCATGCGTTGGGCAGCTTCTTCTGACTCAGCTCCAAAATCTTTCTTCCATGCTTCTGGCACAGAGCTGGAGAGATCAAGAGAGACAGACAGCTCAAAATGTATGATTAAGACAATCCAGCCCAGTGTGAGAATTTGCTGTTGGGATTTAAAAGCACTTTTTGAAGGTGTGGAAAGAACTGGAGACAAAGGGCAAGGTTATTAATCTGGCGGTGCAGTGGTTAGAATGCAGCATTGCAGGCAAAACTCTGCCCACATCCTGGAGTTCAATCTTGATGGGCTCAAAGTTGACTCAGCCTTCCATGTTTCTGAGGTTGGTAAAATGTGGACCTAGATTGTTGGGGGCAACATGCTGACTTGTAATCCACCTAGAGAATACTGTGAACACTATGAGCCACTATATAAATCTCAGTACTATTGCTACTTAAATCTAAACTGTATACTTAATAAAAAGGATAGACTGATCTTGCAGAAAGGAATAGGCAGCCTTGATTGACTTTAAAAATAACTAACTTGATTACTGCATTCTAAGCACTGCACCATCAGGACTCCTAGTAAATTGAGACTGGTGTATAAGACCTGCAAGTTAATTGATAAAAACAATTTACCCAAGAAAATCAGGTTCTCGTAGATAGAAGAATGCCCTAGATCCTGCTGAGGGATCATTGCTACCATTCAGAAATTGAACAGCCTCCAATTCGGTGATGGAGCGGCCCGGTGGATATGTTTTCACCTGCAGAGAAAATATTCAAAGAGTAGCTCTTATTCTGAGAACCATCTCAACAGCTGTTTTGTCTTTGATCACATTTAGCCCTGGTTAAGTCTTGGTTCCCTTCATTTTCTGCCTTTCCTGTCAACACTGACTAATTAAGCCCACTTATTAGGCCCACAGTACTGTCTTATGTCTAAGTATATTTACCCACATTGTACAGCTATACTATTATTATCCTTCTCCTCTTCTCTACTGCCCGCTTCTATTGGTATCGTTATTATGACTATTATTACTCTGTTGCTTTGCATGTACACTGACAGCTTCTGCACCAGAGATAAATTCCTTGCGTGTCTAATCACACTTGGCCAAATAAAGTATTCTATTTTGTTCTGTGTTGCTCTACTCTGCTCATTCTAAACTAAGTCTGCTTCTATGTTATTTCTATGGACCTTCTCCTAACAATTGTTGGAGCCACTAAATCCCACCAGACCTGTCTGCTGATAAAACATACACTATGCATCTCTCTGCCGACAATAGGCAAGTCCTAAATCACTGCCTCCTGCACATCGAATTGATGCTTACTTTTTTTGTTCATTTGGGAAAGGAAATTTTCACTTAGCACTTTCTATGATCAGTGTTTCTCAACCTCAGCAAATTTCAGATGTGTGGACTTCAAACTCCCAAGAATTCCCACGCATCTTCAAATTGCTGAAATTAAGAAACACTGTTCTGGATCATCAACATCCCAGATGCTGGCTGGGAAAATTCTGGGAGTTAGAAGTCCACACATCTTGCTGAGATTGAGAAACACTGTTCAGGATCATAACATAATAATAATAAAGTTGGAAGGGACCTTGGAGGTCATCGAGTCCAACCCCCTGCTCAGGCAGGAACCCTACACCAGACAAATGGCTGTCCAGTCTCTTCTTAAAAACCTCCAGTGTTGGAGCATTCACCGCTTCTGGAGGCAGGTTGTTCCATTGGTTAATTGTTCTAACTGTCAGGAAGTTTCTCCTTAGTTCTAAGTTGCTTCTCTCCTTGACCAGTTTCCACCCATTGCTTCTCGTCCTGCCCTCAGGTGCTTTGGAGAATAGCTTGACTCCCTCTTCTCTGTGGCAGCCCCTGAGATATTGGAACAGATCCCAAGGTCACATCAGCATCATCTCTCACCCATGCATACTGCGGTTCCTCCGGCAAAGAAGTCTCTTTCGGGACAAGACCGTAGCGTTCCCCAAGGATTCCAATGAAGAGATCACTCCGGGAGACTTCGGACAGACACAATTCCACCTGCCTAAAGAGACAGAGGCCTTGGTGACTCTCTTCTCCCACTCCTCAGTTCTGCCTCGATCCCATCCCCTTCCTAGATGTACACGGGGAAGGTAGAGCTACACAAGGTGACCATGCTTATTTAACAGATTTTGGTGTCTCAGCACATTGAAGAGACACGGATGCTCTGCTTCTTCCTTTGCAGAGTACAACAATGAATTCAGTGACCATTCAAAGTTACGACGGCACTGAACAAAGTGACTTATGACTGTTTTTTTTTACACTTACGACCGCTGCATCATCCCCACGGTCACGTGATCAAGATTCGGATGCTTGGCAACTGCCTCATATTTATGATGGTGGCAGTGTCCCGGGGTCATGTGTGATCATCTATTGTGACTTTCTGGCAAGTGAAGTGTCCTTAACTTAAAAAACTGCAATGATTCACTTATCAACTGTGGCATGAAAGATCGCCACCACTGTCTTAGTCAATTCCATTCATTTAACAGAATAACAGAGTTGGAAGGGACTTTGGAGGTCTTCTAGTCCAACCCCCTGCTCAAGCAGGAGATGCTCTACCATTTCAGACAAACAGTTGTCCAATCTCTTCTTTAAAATCTGCAGGACTGGAGCACTCACAACTTCTGGAGGCAACTCGTTCTACTGATTAATTGTTCTAACTATTAGGAAATACTGTTAGCCTTTTTTCTTTAATATGGATACTGATTTACCCGGCCCGCCTCCTTCTCCATAAACAACCCACATACTTGTTTCTCTGGCTCTCGTGTTCTGTGATTCCCCAGCGCAAATCAATCTCCTGGATTGCTAAGCAGAACTTGGCGGCTCGTGCACGAAGCTCGGGAAAAACAGAGCGAATAAGCAGGTCACGTTCACCGTGCATATCCCGGAAAGTAGAGGAGACGAAAATCCTCACAGAGCGCCACCTGCTGGAAAACAGGAATCAATACCCAATTCTCCATCCAGAACAGTGGTTCTCAACCTGTGGGTCGGGACCCCATTTGGGGTCGAACGACCATTTCACAGGGGTCGCCAAACAACGCAGTCTGCAGTCTGCCATTTTTCCCCCCCTTTTCCTTAGCTGTGCTACTCCCTTTTATTCTATTGGCTTTTGAAAGCCAATAGAATAGACTCTCTTGAATAGAGTCTAATTCTATTGGCTTTCAAAAGCCAATAGGAATTGTCCAGGCTGTCTCTGCCCTGCTGAGCCCGCCAAAAGTTCCATTCTGCAAATGGTGCTGCACCAGTTGAGTAGTCCTCGACTTACGACCGGTTGGGGGTCGCGGCATTAAAAAGGTTGAGAACCATTGACCCAGAGTAACTCGTGGTCTTTCTCGCTACTTCCCCTTAACCTCACCTGTTCTGGGGGACAGGTGTCAAGGACACAACTCCAGGTTCCTGCTCAGCTGTCGCTGTTCGCCGTTGCTTGGGCAAGCCGTGAATCTCGTCAACTTTGTCAACATGTTCTAAGAACCGGGAATTGCCACATTCAGACATAAACCTGGCCAAAGGAAGAAAGGTCTTTTACAATCTAGAATTTCCCAGCAGACCGTAAAGCATACAGACACCCATCAGCTACCGAGATTTCTGCTTTCGTTCCAACTGCTTCTTTAAACAACCACTAGCTATCCAAGCTTATTGATAGCCCTGATGGCACAGTGGTTAGAATGCAGTATAAGGATGGAGATTCGTTCTCTAAGCTTGTGGGTTGGTTTCTGAATGAGTCATTACCAGGCTAGGTAACATCTTCAGAAGAATTTAGAATGCAGTATTGCAGGTTAACTCTCCCCACAGCCTGGAGTTCGATCCTGATGGGGCTCAAGGTTGACTCAGCCTTCCATCCTTCTGAGGTTGGTAAAATGAGGAGCCAGATTGTTGGGGGCAATAATCTGAGAATTGAGGCTTTTGAATTATGATGCTGGAGAAGACTCCTGCGAGTCCCTTGGACTGCAAGATGATCAAACCAGTCAATCCTAGAGGAGATCAACCCTGACTGCTCTTTAGAAGGCCAGATCCTGAAGTTGAAACTCAAATACTTTGGCCACCTAATGAGAAGGAAGGACTCACTGGAGAAGGGCCTAATGCTGGGAAAGACTGAGGGCAATAGAAGAAGAGGACAACAGAGAATGAGGTGGCTGGATGGAATCACTGAAGCAGTAGGTGTGAGCTTAAATGGACTCCAGAAGAGGGTAGAGGACAGGAAGGCCTGGAGGAACCTTGTCCATGGGGTCGCGATGGGTCAGACACGACTTTGCAATTAACAACAAAATAAATTGCCCAGAGAGTGCTCTAAGTCTAAAGTACTGTGGGGCAGTATATAAGTTTAAGAGCTATTGCTACCATGTTTCCCTGAAAATAAGGCCTGGTCTTATATTAACTTTTGCTCCAAAAGTTGCATTAGGGCTTATTTTCTGGTTAGGGCTTATATTTGGGGAAATATGGTACTAAATGAATCCCTCTGGCTGACAATCTGAACTGGGGCTTATTTTGGGGGTGGGGCTTATATTGCAAGCATCCTGAAAAATCATGCTAGGGCTTATTATCCAGTTGAGTCTTATTTTCAGGGAAACACAATATTATGTAAACTCTCTTTAGTCTTTTCTACTGTGGAATCAGCCTTCCGTGATCCACCTTAAAGCAATCCCATAACAAAGTGTAATCATTCACACCTCACACAAACCATCCACTTTTATTTCCACCCACTGGTTTAGCTCCGAGGCTTACCTGAACATTTGCTCGCTGAAACCATGGATTACCACATCCTTTCTGGATTTAAAAGTTCTCTTCTCCCTAAAGATGGAAGGCAAAAAAAGTGTTCCTTTAGTTGCACAGTGCAATGCTACTTCAGAATTCTGTTTAACTAGACAACCTGTGCCCCAGTTGGGTTATTTCCGAAATATTCCTTACCTAAACAGAAAAACAGAAGGAACAGAGGGAGGCAAAAAAAAAAGCAGTGGGAGCAACTTTCGGACTTCCTGAAAGCTTCCCCATTGACTTTCCCTGTAGGAAGCTGGGAGGGAGTCTGGAAAATGATGATCACATAAGCACAGCTAACTGTGGTAACATGGCAGCCTGAAGCAGGCACAACTTTGCCAAATTTTAATCCCATGGGAACCGTGAATTCCGGATTTTTGGATGCATTTGGTTAGTCCATTTGAGGTGCATGGATTCAAAAATTGTAGCCCAATGATCCACTGTTTATGCCAGAGGAAGGTGTTCTGTTCCAGCCTATTGCCATCCTTGTTAACTTCACAAGGACCAAACCCCTGCTGCTGCAATAGGCTGGAGACTTGCAAACAAAAACAAGACCCCCTTTTAATATTGTAGACAAACCTGTCAAATACAGCAAACTTAAGTCCAAAAGAGCACGATGAAAAACAAACAAGAAATCACAAGAGAAGTCACAGATCAAGATTCCAAGACGGGGTTTTCAAAGGGTTGCCTTCAGCAACCAGCACCACCCACACCTCCTCCCTTTAATTAGCAGTCCTAAGGCGGTGCCTCCCCTTGCCGCTTCTTCTTACTTTGGAGGTGCTTCATTGACCTCTGTTGCCTTACTCTGGCTAATCGACGCCGCCTGCGTGCGTCAATTAACAAGTCCATCTGTTGTGATCCTTCCAAGTCTGATTCATGCTCCTCACCCAGCTGAGCTTCATCAGAAACACGACTGGAGGGCCCAGGCTCTGCATCCAACTGTACTTCAGAGTCTCCCTCTGGCTCTGATGCCCCCCCCAAATGCCTCCTCCACCTCCTCCTCAGATTCCTCCGACTCAGCTGTTGGGAGCACAGGCTGGCACGGAATCACAACAGAAGGTTACAAACAATCAAACAGACACAAGAGTTTTAGCAGTATATAGCAGTGATGGCGAACCTTTTAGAGACCGAGTGCCCCCAAACTGCCCTGCCCCTGGCCTGCCCCTGCCCTGCTCCACCCTCACCCCACCCACCCTCAGGGCCATCCATGGCCTGCTGCAGATCGCCCAGGTGGCCCTGCAGCGCCATGGTGGCCATGCCCTCCGCCCGTGCCCCGCAGCATCATCTGCTGCCCAGTTGCCATGTGCTTGGCTGCGCTGCTCCAGCAGGCTGAACCCGGGGGCGACTCTCCTCCAGGGGGGCTGCTGGTGTGGAGGGAGCTGCGGGGGGAGGCGGGGCTGGGGCGACGGCATGCGTGCCCACATAGAGGGCTCCGAGTGCCGCCTCTGGCACTCGTGCCGTAGGTTCGCCACCACTGGTATATAGATTTCAGTCACTCAGGGTGAAGCGCTTCAGAAAGGGTCCATCAAGAGCAATGGTTCTCAAACTTTTTAATGCCGCGACCCCCAACCGGTCGTAAGTCGAGGACTACTCAACCGGTCGTAAGTCGAGGACTACTCAACTGGTGCAGCACCGTTTGCAGAATGGGACTTTGGCGGGCTCAGCAGGGTAGAGACAGCCTGGACAATTCCTACTGGCTTGTGAAAGCCAACAGAATTAGACTCTATTCAAGAAAGTCTATTCTATTGGCTTTCAAAAGCCAATAGAATAAAAGGGAGTAGCACAGCTAAGAAAAAGGGGGAAAAAATGGCAGACTGCGTTGTTTGGCGACCCCCGTGAAATGGTCGTTCGACCCCAAATGAACCACTGATCAAGAGGAATAAAAACAAATGAACAGTCTAAGGCAGGATGTCTATGGAGATTCTCAGTCATCCAGGTCATACTTGTCCCGAAGATGTCCCAGATTATCCAGGTCATACTTGTCTCAAGCTCCCATTTGGCAGTTTATCTGTGTCGTCAGGGTCACCTGAGTAGTGCAAATGGGTGTGGAGCCTTCTTGGAACTGCTGAAAGGACTGTGTTGTAGACTGGAGATAGATGATGTCGGATCCCTCCCGGTCTGTTGAGAGCGGGCTGTTCAGTTTTGACATAGGTGGCCTCTTTGACCCCCCTTTCAAACCAAAGCCAAAATTGAACAGCCCTCTCTCAACAGAGGAGGAGGGATATGGCATCATCTATCTCCAGTCTACAACACAGTCCTTTCAGCAGTTCCAAGGCTCCACACACATTTGCACTACTCAGGTGACCTTCAGGACACAGATAAACCTCCAGGTGGCCTCAACAACTCTCTAAAAGAATGCAATTGATCAGCTGTTTGCAAAGAATATAAATCCGTCCATGCCCCACCATCCAGTCAGAGCTGAAGAAGCTTCTTGGATGAGAAGCGAAACGTCTCCGAAGAAAAACAAGGAAGTCCAGTTGCCTCGTGAAAAAGCATCTTTGGGCCTAAGGCAGTGGTTCTCAACCTTTTTAATGCTGCGACCCCCAACCGGTCGTAAGTCGAGGACTACTCAACTGGTGCAGCACTGTTTGCAGAATGGGACTTTTGGCGGGCTCAGCAGGGCAGAGACAGCCTGGACAATTCTATTGGCTTTTGAAAGCCAATAGAATTAGACTCTATTCAAGAGAGTCTATTCTATTGGCTTTCAAAAGCCAATAGAATAAAAGGGAGTAGCACAGCTAAGGAAAAGGGGGGAAAAAATGGCAGATTGCATTGTTTGGCGACCCCCGTGAAATGGTCGTTCGACCCCAAATGGGGTCCCGACCTACAGGTTGAGAACCACTGGTCTAAGGCAAGAAGCACTCTCTCTTTTTACCCTGGCTCAGCACAGATGTTGATGAAAAGGCAGTCTGGGGCAATATGGTGGCGATATGTCTGGAGACAAGAACCGCTGAGTTCCTCAACATCACTACTTAGCAAGAGAATCGTATCAACCTGGAGTTGGGAAAGAAAAATAAGAGCTCTGTAACACGCAGGGACTCATCACGCTGACCTGCACATGTTAAAACTCCAAGGCAACGGCTTGTGTCTGCAACTTTTTTTTCTTTCTGTTTAAGCGAAGACCTTGACAGCCTCCAACTCCATGCAGCCAGCAGTTGCATTCATCAGGTTTTCCCCAACCCAAACCTGTGTATGGTTGCTGAACGACAACTCCCATCAGCACCCTGTAGATGGGATCATAGGAAGCTGTAACCAATGCTGAGGGTTGTTACGGAAGCTACCAAAGCTTTGAGACCCCTCCCATCCTAAACCTCTCTTTTTCCAGCTGGGCCAAGAAAGCGCAAAGACTTTTGCTTTCTTCTGCTGTGCAAAATCAAGGCTACCATCGTAAAAAAAAAAAAAACCAATTCCTTGGATGAGATCCAAAAGAATGGTCATCTAGAACCTAACTGGATCTAGTTTACACCAATCCCATATACTAAGCATTACTATTTGTTTGCTATCCTCAGACCCACCTGCCTATTCACATAATTCATGATTATTCATATTTATCTGGAGAAGAGGGACTAAGGTCCTCTAGAAACATTAAGGCAGAGAGGCAGTGATTGTTTCACTGAGGACACCGACATTCATTAACCTGATGGATTTTTAAGTGATCCTTTTGTCCAGCCTGTCCTTCTAATTGAAGGCTTCCTCCATTTTTATCATGGACTCACGTGTTCCCGCCGAGTCAAGAAATCCTTGATGACGTCCGATGATGACCAATCATTACTGTAGTAAACTGTATTGTACTGGAAGAAGCATTGGACACATCAGCCACTCCTCGATCCATGATTGTAAATGTGTCAGGCACAAAGAATCAGGACCATTTGTGTAGATAGCACTTAGACTTATATACCATCCCATAGTGCTTTACATCTCTCTCTGAGCGGTTTTACAGCGTCAGCCTATTGCCCCTCAACAATCTGGGTCCTCATTTTACCGACTTCGGAAGGATGGAAGGCTGAGTCAACCTTGCACCAGCCAGGATCAAACTCCTGGCAGTGGGTAGAGCTAACCTGCAGTACTGCATTCTAACCACTGCGCCACTAGGGCTCCCATTTATTTTTTTGCAGCATAAATGCAAATAGATTGTAGCATAAATGATTTATTGAGGCCTATACACAAGAATCTGGACAACTAAAACTGCCAGCACTAAACTGACGCTAGATGGAGGGAGTGGAAATCAAAGAGGACTTGGATTCCTTGTGGCAACATAAGGATTCTAAACTGATGACACATTTTACTACCCCCCCCCAGCTTTACCTTCTCTTCTCCTACAAAATGGAGCTCTTCTGTAGATTCACTAACTGGCTAATCAGCACCTGGCAATCAATGACTGACAGCTTCTTCTGTCTCCATGTCAGTTTCTCTTTCTACTTTGTTATATTGGGGGTGGGGGGGGAGAGAAGAGGAAAATGTACCTCTTTTTCTCCTATTGTTTTTGCAATCTTCATTATGCAAATTTATACACCCATCCCAACATTCCCTTGGGGAGGTAAGCAAAGCTATGCTTACTTACACAGAACAAAAATGAAGGAGAAAGATGAAGAAATTAAAGTCAGGGAACCTAACTAGATTTAATTTACACCAATCCCAGTCACTAAACATCTCTGCTTCTTTGCTCCCCTTAAACCCTCTGGCTGATTCATGCAATGTGTGATTATTCCTATATATCTGGATAAAAGCAAAAGACGATGAAGCCTGAAATCCACCGGTGGGATTCAGCCGGTTCGCACCACTTTGGCAGAACCGGTACTTAATTTTTTGTTGCCCAGGCCCAGCATGGACTTCCGGAAGCAGCATCCACACAGAGAAGCAGTTGTTCACATATTTGAACCCCACCACTGCTGAAATCAAATCCTTGCCCTGAGCCCAATGTCTCTCTCAGTTCCACGTCTTACCATCTTCTGTAAGGTTTGCACATCCTTCAGCACAGAACCGGTCATGGGGATAGCCCCCACAATGTCTGAAAAGTTGCAGAGGAAGACCTTAGCCTGTTCACAGACTGAATATAACATGGATCCCAGCAACATGGCCAAGTCTCGGATCTAGAGAGAGGAGAAGAATGACATGAAAAGAGGCGCACAACGGTGGCTGTTCAAAGTTACAACAGCATTGAAAAAAAAGTGACCAATGATCGGTTTTCACGTTTACGACCACTGCAGCATCCCCATGATCATGTGATCAACATCTGGGCACTTGGCAACTGGCATGTATTTGTGACATTATCTCAGGGTCATGTGATCACTATTTGCAACCTTCCCAGCCAGCTTCTAACAAGAAAAGTCAATGGAGGGGGAAATCATATTCACTTAACAACCATGTTACTAACTTAACAACTTCCTTAACAATGTCCCCAAGAGTAAAATGGCGATCATGTGACCCCAAGATGCTTCATGATTCATTTAACAACCATTTAGCTGACCATATTTGTTATAAATGCCAATGCAAGTAGTCCTCGACAGTTCGTTTAGTGACTGTTCAAAGTTATAACGGCACTGAAAAAAGTGACTTATGACTGTTCTTCACACTTGCGATCCTTGCAGCGTTCCCCATGGTCACGTGATCAAAATTTAGAAGTTTGTCAACTGACTCATATTTATGACGGTTGCAGTGTCCCAGGGTCACCTTTTGCAATCTTCTGACAAGTCAGTGGGGAAGCCAGATTCACTTAACAACCACGTTGCTAACTTAACAACTGCAGTGATTTGCTTAACAATGTCCCCAAGAGTAAAATGGCGATCACGTGACCCCAAGATGCTTCGAACATCATAAATATGGGCCAGTTGCCAAGCACCCAAATTTTGATGTGCGGATGCTGCAACGGTTGTAAATATAAGGAGCAGTCGTTAAGTCATTTTTTTTCCCCAGCCCCATCCTAATTTTGAACGGTCATTCAAGGAATGGCCATAAGTCAAGGACTACCTACAGCATTCATGCTTGCAAGGAGGCCCTTACATAATAAGGTTGAACAAAATTAAGGGCCAAAAAAAAGAGGGAGAACTAAATGACAACTGATTAACTGTTTACCAACCGTCATGGGATCCTTCCTCTGATCGTTGCTGTTATCCTTGTCGTAAGTTGGACAATACATATTTTGGCCTGGGGCGCAAGGTTTCGCCAATCGATAGGAGCTAGCGATCAAGATGAGAGTCCGTCCAGGAATGGGGTGCATATTATGCTTAACTGATAATCCAACTGCATTCTCGAGAGCCTGACAGTAACGTTGCAGGAGCTCCGGGGTGTAGCGGATGTCTCTGTGAGATACAAAATTGAGAAAGAAGAAAGTCTGAATAAAGGGGAATATTTGCAGCTCAGAGGGTGAAATGAGGGGTCCCTGGTACTCTCTGAGCTACCAAGCTCAGAGAGCCTCAAAGACCCTTCAGAAGAAAGTCTAAAAATATAAAAAAAATACTATTTTCTTGTTGAACGTCTATGGCAGGGGTAGGCAACCTTGAGCACTGTCCAAAGGTGTTTCCGTGATTATGTGGTCAGCATGACATCGCAGCGTACTGTTACCTTCCCACCGAAATGGTACCTATTTATCCAGTTGCATGTGCGTGCTTTCAAACTGCTAGGCTGGCAGGAGCTAAGGCAAGACCAGGACCTCACTCCGTCACGTGGCGCTCAGGTCTCAAACCTCAGCTGCTGGCTTTCCAGCAGACCAGACCAGTATCTTAACCTGTAAGCCATCGCGTCACCCCATTACTATGGTCTAAATCAGTGGTGGCGAACCTATGGCACGCGTGCCAGAGGCGGCCCTCAGAGCCCTCTCTGTGGGCACGCGCGCCGTTGCCCCAGTCCCGCCTCTCCCGGCGGCCCCCTCCTCACCAGCAGCCCCTCCCAAAGGAGAGTCACGCCTGGGCGCGGCTTGCGTGGAATAGCCCAGCCAAGGACATAGCAGCCGGGCAGCGGGGACAAGACTCCGCCCTTGTGCCCTGTTGCACGCAGATGATGCTGCAGGGCACGGGCATAGAGAGTGGCCGCCATGGCACTGCTGGGCCGCCTGGGCGATCTGCTGCAGTGGGCCATGGAGGTGGGCGGCCTTGCGGGCGGGGGCGGGGGCAGGCAGAGGGGAGGCAGAGTGGGCGGGGTGGGGGCGGAACAGGTGGGGGGGAGGTTTTTGGGCACTCGGTGTCTAAAAGGTTTGCCATCACTGGTCTAAATCCTACACCTAACACTTCATTCTCCCTCTCCAGAACCTCTGCTCAGCAAGAAGACAAGGACAGTCCTAGCTATAGCCGCCTACTTGGATTTAAGCAGTTTTTTCTTCTCCTTCTTCACCATCTGGAAAATTAGCGGGATCTCCATGCAACCCCGTAGATATCGGGGTTTCCCAAAATTCATTGGTAGTTTCATTTGCTTTACGACCTTTTCGATGAGCTGTAGGTTACTTGGGAGTGGCTCGTCTGAAAAAAAAATGATACTCAAAGAAACAAGAAAGGAAGATCTCTGTTTCCTTGTCTGAAAATAGATACTTTTATCCGTAGGTAACCGAGTCCAGGGCTTTTCAATCTTTTCACCTATTGTACCACTTTTAGAATATGGCAACTTCTGAGTACCACCAGTCGCCTAACAAGGGGTCAAAAACTTGATGACCAAAAAAAAAAAAAAAAGGAAAAAAGTGATAAAAGTACAGGTAGTCCTCGACTTACAACAGTTCGCTTAGTGACTGTTCGAAGTTACAATGGCACTGAAAAAAGTGCCTCCCAAGACACAGCCGAGCAAGATACCTGCCTGCCCACCCAGCAGCGCTCTTCCTCCAATCCAAGGTTTTCATTGTTGTGAGCATTTCTGTTGAGGATTGGCAGTGGGGGGGGATGAGGGGGCGTTTGGTTTTTATGCCCTCCTGTCTGCTGGGTGGTTGTGGCAGTTTTTGGTCACTTCACATGACCCAGAGACACTGTGACCATCATAAATATGAATCAGTTGCCAAGCATCTGAATGTAAATCACAAGACCCTAGAGATGCTGCAACATTCCAGCTGATCGGCGCTTCTTCTGGGCTCAGCGGAAGCGCCAGGATCAGCATCGAGCTCCAGCTGGAGCCTGGCGCTGATCCTGGCGCTTCCACTGAGCCCAAGAGCCCTGAAGGAGTGCTGATCCTGGTGCTTCCGCTGAGCCCTGACAGCCCTGCAGTTCCAGCCATCTCTCACTCAGGCTTGTGCGGTGCTGCCACCGGTTCAGCTCATTACCCTCCCCCGCTACCACTTTTATAGGATGGTCGCGTACCACCTGCCAGGTGCCAATGTACCACAGGTGGTACCCGTACCACTGGTTGAAAAGCCCTGGACTAGTAAACCTCATCAGCATTTTTGCGTTCTTTGACATTCATCACTCATCACGAATGAAGGCAAATATACCTGTCCCAGGATAATGTTTCAGGACACAATCTGGGTCAGTCTCTGGGACCAGAAGTCTAGTCATTTTATCCTGCTCTGAACTTTTTTTTTTAATGCATCGTTTTGGACTCATGCTGAAGCCCATCCTCAGGGAATCTCTGGTAAACAGAGGTTCCCTGAAGGTGGGTTCCAGCATGATTCCAAAAGGATGCATTAAAAAAAAAAGTTCAGAGCAGGATAAAATGACTTAGGAGGCACTTTCCAACGTTAATAAAGAATTCCCAACCATTCACCCGGGTTAAGTATTCCTCACCCTTTTTCTTAAGTTCTCTTTCCAGGTCCACAATCACTTTGTACGCTGAAAGGAATCGGAAAGGAAGCTGTCTGCTGTGGATGACAGAGTCCTGGAAGGAGAGCAATGCCAAAGGCAGAAACAGAATGAAAGTTATTAACATTAAAGTACAGAACAGGGGTAGTCAACCTTGGCTCTTTTATGACTCGTGGATTTCAACTCCCAGAATTCCTGAGCCAGCTTAGCTGACTACCCCTGGTATAGAACAATCTAGTGCCACAGTTAAGTGAATCACTGCAGTTGTTAAATTAGTAACACGGTTGTTAAGTGAATCTGGCTTCCCCATTGATTTTGGTCGTCAAAAGGTCCCAAAAGGGGATCACATGACCCTCAGACACTCCAACCATCATAAATACATGCCAGTTGCCAAGCATCCAAATTCTGATCATGTGACCACGGGAACGCTGCAATGGTAGTTAAGGGTGAAAAACGCTCGCAAGTCACTTTTCTCAGTGTAACTTTGTATGGGCACTAAACAAGTGCTTGTAAGTTGAGGACCACCTGTATAGAGTTTTCAAGCAGTGGTACAGGTACCACCTGTGGTACATTGGCACCTGGCAGGTGGTACGTGACCATCCTAGAAAAGTGGTAGCGGGGGAGGGGAATGAGCTGAACTGGTGGCAGCACTGCACAAGCCTGAGCGAGAGATGGCTGGAGTTGCAGGGCTGTCAGGGCTCAGCAGAAGCACCAGGATCAGCGCCAGGCTCCAGATGGAGCTCAGTACTGATCCTGGCACTTCTGCTGAGCCCTGAAGAAGCGCCGATCAGCTGGAATGTTGCTGCATCTCCAGGGTCTTGTGATTTACATTCAGATGCTTGGCAACTGATTCATATTTATGACAGTCACACTGTCCCAGGGTCATGTGAAATGACCAAAACCTGCTGAAACCACCCAGCAGACGGGAATAAAAACCAAACAGCCCCCATCCCACCCCCGCTGCCAATCCTCAACAGAAATACTCACAACAATGAAAACCTCGGACAGGAGGAAGAGCGCCGCTGGGTGGGCAGGCAGGTGTCTTGCCCGGCTGTGGCTTGGGGGCACTTTTTTCAGTGCCATTGTAACTGCGAACAGTCACTAAGCGAACTGTTGTAAGTCGAGGACTACCTGTACTTTATCACTTATTTCCTTTTTGGGGGGGGAAGGTCATCAAGTTTTTGACACCTAGCTAGGCGACTGGTGGTACTCGGATGTTGCCATACCCTAAAAGTGGCACAATGGGTGAAAAGGCTGAAAAGCCCTGGTACAGACGACATTACCTTATCCTCGAGGCGTTTGAAGAGACGTTGATGGTGCCTCTCGCTCACCCCAGACCTCAAAATGTTGCGCAGGTTTCGTAGCATGGCCATGAAGGGCAGCTTCCCTGAATCTAGGAGGAAGCAAGCAGATGGTAATTTTACAGGGTGACAAAGCTGGAACTCAGCAAGCAGAAGTGATATTTTAGACCGCGATTTAAAAAAAAAATGAGTAAAAACTCAAGAATTGCACCCTGATTCTTATATCTTTCCTTTCCAGACATATATTCAGGCTTGGGAGGTGGGAGAATGGAGTAAAAAAGGGATAGAGGGGTCCCTCTGCATCCCCCAAGAGTTGGTGTTTTGCCCTTTGCATTTTCTAAATATTTTAGTATCATCTGCTGTATTACATCTCCTTTGGCTAATGATTTAATCCTCCTTTCCACCAGCAGTTTAGATGACTGCCATTTAAAGGAAAGAATTTTCATTATGTTGCTCATCATGACATTGTTGTTACCAAGATATATTATTACATTCTTTGTTTAACCTTGTTCCTTAACACAGAAGCGTACTAACATTTTAATACACATACATATACATTAGGTTTATGTAAAGGGCATAACACAGGGTTGTATAAGATGAAATGTGACTAGGTAAGCATTAATGCAATTTGTAGCGTAGCATAATGTATTGTAAGTCACATTATGCAATACATTAGGGATTCAAATATAACATAATGTAATATAAATACAATTATCACACTCCTGCAATATTTTGTCTGTCAAAGTTTCCAAACCCGTTCTACCTATAACACTCCCAATTTCTTTTGATCATTTCTCATTAAGTCAGTTTCAACTCTTAGTAATCACAGGAATTACAGGTAGTTCTCGATTTACGGCCACAATTGAGCCCAAAATTTCTGCTGCTAAGTGAATTTTGATAAGATGAGAAGAGAAGAGAAGAGAAGAGAAGAGAAGAGAAGAGAAGAGAAGAGAAGAGAAGAGAAGAGAAGAGGATAACCTTTATTGTCATTTTTTTACTGTGGGACAACGGCACACATCAAAAATTAAATTTAGTTGCCCGCTCTCAAAGTGAAACACATACATGACGCACACCTAAACATACTACGAACAACATATGTATAGACCCACATCCCTATGTATACATAGCAAATAAATATTAAATACTGTCCATCTTGAATATATAACGGAAGGAGGAAGCTTGAGAGTTCACAAGGTTAATGCTGTATGGAATGAAACTATGGCTGAATCTGGATGTTCTGCCACGGATACCACGAAGCCCAGAAGGTAACAAGGAAAACAGGTCGTGAAGAGGATGTGTAGTGTCCCAGACAATATTGCGGACCCTGCTCAAACAACGCTTCTGTGCTATGTCCTGGATGGGAGGGAACTGCCAATGATCTTTTCGGCCATTCTCACCACTCTCTGCACCGCCTTCCTGTCTGAAGCAGTGATGCTTCCAAACCAGACTGTGATGCTGTATGACAGGATACTCTCGATCATCCCCCTGTAGAAAGTGGTCAGGACAGGGGAAGCAAGATGTGCTTTTCTCATGCGACGCAGAAAACGCAGGCGCTACTGCGCTTGCTTCACCAGTTTCTCACTGTTGAGCGACCAAGTCAGCCTACTCGTTAGCTGCACACCCAGGAATTTGATGCTGGTAACCATCTCCACAGGTGAATCATTAATGCGCAGAGAAGCATGGCTGTGCCTGCCTTTTCTGAAATCAACAATGATCTCTTTGGTTTTTCCAGTATTTAAAACTAGGCTGTTTTCCTTACACCAGTTCACCAAACCCTCAACCTCCTTGAAGTAAGCTTCCACCTTGTCATCCTGAATAAGGCCCACTACTGTTGTATCATCTGCGAACTTCACAATATGGTTGGTGGCAAACCTGGTACAACAGTCATGGGTCAACAGGGTGAACAGCAGTGGACTTAAGACGCAGCCCTGAGGAGAACCTGTGCTCAAGAAAATGGTATTAGAGGTATTTGTTCCAACTCGCACATGTTGGGGCCTGTTTTTCCCCATTTTATTACTTTTCTTGCCATGTTTGTTAAGTGAACCACTGCCGTTGTTAAATCAATAACCCAGTTGCTAAGTGAATCTGTTTTCCTCTTTGACTTTGCTTGCAAACGGTGATTACATCTTTCCCTTTACTGACTTTGCTTGTGGAAAGGCATCACAGAAGGTCACAAATGGCAACCAAGTGACCACAAAACACTGCAGCTGTCCTAAGTGCCAGCCAGTTGCCAAACACCTGAATCGCAATCACATGATTTGTGGAGAATGTTGCAAAAGCCAGAACTTCGAAGATAGCAATGACACCTATATCACTTCATACAGCACTGTGTAAAGTATAAAGAGCACTTCAGGGCAGTTTACAATGTCAGCTTATTGCCCCCAACAACCTGGGTCCTCACTTTACCAACCTCAAAAGGATGGAAGGCTGAGTCAACCTCGAACCCCGTCAGGATCAAACTCCAGGCTGTGGGCAGAGTTAGCCTGCAATACTCCATTCCAACCGTTGCGCCACCAGGGCTCTTGTGAAGATTGTGAAGCCATTCCTTCAGTGCCATTATTTATTTATTTATTTATTTATTTATTTATGAGACTTATATACCGCTTTAAGTGCAAGCACTCTCTAAGCGGTGTACACCAGTAAGCAATGTAAATATATATATTTACATTGCCCCCAACAATCTGGGTCCTCATTTTACCTACCCCGGAAGGATGGAAGGCTGAGTCAACCTTGAGCCGGTGAGATTTGAACCGCTGACCTGCTGAACACAGTCAGCTAAAGTGGCCTGCAGTACTGCACTCTAACTGCTGCGCCACCTCGGCTCAGCAGTTATAACTTTGAATGGTTGCTGAACAAGTAGTCATAACTCAAGGACTGCCTCTCTGTGTGTTTATTTCCCGTGTTCCCACTGTAATTCTGTCTAATAAGCATACCTTTCTCAGATTTTGGGGTCCAGCAGTGAGATGAGCCCATGAAAAAGGAAGGAAAGGAGTCGACTCTTCCACCTACCAATCAGCTCTTCCCAGACAGCAGCCTTGTTCCCACGGTGGCTCAGTTCTCGATCCCAAGTCTGGGGCAACGGCAGCCGCATGCGAGTGCCCGCAAGGGTCGGGTCCCAGGGCCCTGGCAATCGGCTTCGGGAAAAGGAGGGCAGATCTGGGGGGTACCTAGAGAAGAGAAAAAGACTGTGAACTCAAGGTCTGCAAAAAGAAACATACGAGGAGAACAAGGGTCAACTTTCACATGGACCAACCAATGGATACAAGTTAGTCCTCAGCTTACAACCACTTGCTTAGTGACCGCTCAAAGTTACAACGGCACTGAAAAAAAGAGACTAATGACCATTTTTCATACTTATGGCCATTGCAGCATCCCTGTGGTCACCTGATCAAAATGGGGATGCTTGGTGACTGGCGTGTATTTGTGACGGTTGCAGTGTCCTGGGGTCATGTGACCACCTTTTATGACTTTCTGACAGGCAAAGTCAATGGGTGAAGCCCAATTCTTTTAATGACCACATGATTCACTTAACTGCAGTGATTCGTTTAACAATGGTGGCAAAAAGGCCATAAAATGGAGCAAAACTCACTTAACAACTGTCTTACGTAGCAATGGAAATTTTGGGCTCAACTGTGGTCGTAAGCTGAGGACTACACCTCTGGAATCCTGTTGGTATTTGTCCCGTCAGCTGGCTCCAGGGAAAAATTGCCATTCCAAGTTTTAGCATCCCCCTCCGCTTACAGGTAGTCCTTGACTTACAGCCACAATTGGCCCCCAAATTTCTGTTGTTAAGTTAGACATTTGTGGTGAATTTTGCCCCATTTTTCAATCTTTCTTGCCCCAGTTGTGAAGTGAATCACTGCAGTTGTTAAATTAGTGACACAGTTGTCGTTAAGTGAATCTGGCTTCCCCGTTGACTTTGCTTGTCAAAAGTTGATCACATGACCTCGGCACACTGCAAGCGTCATAAATACAAACCAGCTGCCAAGTGCCCACATTGTGATCACATGACCTCAGGGATGCTATAACAGTCGTGAGAAAAATGGTCCTAAGTCACTTTTTTTCAATGCCGTTGTAACGTAGAATGGTCACTAAATGAACTGCTGTTTAAGTCGAGAATACCTCTACACCCCTGCAGAAAACTCAAAAGCCAGATGCTACACCAGGCTGAGCTAGGCCGTCTCACCTCCGTCCCAAGAGACTCATAACATGCTGAGCTGGCTCAGAAATGTGAAGGCGGTGGATCAAATTCTTCAGGGAGAACAAATCTCTGACAACTGCTTTCTTTTTTATTGAATCCATCACCTCTCGGCGCTACAGAAGTCAAAGGACAGAGAATCAGGCAATTGGCATTTTACAGGAATACCCCCAACCACCTTAAAAACCCCTTCCATTTATAAATGGCTGATGGTGGGGAGTTAATCTCAATGCATGCCTTGATAGCACCTCATCTTGCATTGTTCAAAATGAAGTAGAAAACACAGAGGGATTCCTCCATTCTCACACATACATATCCTGAGAGCACTTACTGTTTTCTGCAAGGCCTCACATTTTGCCGCAAAGAGTTCGTTCCGGCCTAGTCTGTGATTTTTCCAGTTGTCCCAAGAGGTAGTTCTTGCAGACTGTGGAAGAAACAAACTTCCAAAGTAAATAATCTCATTTCTCACATGCTAGAAGAGTCCTTATTAGAGATGTATTTGATATGGAGACATAGATATGTCTTCATTCACACAAACTAATTCACAATTAACAGAATAATGGAGTTGGAGGGGACCTTGGAGGTCTTCTAGTCCAACCCTCTGCTCAAGCAGGAAGCCCTATACCAGTGGTGGTGAACCTATGGCACGGGTGCCAGAGACGGCACTCAGAGCCCTCTCTGTGGGCACGCGCGCTGTCGCCCCAGTCCTAGGCCTTCAGCTGGGTTTTTATAAAACCTTTTCGCTTTAGGCCTCCGCCGCCGTGTGCAAAAAAAAAAAAAAGGTTCAATCAATCAGACAATTTCAACTTCTTGTGGGGAAAAAAAAGATCTTGCAAAGTTGGAATTGATTGATTGAACTTTTTAGTCCCACCCAGTCTGCCATTACCACCGCAGCCACACCCATCTAATGGGCCACACCCATCCAATGGGCCATGCCCACCCAATGGGCCACACCCACCCAGCACCCGATGATGCGTGAGTTTTGGGTTGCAGTTTGGGCACTCGGTCTCTAAAAGGTTCGCCATCACTGCCCTATACCATTTCAGACAAATGGTTGTCCAATCTCAACTTTAAAACCCTCCAGTGATAGAGCACCCACATCTTCTGAAGGCAAGCTATTCCACTGGCTAATTGTTCTCTCTGTCAAGATATTTCTCCTTAGTTCTACGCTGGTTCTCTCCTTGATTAGTTTCCGTCCTTTGCTTCTTATTCTGGCTTCAGGTACTTTGGAGAATAACTTGACTCTCTCTTCTTTATGGCATTCCGTCAAATATGGGGACACTACTATCATGTCACTCCTAGTCCTTGTTTTCATTAAACTAGAACCAGCAACTGTTCTTTATATGTTTTAGCCTTCAGTCCTCTAAACCAGGGTCCTCAACCTTGGCAACTTTAAGACTTGTGGACTTCAACTCCCAGAATTCCTCAGCCAGCTTTGCTTTAACTGCATTTTTCAATGTTTTTAGATAGTCCTCGCTTAACGACCACTTGTTCAGCACCTGTTCAAAGTCACAACGGTGCTAAACAAGTGGGGTGTACCATTGTTTGCAGCGGCCCACACTCACATGATCGTGGTTTGGGTGGTTGGAAACTGGCTCACAATTTCAACATCATAGCCTCCCACAGTCACGCCATTGTCATTTGTGACTTTCCAACGGGCAAAATCAATGAGGAAGCCAGCAGGAAGTGGCAAATGGCAACCAGTTGACATCGTACTTAATGACGGTGTGGGATTCTCTTAATGACTGCTGGAACTGCTGTTGTAGGTTGGCGTGATCAGGTGAGGTCGTGCTTTACGACCGTGACACTTGGTGACATGTGTTACCGATACCACTTGCCATTGTTAAATGAGGACTACTTGTATTCTTTTTTTTTTTTTTTTTTATTGAAAGTTTTATAAATTTTACAAATAAGGAAAAATAATACAAATTAAGGAAAAATAATACAAAACAAGAGGCAACATATACAGAAAAATAAAACTAAACAATACATATATTAAATAAAAAAAAAAAAAACCCATCCCCCAGCCCTCCCAAAAAAAAAAAAAAAAACCTCCCTTCCCCCCCCCCTGAGCTTCCCAGAGCAGAATATAGGCTTAAAAAATAAAAATAAAATTAAATTAAAAACTTTATATTTATATATATAAAAAATTATCTATAATATATATGAAAATAAAACTTATGAAAAAACTATATAATATTTTTGTATACCCAATCTAAATTGTATAAATTTTATCCATTTATCCCAAACAGCAAAAAACTTCTCTTGCGTTTGTTGCTTTAAGAAAGCCGAAATCTTTGCCATTTCTGCCAGATAAGCTACTTTAAGAAACCATTCCTGCAATGTAGGCAAAGATTCCTTCTTCCAGTATTGTCCTACTAACAGCCTAGCGGCTGTGATCAAGTTTAACATCAATACAACCTCCTTTGTATCACAATCTGTAACAATACCTAACAAAAATAATTGCGGAGTAAATTTTACCTTCCTTCTAAAAATTCTCTGGATATTCCACCATATTTTAATCCAAAATGCTTTTATCTCTCTGCATGACCACCAAATATGATAATAAGAAGCCTCCTTATAACCACATCTCCAACATTTGGGTTGCACGTCAGGATACCTATAAGACATTTTTTGTGGATCAAGGTGCCATCTATAAAACATTTTATAAAAATTCTCCCTTAAGTTCTGTGCTTGAGTAAATTTGACATTTCTCACCCAAATAGTTTCCCAGGTGTCCAATGAAACTGGCTCAACAAAATTCTGCGCCCATCTAATCATACAATCTTTAATTAGTTCCGTTTCTGAGTCCAATTCAACTAAAACCCCATAAATTCTCTTAATGTGGGTTTGTCTTTGATCCTTCAGTTGATTAATAAGGTTTTCATCTTCTCTAAGAAAACCCACCTTACAATCCATCTTCCATCTATCTAATAATTGCCTATATTGGAACCAAGAATAAGTAAAATTTTCTTGTGCTAACTCTTCCCGTGATTTTAATTGCCAGTTTTGTCCATCCCATTTAAGTAACTGTCTATAAGACACCATATCCATTTTAACCCCTCTTTTTATTCCTTCTATCGCATGCCAAGGTATAGCCCATAATGGTACTTTAAAATCACTTTTATAATATTTTCTCCAAATCCTAAGTAAAGAAATTCTTAAAATATGAGATTTAAAAGCCCAATCTATTTTTTTATTAAATATTAAATAGGCATGCCACCCATAAAGTAAATCCCATCCCTCTAGATAAAGTATCTCAGAATTTGTCAAATTTACCCAATCACTAATTAATGTTAAAACCACCGCATCATAATATAATTTCAAATTTGGTACCTTAAGTCCACCCCTCTCACGGAAGTCTTGCATAATTTTAAACTTAACCCTTGGTTTTTTCCCTGCCCAAATAAATTTGTTGAGACCCTTCTGCCACTCATTTAAATTAATCTCATTTTTCAAAATTGGTAACATTTGAAACAAAAAAAGAAACTTGGGTAGAATATTCATTTTTATCACTGCAATTCTTCCCATGAGGGATAATTGCAACTTTTCCCAATTCTTCAAGTCCTTCTGTACCCTGACCCACAACCTTTCATAATTATTTTTAAATAATTTTGCATTAGAAACAGACAGCATCACCCCCAAATATTTTACCTTATTAACAATCTCAAAACCCGTCAAGTTGACCAAAATCTGCTTCTCCTGACTCGACATATTTTTAGGTAAAATTTTAGTCTTATTTACGTTAATCTTAAAACCCGAGACCAAACCATAATGATGAATCAACTGTAATAAGTTTACTACAGAATAATCAGGTTGCGACAAAGTAACAACCAAGTCATCCGCAAAAGCTCTCAACTTATATTCTTTTTTATTAACATATATTCCTTTAATTTCCTGAGACTCTCGAATTTTGATCAATAATATTTCCAATGTTAAAACAAACAACAATGGCGATAAAGGACACCCCTGTCTAGTACCTTTCTCTATTGTAAAAACCTCCGACAAACCTCCATTAACAATAAGTTGTGCCGTTTGTTTTTGATATATTACCGTAAGGGCTTGTAATATCTTTTCACCAAAATTCATTTCTTCCATTACTCTTAACATAAAATGCCAATTCAATTGATCAAATGCTTTTTCAGCATCTAAAAATATGAGCCCTGCAGGAACTTGGTTGTTCTTGTCTAAATATTCTAGTAAATTAATAATTTGTCTGACATTATTTTTCATATACCTTCCTGTTATAAATCCTGATTGATCTTTATGCACAAGATGATGCACCACCCTCATAAGCCTATTTACCAAAATTTTTACAAATATCTTATAATCCACATTTAAAAGAGATATAGGCCTGTAATTTTTTGGTAGGGTAAGATCTTGATCCTCCTTTGGAATCAATGATATAAAAGCACTACGCCATGAAGGAGGAATCTCTAAACCCTGTAAAATACCATTAAAAAGATCATGTAATGGTTGGATCATCTCCTCTATTAGAACTTTGTAATAAACAGCTGTTAACCCATCCGTACCCGGTGCTTTCCCTAATTTCAATTGTTGAATTGCTGAGGTAATTTCCTCCTTAGTAATTAAACCATTAATTTCATATTTCTGATCCTCAGTCAGTTTAGGAAAACTTGCCTCAGCTAAATATTTATTTATATCTAGCATTTGTATATTAGTAGATTTATATAGGTTTTGATAATAATCCAAAAAAGATTTTTTAATCAATTCCTTCTGAGAAACTAATTTACCCTGATAGTTTATTTTCTCTATTATTCTTTGTCTCTGTTTCTTTCTTAATTGATAAGCCAACCATCTCCCAGGCTTATTGGCATTACAAAATGTATTTTGTTTCATAAATAATAAGTTGGTTGCAGCTTGATCTGCTATCAACATATTAAATTGTGACCTTAATAACTTTACAGATTCTTTAATACTCTCATCAGAAGGATTTAAAATCAAAGCCCTTTCTTTTAATTTAATTTCATCTTCAAGTTCTCTACGTTTCTGAATCTGATTTCGCTTATAAAAATTATTCATTTTTATCAAAACACCGCGCATAAATGCTTTACCTGCATCCCATACCATTGACATTGAAGTCCCCTTATACATATTCAAAGCAAAATAGTCCTTTAAACACTCCTTTAGTTTTTGAACATTCTTTTCTTGTCTAAACAAATTTTCATTAACTCTCCAAGATCTTCTTTCCTCTTTCTCTTGAATCAGCTCCATCCAAACTGGACTATGATCCGTCAGTGATCTAGGAAAAATCTTTACATTCTTTACTTTATTATACAAGTCCGTGGTAATCAAGAAAAAGTCAATTCTTGAAAAAGATTGGTGTCTATCAGAAAAAAAAGTAAAGTCTCTCTCCTCTTGATTACGTTCCCGCCAATAATCCCTTAATTCCCAGTCTTCTTTCATGTCAAAAAAGGCTTTAGGTAGCCTTGCTTGTTTAAGAAAAGGAGAGGAACCTTTCTTATCCCTTAGTGTATCTAAGACACCATTCCAATCACCCATTAATACCACTGATCTATAATCAAGCAAAGTTATTTTTTGATGTAACTGTTTATAAAATTGTTCCTGTTGTTGATTTGGAGCGTAAAGTCCAACTATAAGTACTTTCTTACCATATATACCAAGTTCAATCATCACATATCTCCCCTGGGGATCTGATTCTACCAGACAAGCTGGTAGGTTTTGTTTAACATATATAACAACTCCCCCTTTCTTCCCAGGAGCAGGAGATATAAAATGAGATCCCAAACGAGCATTAACTAAATATTTCTGGTCTTTAAGTAAAATATGAGTTTCCTGTAGACAAATAACATCATTGGTATGTTGCTTCAAATAATAAAAGATTTTTTTCCGTTTCTGAGGAGAATTCAATCCATTAACATTCCAGGTCAAAAACTTTGCCATCTCCCTTGGCACGCAGCCTGGAGAAGACACCATCAAAATCTGACAGAGCTGCGTGTGTTGCATAACTCTTGGGTCTTGCTCCTCCCACCGGCGGTGAAGCACTTCCAGGAGAACTCTCTTTGGGCTCTTTTTTACGTTGCTCCTTCTCTTTACGCTTATAGGCTGCACGAGTCATCCTCTGCTCTTTAGCCTCCGTCTGGCGTTGCTTTGCCGCTTCTATCATCCCTGCGGAAACCAAATCTAATGCCTCAGATTGCTGCTCAGCTTCCTTACCACTCAAAGATTTCCGACCAGATGAAGTTGAGCCTGCACCCAGGACCGAAGTATAAAAATCTCTAGCTTTATCAACTGTGTTCAATCTGTAGCGTGTCCCAGCATGGCTCAAAACAATACCCATCGGAATTTCCCATCTAAATGGCATCGATCTAGCTTTAAGCTCATTGGTTAAAAAAGCAAAGTCTTTTCTACTTCTTAAAATTTTGGATGGGATTTCCTTTAGAATGATGACATCTTGGGCGGCAATCTGAAATCTTTTGTTGTAAAAGACTTGTATAATCTCATTCCGCAGGGACTTCTTTGTAAAGTAAATCACCACATCTCTAGGCAAATTCTTCTGCTTAGCAATCCAGGAGTTGAGTCTATAAATTTTTTCCACTTCTCTCTGTAATTCTCCTTTATCCATATCCAAGGCCAGCGCCAGATCAGTAAGGACCACCTCCACCAAATCTTGATTGATATCTTCCTTGAGGCCTCTAATCCTCAGGGCATACTCCATCTGTCTATACTGAAACATCAAAATATCTTCTTGTGAGGAGTCCACCTTCCTTTCCACGTCTTGAATTTTGTCATCCAAAGAGTCAACTTTGTCTTCCACTTCCTCAAGCCTTGCGTCGAGCTTAACCACCACTCCCAGAATTCCTCAGCCAGCTTTGCTTTAACTGCATTTTTCAATGTTTTTAGATAGTCCTCGCTTAACGACCACTTGTTCAGCACCTGTTCAAAGTCACAACGGTGCTAAACAAGTGGGGTGTACCATTGTTTGCAGCGGCCCACACTCACATGATCGTGGTTTGGGTGGTTGGAAACTGGCTCACAATTTCAACATCATAGCCTCCCACAGTCACGCCATTGTCATTTGTGACTTTCCAACGGGCAAAATCAATGAGGAAGCCAGCAGGAAGTGGCAAATGGCAACCAGTTGACATCGTACTTAATGACGGTGTGGGATTCTCTTAATGACTGCTGGAACTGCTGTTGTAGGTTGGCGTGATCAGGTGAGGTCGTGCTTTACGACCGTGACACTTGGTGACATGTGTTACCGATACCACTTGCCATTGTTAAATGAGGACTACTTGTATTCTTAACCTCTCTTACCACATTAGGCTAATTATAAAAGACCTACAGTATTCACACTCACAATCAGTTGTCCCCCTTTCAAACAATTGGCTTCCATCACCCAGTTCTGCATTATGAAGGGAAGCGAAGGGAAGGGAAGGGAATAGCAGAGTTGGAAGGGACCTTGAACGTCTTCTAGTCCAGGGCTTTTCAACCTTTTCAACCATTGTACCACTTTTAAGATATGGCAACATCTGAGCACCACCAGTCGCCTAGCAAGGTGTCAAAAACTTGATGACCAAAAAAAAAAGGAAAAAAGTGATAAAGTACAGGTAGTCCTCGACTTACAATAGTTCGCTTAGTGACTGTTCGAAGTTACAATGGCACTGAAAAAAGTGCCCCCCCCCCAGCCACAGCTGAGAAAGACACCTGCCTGCCCGCCTGGCCGCGCTCTTCCTTCTGTCCGAGGTTTTTATTGTTGTCAGCATATCTGTTCAGGATTGGCAGCGGGGGTAGGGTGGGGGTGTTTGGTTTTTATTCCCCCCATCTGCTGGGTGTTTGCAGCAGGTTTTGGTCACTTCACATAACCCTGGGACACTGTGACCGTCATAAATATGAATCAGTTGCCAAGCATCTGAATGTAAATCACAAGACCCTGGAGAGGCTGCAACATTCCAGCTGATCGGCGCTTCTTCTGGGCTTAGCAGAAGCGCCAGGATCAGCACCGAGCTCCAGCTGGAGCCTGGGGCTGATCCTGGCGCTTCCCCTGAGCCCTGACAGTCCTGCAGCTCCAGCCGTCTCTCTCTCAGACTTGTGCAGTGCTGCCACCGGTTCAGCTCATTCCCCTCCCCCGCTACTTTTCTAGGATGGTCGCGTACCACCTGCCCGGTGCCAATGTACCACAGGTGGTGCCCGTACCACTGGTTGAAAAGCCCTGACCTAGTCCAACCCCCTGCTTAGGCAGGAAACCCAATATCATTTCAGACAAATGGCTGTCCCGTCTCTTCTTAAAAACTTCCAGTGTGTCAGGAAATTTCTTCTTGGTTCTAGGTTGCTAGATTATCATTTAGGTCAGGGATCCCTAACCCCTGGTCTGTGAAGCAGTACCAGGCTGCAGCATGCCAGCAACCGGGCCGCACAAACAAGCAAAGCCCCATCTGTGGGATGCAGGCAGCACACAAAACCACACACTCTCCGGTCCGTGGAAAAACCTTTCTCCACGGAACCGGTCCCTGGTAGCCAAAAGGTTGAGGACCTCTGATTTAGTTATTAAATTTGTTTGCCACCCGTCCTGTCACAAGGCGACTCTGGGAGGCTTACAGCGTTAAAATGAAACCCTCAGTGCACGCAGAGATATAAAAACATAGGTAAAATATTAAAGCTGCAATAAACACAAGTTATAGCTAAAGATGGACGGAGACTATACAGGGGGAGGGGGAGAGGTGATTGATTGACTAACAGCAGTTACCACCTCTCCCCCCCCACACACATACCTGGTACAGTCTCCTCCCTTCCATCCCATCTTTCGTTATAACTTGTATTTATTGCAGTTTTAGGCCCCAAACTAAAATTCTCCCATCTGGACCCCCAGGCCAACTGGCAGAGCCTTCGAGGTCTTAAGGAAAGTCAGGAAGGTCAACTAAATATCACCTACAGGAGGGTAGGAACCAATTTCATCTCAGGAGGCAAGATGTTCCAAAGGGCTGGGGACACAGCAAAGAAAGCTCTTATGTTGAACCCCCACCAGCCAGAATTCAATGATCGACAGGATCTGCAGTACACTTCCTCTACCACAGTGGTTCTCAACCTTTTTAATGCCGCGACCCCCAACCGGTCGTAAGTCAAGGACTACTCAACCAGTCGTAAGTCGAGGACTACTCAACTGGTGCAGCACCGTTTGCAGAATGGGACTTTTGGCAGGCTCAGCGGGGCAGAGACAGCCTGGACAATTCCTATTGGCTTTTGAAAGCCAATAGAATTAGACTCTATTCAAGAGAGTCTATTCTATTGGCTTTCAAAAGCCAATAGAATAAAAGGGAGTAGCACAGTTAAGGAAAAGGGGGAAAAAAATGGCGGACTGCGTTGTTTGGCGACCCTCGTGAAATGGTCGTTTGACCCCAAATGGGGTCCCGACCCACAGGTTGAGAACCACTGCTCTACGAGCACAGGTGGAATGGGACTGTCTCACAGGAGTGAAAGGGTTCCTCAAATAACCTAGATCAAGGATAGGCAACCTCGGCTCTTTTATGACTCGTGGGCTTCAACTCCCAGAATTCCTGAGCCAGCATGGCTCAGCATATTAACCTCTCCCTTTCCCCTCAGCGTGGCTGGCTCAGGAATTCTGGGAGTTGAAGTCCACGAGTCATAAAAGAGCCAAGGCTGCCTACCCCTGACCTAGATCAATGCCACACAGGGCTTTATAGATAATAAGCAACACCTTGAATTGCACTCAGAAGCAAACCGGGTGGTGGAACAGTGATGTAACACGGGCCAGTCTAGGGGGCCCCAAAACAGCTGCTGCACACATTATCAAAGTTAGTTCAGGACTTTGCTCAGCATCCAAATGGTTGCACGCATCCCTTGAGGAATTTTCTGACCTTCAATTGGTTAGAATGTTTGGGAACCATCCACGACATCACAGCAACTCAGATGAGAGGAGGAAAGAATCTGCCAGTTTACAGTCTAATTTTAAATTTTAAAACCCAGTACTCTACCTTTGTAGCCTTTGGCTTGTGACGTTGCTTGCCCCGGCTCTTGCGTGTGTTGTATTTGGCCAACTGATAGGCACCAAACTGCCGGAACTTATCGGCCATTCCAGTGCGGAGACAGGAAGGCATGGGAGCCAGTGTTCCTTCTTCCCCTGCTAGGCTCTGTACAGAGAGGAGAAGGGAAAGGGCACCAAGTGGAAAGTCAGAATAACACAATATTAGAATTGGAAGAGACCTTAGAGGCCTTCTAGTCCAACCTCCTGCTGAGGCAGGAAATCCTATACCATTTCAGATAAATGGTTGTCTAGTCTCTTCTTGAAAACGTTCAGTGTTGGTGAATCCACAACTTCTGGAGTCAGGTTGTTCCACTGATTAATTGTTCTAACTGTCAGAAAATTTCTCCTTAGTTCTAGGTTGCTTCTCTCCTTGATTAGTTTCCATCCGTTGTTTCTTGCCCTGCCTTCAGGTGCTTTGGAGAATAGTCTGACTCCCTCTTCTTTGTGGCAGACAAAGACCACCTGAAAACTGAATTACACATTCTCACAAAAGTATTAATCTCCAACGGATTCCAAAGAAATACTATTACCAACCTAATCCAAAGGGAAACATCCCCCAAGGACCGAGACATAGAACAGTACAACGATATTGCCCTCCTCCCCTACATCAAAGGCACCACAGATAAATATCAGCAAAATTCTCTACAAACACAATATCAAGACAGCCTTCGGCACTGACCCAAAAATAGCCAACATCTTAAGAAACCCCAAAGACACGATCCAGCTAGAAAGCCAAGGAGTCTATGAAATACCATGCAAAATCTGCCCAGCCACATACACTGGACAAACTAATAGGAGAATAAATGCACGCATCGCAGAACACAAGAACGCAGTTAGTAAAGAAGAAAAAACTTCCTCCCAGCACCTTAAAGCTACAGGACATGAAATTGATTTTGAAGGAACCAAACTAATCTCCAAAACTGAACACCACAACAAGAGAATAATTATGGAAGCCATCGAAATAGAAAAACACCCCCACAACATGAATAAACATGATGATACCTCCTGCCTACCAGACATCTGGAAACTAGCCCTAATCAACAAACGAGTCCTAGCCACGAAAACTGACACAGGACCCAGAACAACACAGTACGCCACTACCATTCACCCTCACCTGACCCAAACCCAAGCCCAAACCCATCCCTCAGACGAAATGCAACCACCATCCAGAAGCCAAACCACGACAACATCAACAGGTGCTGCACCTCCCTCCGACCTCCACACAAAGCAAACAGACGCACGCCATGAACACAAAGCTAGACCACAAACTCGGAGCCAAACCAAAGCCCGGTGTGTTACTTCGCAGCCTTCTGCCCTGGACATCACATCACAGAACTCAGGAGGCTACAACGCTAAAGCTCAGGATGTTACAACATAGCCAACCACCCAGGATGGTGCAACACAGAACTCAGGATATCACTGCACTAGATCTCAGGATGTCATCACACAGCCCATTACCCAGGTCGTTACAACACAAAAGACTAATGGGCACACAGCCAGCACCTCAACTACTCAGGATGTTACGAAACAGCCAAACAATCTGCAAACAATAACTCCAACACAGCCAACCAATCCACCTACAGCAACTAAGCCAGCACTCCACACACCCCCACCAATATTTATAGAGAGACGGCAGCTCCGATCACACTTTGCTCGCAGAAGCACGAAGCCGAAGACCCCAGCCTGAAGATGACGAGTAGAACTAGATATACCCAATTTCAGCAACCGTTCCTTATATGTTTTAGCCTCCAGTCCCCTAATCATCTTTGTTGCTCTTCTCTGTACTCTTCAATCAATCTATCAATCCAAGGGTTCCATCTTGGATGAAATCCAGAACTCCCTGCTGAAGAGGAAATAGGAGAATATAGGAGTTGTTCTTACTTGATAGAGCCTGGCCACCTGCATCCAGTCTGATGGGAGTTGTACCGCATGGCAGAAATAGCGCCGCACATGTGGGCGGCAGGGCTGAAGGTAGGAAGCCAACGCCAGGAGGAAATTAGCCGTACTACGGATGTTCAGTTCTTGGCGGGCATACAAGGCAACCTGAGCAAAGAGAAAGAGATCGTTTCGGTGGGCAAAAAACAGTTCAATCCTAATATTATTTGGATGGTTAGGAATCTTAATACTTAATAATATCAGATTGGTGGTGTTTAAAGATTTAGTTGTGTGCAAAATGTAGCTATCCCTGCTCAAAATATATGTAGATATCCCTGCTCTGAGCAGGGGTTGGACTAGAACACTTCCAAGGTCTCTTCCAACTCTATTCTGATTTAATTATGTTTCAGAGTCCCTAAATAAAACAGATTTTATTTTTCTGGGCTCCAAGATCACCGCAGATGGGGACTGCAGCCAAGAAATTAAAAGACGCTTGCTCCTGGGGAGGAAAGCTATGGCAAATCTAGACAGCATACTAAAAAGCAGAGACATCACCCTGCTAACAAAAGTGAGCATAGTCAAGGCCATGGTTTTCCCAGTTGCAATGTATGGCTGTGAAAGTTGGACCATAAGAAAGGCTGAGCGACAAAGAAATGAGACCTTTGAACTATGGTGCTGGAGAAGACTCCCGCGAGTGCCTTGGACTGCAAGGCGTTCAAACCGGTCAGTCCTAGAAGAGATCAACCCCGACTGCTCCTTAGAAGGCCAGATCCTGAAGTTGAAACTCGAATACTTTGGCCACCTAATGAGAAGGAAGGACTCACTGGAGAAGAGCCTAATGCTGGGAAAGATTGAGGGCAACAGAAGAAGGGGACAACAGAGAATGAAGTGGCTGGATGGAGTCACTGAAGCAGTAGGCGTGAGCTTAAATGGACTCCAGAAGATGGTAGAGGACAGGAAGACCTGGAGGAACGTTGTCCATGGGGTCGCGATGGGTTGGACACGACTTCGCAACTAACAACAACAAATAAACAGCGGTAGGCAATCCCTCAATGTGGTACCAGGTTACAGCCCAACATAGTTCTGCAAGTTGGAATGAAGACTTGCTGCTGATGTGCAGACATTTACAAATTGAAAAAAAAAAATAGTATTGTGATAGGTGCAAAAAGTTGGATGTCCTTCCAGTCAGAATAGTTATAAATAATTCTGTTTTGTGGAAATAGCAGTTTCCAAATATTCTTTGCAATCAGCTAAGAGTTTTTCTATTCCGGCTTTTGGAATACTTCTCTTTCTTGAAGAATTCAAAAATACCCTTAGGTCTCCTTGCACGTACCGCATGTTTTAAATTGTCCACAATGCTCAGCACCAGGCACTGGGAAAGCCATTCTGAAGCTTTTACATTAGAATCATAGGGTTGGCTCACGAAGTTAGGATGCTGGGATGACGATCAGCAGGCTTGCGTTTGAGACCCGGTTGCTGCCGTGGGATAGAATGAGCTCCCATTACAGGGACCTCCACCTCCTGACCCAGCAGTTCGAAAGCGGGCCGCAATGAGTAGATAAGTGGATCACTTTCATGGGCAACTTAACAAGGATGTGAAAGGAGCCCCCCGGCTAGGCAGCCCTACAGGCAACAGTGATGCCACCGTTCAATCCCTTCAGTACTTCAGTACTCCTGATGTGACATGTATAATGTTGAAAGACCCTGGAGGTCTTCTAGTCCAGGGCTTTTGAACCAGTGGTATGGGTACCACCTGCGGTACATTGGCACCTGGCAGGTGGTACGCGACCGCCCTAGAAGCGGGGGAGGGGAATGAGCTGAACCGGTGGCAGCACTGCACAAGTCTGAGCGAGAGATGGCTGGAGCTGCAGGGCTGTCAGGGCTCAGCAGAAGCACCAGGATCAGCACTTCTTCGGGGCTGTCAGGGCTCAGTGGAACCATCAGGATCAGCGCCAGGCTCCAGCTGGATCTCGGCGCTGATCCTGGTGCTTCTGATGAGCCCAGAAGAAGCGCTGATCAGCTGGAATATTGCAGCATCTCCAGGGTCTTGGGATTTACATTCAGATGCTTGGCAACTAATTCATATTTATGACGGTCACAGTGTCCCAGGATCATGTGAAGTGACCAAAACCTGCTACAACCACCCAGCAGACGGGGGGGGGGAATAAAAACCAAACACCCCCCCTCATCCCCGCTGCCAATCCTCAACAGAAATGCTCACAACAATGAAAACCTCGGACAGAAGGAAGAGCGCTGCCAGGCGGGCAGGCAGGTGTCTTGCTGGGCTGTGGCTGGGGGGGGCACTTTTTTCAGTGCTATTGTAACTTTGAACAGTCACTAAGCGAACTGTTGTAAGTTGAGGACTACCTGTACTTTATCACTTTTTTCCTTTTTTTTTTTTTTTTGGTCATCAAATTTTTGACACCTTGCTAGGCGACTGGTGGTACTCGGATGTTGCCATATCCTGAAAGTGGTACAATGGGTGAAAATCATGGTTGATTTGAAGATGTGTTTCAGATCATTTGACTAACGTTTCGAGTCTTATAATTATAGGAAATTATTAAAGGTTTTGGGTATTCTATGATACCCACAACAAAGTTGACCACCCAATAAACCGGGGAAGTCAATCCTGTACAGAAAAATGGTGCAATCAGAGCTAAACCTCTGCAACAATTATAATCAGATAACCTCTTAAGTTCAGGGACATCCATGGTACACAGCTGCTCCTAATGCCTTACACATCCCACCCACCCCAACTCTCAAGCCCAGGCTCCACAGCCACCTTTCATACCTTGAGGATGAATTCAGGTTCATATTCTGCCAGATTCTTACATACTTTCATCAATTTCTGCTGCAGCAACCCCGGAGGATTCCCAAAAGTGGCCCCTTCCACCAACGAGCAGCAGACCAAGCTCAGGAGCATTAGCTAAAAAAAAAAAAAAAAAAAAAGGGGGGGGGGAGACTGAGGTAATGCTCATGGGAATTTCCTTACCAATTCTAAATTCCTAGTCCATAAGAGACTGTTTAACTACTATAAATCCGGAGAAAAAGATACCATGAGAACTTTAAAAAAAACCATTCCAGACTAAGTAGGAAACTAGAACAAAAGAATGCAGAAGCACAGGTAGTTCTTGACTTACAACCATCTGTTTAGAGACTGTTCAAAGTTATAACACCACTGGAAAAAAGTGAATTATGACTGTTTTTACACTTACAACTCTGAATTCTAATCCTGCCTTAGACACCAAACCTTGCTCGCTGACCTTGGGCCAGTCCCTCTGTCTCAGTCCAGCCCACCTCACAGGGTTCTTGTTGTTGGGAAAATAGGAGGAGGAATGAGTACAGGTTGTCCTCAACTTACAACGATATGTCTGAAACGATGTAGGGTTTCCTCACTGAGCAGGGGGCTGGACTAGAAGACCTCCAAGGTCCCTTCCAACTGTTATTCTATTCTATTCTATTCTATTCTATTCTATTCTATTCTATTCTATTCTATTCTATTCTATTCTATTCTATTCTATTCTATGCATTTGTTTAGTGACTGTTCTAAGTTAAAATAGCACTGAAAAAAGTGACTTATGATCACTTTTTCATAACTTATAAACCTTGCAGCATCCCTATGGTCACATGGTCAAAGACTTGACAACTGGCATGTATTTATGATGGTTGTAATGTCCCAAGGTCATGTGATCACCTTTTGCGACCTTCTGACAGGCAACATTAACGGGGAAGCCAGATTCACTTAACAACCATGATACTGACTTAACAACTGCACTGATTCACTCAAGAACGGTTGTAAAGTGGGGCAAAACTCGCTCAGCAACAAAAATATAGGGCTCCGTTGTGGTCGTAAGTCAAGGGCTACCTGCATTATTCTTGCTTGCAAAGCTGTTTTTGTTTGCAAACATCCACAAAAATGGGGGGGGGGAATCATGGCGCCCTCAAAGAGTTGCCCGCTTACCTTCTGCTCTTTTACAGCTAACCCTTCATCCTCCTCCTGTATCTCAGACAACAGGGTGTCATCCTCCTCCTGTAGTTGCTCCGACTCATCTTCCGGCACCGCAAGGACATATTCTGGGATGCCACCAAATGAGTCCATCTCATCCTCTTGTTTCTACCGTTGAACAGAAGAAAAATACAAGTCACTGTGAAGCCACTAAGTCAATAGTAGTAACTGTGAGAGGGATCTTGAAGACCTAGTGGACAATCACTTAAATATGAGCCAGCAGTGTGCTGCAGCTGCCAAAAAGGCCAACACAGTGCTAGGCTGCATTAACAGAGGGATAGAATCAAGATCATGTGAAGTGTTAATATCACTATACAATGCCTTGGTAAGGCCACACTTGGAATACTGCATCCAGTTTTGGTCACCACGATGTAAAAAAGATGTTGACACTCTAGAAACAGTACAGAGAAGAGCAACAAAGATGATTAGGGGACTGGAGGCTAAAGCATATAAGAAACGGCTGCTGGAATTGGGTATGTCTAGTTTAACGAAGAGAAGGATGAGGGGGGACATGATAGCAGTATTCCAGTATCTCAGGGGCTGCCAGAAAGAAGAGGGGGTCAAGCTATTCTCCAAAGCATCTGACAGGCAGAAGAAGCAATGGATGGAAACTAATCAAGGAGAGAAGCAACCTAGAACTAAGGAGAATCTTCCTGACACTGAGAACAATTAACCAGTGGAACAACCTGCCTCCAGAAGCAGTGAATGCTCCAACACTGGAAGTTTTTAAGAAGAGACTGGACGGCCATTTGTTTGAAATGTTATAGGGTTTCCTGCCTGAGCAGGGGGTTGGACCAGATGACCTCCAAGGTCCCTTCTAACAATTATTATTATTACTATTATTATTATTATTAAATCATCCTACAAGCAATGGCCACCCACTAAATGTGAAAGAAGGTGATGCTGCTATCTTGAAGTTTAGGATGCCATTCCCTCCATTTGATTTTCCAGATCTGCTCCAACAGCACGTACCGTGTGTCGATGCTGCCCATTCAAGCTATCTAATAAGGAACTGTTTGTCAAATGTCTGGAACCAACGAGTGCTGAAAAAGAGAGGCAGCTCTCAGCCCCAAGTCCCCATAAAATGCATGGAGGGGACGTTGAAGCACAGCAGAAGACATCATGGGAACACATCAGAGAAAAAAGTAACTATAAGATAGCTTTTATTGTCCCTTTTTTCTGTGAACACACTGGCACACATTTAAAAAAATGAAATTCTGATGCCCACTCTCCAAAAAAAATCATCATCATTCTAGCCTTTGTCGATCCACTGCAGGATGAAGGCCTCTTCTGCATGTTTCCAACCGATACGGTCCTGGGCTTTCCTTTGCCAATTGGGCCCTCATTGATCCATCTCATTTTAGGTCTCTTTTGTGGATGCTTTTTATCGAGTGGGATCCATTCTGTGACTGCCTTGATCCACCTGCCATCAGTTCTTCCATTTCCATTGCAATTCTTTTACTCCTTCGATGATACCGCGTACTTTTGTTCTCCAATCCATGCTGCAGGTTTTTTCTATCTTGTCTTGTAATGCTGAGCATGTATCTTTCCGTGGTTTTTTTTTTTTGCGCCACGCGTAGCTTTTGTATCGATTGTGTGGTTAGTGTCCATGTTTCACCGGCATATGTTAGAGCAGGTGGCCCACACTGATCGAAAACTTTTCAGGCACAGGGGAGAGGTTGTCCTTGAAAAATTATGCTTACCTTGCCAAATGCCTGCCAACCACATTTAACACGCCGTTCATTTTCGTTTATTGTATCACCTTCCTTTGAGATCCATTGGCCACACACAGTATCTAATTTGGTAACTCTCAAAAAGCTATTACAGAAACTAGTTATTCTACTTCGGATACATGAAGCCTCCTCCCAGAAGGTAACAAGGAAACATGGTCATGGAGATGGTGTGGAGCATCCATGACAATGCTGCAGATCCTGGTCATCATCGTGTCGAGCTCGAAGAACGCTCATGCTGTTTCAGCCATTTCTGGGCTTGCCGACAGACCCAGGGGATAGGAGGAAGAATGGAATGTGCCTTGCAGGTGGTGAGCTGCTAAGTTTGAGAATTCAGGTCATGCAACATAGTTTACTCAAAGTCAAAGACTTTTTCTTATAATAATGGTCTGAAGCATAATTGGGTAATGTGACCTGCACTCTCAGGGGGGAAGGGACTTTCTTTCCTTTTAATATGCTGCTTTGGCACCAAATAGCCAGAGCTGGTTTTCCTTTCATCTGTGCCGATACAATTTGCTCAATAAAGTTTTGCATTAGAGATTGGATCATATCAGCTATGCTTCATTGAGTTCGTCAGTCAGAACCTTGACACATCGCTTATAAGCTACGTTCTGGCTAGAAGGAAATGAACTGTCAATAATCTTTTCTGCTGTCCTCACCACTCTCTGCACAGCCTTATAGACTCAAAGCTAATCTAAGCTCCCAAGCAGAGATCTGTGAAGAGGTTTGCCTGCGAGAAGCACCCATCAGGTACACCCTAAACCGAAGGTGTTCATTTCCAAGATGACATAATGCAATTCCAAGGAAACACCAGCTTTGATTTAAAGCTGCTCCTAACAGGTGCTATGCATGCAATAAATCACGCTTTGCATTTCCGGTTTAGATCACTGTCTAGCCATCCTCTCTAACTCATCTCCACACAGCAGCCTTCCTGAACCTGTGCCCTCCAAATGAATGTGTGGATATTACAATAGCAGTAGATGTTGCCCGTTTCAACCCCATTTGGTCTCCCGTTAATCAGCTCACTGACACTGATCTGGAGCAGGAAAATTCTTACCCTTCAGAGTTGATGATTTTCCTACATGCAGAAACGAAGTAAAGACAGTCAAGATTACTTAGAGGGGAGACTACAAAGAAGTCATATTAGAGCACATTGAAAAATACTCTAGAGTACTGCAGTGTTTCTCAGCGTTGACCACTTTAAGATATGTGGACTTCAACTTCCAGAATTCCGCAGCCGGCGGAATTCTGGGAGTTGAAGCCCACATATCTTAAAGTGGACAAGGTTGAGAAACATTGCCCTACTGTGAAATAGTTGGGAGAAGTTTAAAAAAAAATCTGGAAGAAGGTAATGGCACACAGCTTCAACAATGACAACAAATCCTTCTTCTTCATGGAATCCATACATCTAAACCCCATCCATGGTGCAAAAAAAAAATAATTTGCACTGATATTTAGAAATAAATATTTGAATGTGCCATCAGGAATCAAACTCAACGCGAAGGAGACTTGACTGGGTACTTAATTTCTACAGATAAGGTGGAAGCTATGACAGGTAATCTTTGACTTAGAGCCATTCTTTTTAGTGACTGTTCAAAGTTACAATGGCCACTGAAAAAACTGACTTACACCTGTTTATTCACACTTACAACCACTGGTCACATGATCAAATCAGACACTTGGCCACTGGCATGTATTTATGACGGTTGCAGCAGCCCAGGACCATGGGATCATTTTTGGGCAACTTTCTGACAAGCAAAGTCACTGGGGAAGCCAGATGGACTTAATCACCGTGTGACTATTGTCACCACTGCAGCGATTTGCTTAACAAATGCGGCAAGCCAAGTTGTAAAATGGGGCAAAACTCAACTGTCTTGCTTAGTCACAGAAAGCTGGGGCTCAGCTGGGGGGGGGGAGTCTTGTGTCAAAGACAACCTATATTTCCTTCTTAACTTAAGTTTGACTCTTACCTGGTGCTCCTCCAGTTCATGACAAGATTGAAAGGTCTCCTCTTCAGTTGGCATGTCAGTGGCACTGCGTTTTGGCCAATGAAGCAATGAGGAGCTTTTCAAAAGCATTGCACAATCCAGAGAGAGGCTTGCTGGAACAACAGGGTGCAACAACCGGGCTCTGGATTCTTCCAACCCTGGCAAAGCAAGGCTGGAAAATGCGGACTGTGTCCCGAAGGGCTTTTCCAACCGCAGCAAATTTGGCTGAGAGAAGGTGCAATAGGAAAGCAATTTCTTAGGCCCGGTTTGCAGAAATTCAGACAGCTGGGAAAGAAACAAAATAAAAGCACCATCTAAGGCCATCGTGTCAAACACACACACACACACACACACACACACACAACACACACACTCCAACCCCCAAGTAAAGCTAGTCCTCAGCTTATAACAGTTCATTTAATGACTGTCTATAGCAGTGGTAGCAAACCTATGGCACGGGTGCCAGAGGCGGCACTCAGAGCTCTCTCTGTGGGCACTCGCGCCATCGCCCCAGTCCTGGGCCTTCAACTGGGTTTTATAAAACCTTTTCACTTTAGGCCTCCGCCGCCATGTGCAAAAAAAAAAAAAAAAAAAAAAAAGGTTCAATCAGTCAATTTCAACTTCTCGTGGGGAAAAAAAGATCTTGCGAAGTTGGAATTGATTGATTGAACTTTTTAATCCCACCCAGTCTGCCGTTACCACTGCAGCCATGCCCACCCTATGGGCCACGCCCACCGAATTGGCCACACCCAGCCAATGGGCCATGCCCAACCAGCACTCGACGATGCATAAGTGGGTTTTGGGTTGCAGTTTGGGCACTCAGTCTCTAAAACGTTCGCCATCACTGGTCTGTAGTTAACAAAAGCAGTGAAAAGGTGTGACTTATGACCAGTTTTTCATACTTACAACTGTTGCAGCACCCCCGTGGTCAAGTGATCAAAATTCAGATGCTTTGGCAACTGACTCATATTTCTGACGGATGCCATGTGCCAGGGTCACGTGATCACCTTTTGCGACTTTCTAACAAGCAAAGTCGATGGGGAGGCCAGATTCATTTAACAACCCTTCACAACTGCAATGATTCACTTAACTATGGCAGGAAAGGTTGTCAAATGGGGTAAAATTCACTTAACGATGGTCTCACTTAGCAACAGAAACTTTGGACTCAGTTGTGGTCGTAAGGCGAGGACTACCTGTATTCTTCAATCTACAATAGGCTCCACTTGAATTGACTTCACTCAGCGGCAGCTTTCTTACCATTAACTTGTTTTGTTCCTGGTTCTGGTTTCTTCCCGATGTCTCTCTGGCCTCTGAGACTTTGTCACTCTTTGTAGATCCTTCCGGGCCTTTCCACAAGCTCTCCACGTGTGCCAAACCAAGTTTCTCCGCCTCACCCACATCTTTCTGCAGGGACACAATCAGACACATCTAAATAAGTGGAGCAGCAACAATTGAATTCAAGCGTCGGCACGGTTCCTTTGTTCCTTCCGATACCCTGAAAATTTCGCTTGATAATTTGGCAGAAGGGTTGGACCTGATTTCTAGAGATGACACAAGATGTCTTCCTGCAGTTTTCTTGGCTTTATGATAGAAGCAAGTCTGCTGCTGGCATTTTCACCTTCCTGGTCTAGTGTATGTCTCTGAGATCTCCTTGTGGTCTCCTATCCCACTTAGACTTAACCCTTCTTTTCAAAAACAGAGGCCAGCCAGGGCCTCCCACTTGCCAGGACACCACTTTCAGACCCTCCCCATTTCTGTTTCTCATAATCGTGTGCGGTTGGGAAAAAGGCACAACATTTAAATCAACTACCCAGGAATTCAGTTGAAGCCAACACTTATTAGGAATATTTTCATAGGCACAGAGCGTTAGCTGTACCTTATCATGGTGAGTGGCCAACCTGGATCATTTGAGATCAAGGAAGCTGAGGTTATCAACTGTTCTGGGATCAGCCACTGACTGGCCCTGGGTGACAGGAGATTTCAGGGAACCTACCCACAATCCTAAAGGACGGACAGGATTCAAAAGTCGAAGTCGAGATTCCTCCAGTTTTTGGAGAATATGGGGAACAGGAGTATTAGCATGGACAGAAGGCTTCTCCATGGAATGTAGGGCAACGGGATCCATAGTCTTTGAGGACAAAGTCAACAGGGTTTCAGTCTCTGCAGAGGAAAAAAAATAAAGGCAGTGATTGTGTGCCTGAGTAAAAGCCCAGTTGTGAACTGCTTGTTCCCAAAATGGGCATGCAAATTCAACTGGCAAGCTTGCTTTTAAAACCGTTTTTTTATTATCATTAATTTATTCACACTACTGCAACGCGCTCTACATGGGGCTACCCTTGAAAAGTATTCGGAGACTACAGTTGGTCCAGAATGCAGCCGCGCGAGTGATAGTGGGTGCTCCTCGGTATACCCATGTTACACCTATCCTCCGTGAGCTGCACTGGTTGCCTATTGGTCTCCGGGTCCAATTCAAGGTGTTGGTTATTACCTTTAAAGCCCTATATGGCTCAGGGCCAGGCTATTTGCGAGACCGCCTACTACCTCATAGTTCCCTACGTCCGGTTAGATCCCACAGGCTGGGCCTCCTTCAGGTCCCGTCGGCCAAGCAGTGCCATTTGGCGGGGCCGCGGGGGAGGGCTTTCTCTGTGATGGCGCCCACGTCTTGGAAGCAGCTCCCCCCGGAGATTAGGACCACTCCCACCCTGTTGGTTTTCTGCAAGCTGCTTAAGACCTGGCTTTTCCGGCAGCCCCGGGGTTCATAAAATCCGACCCCTGGATGAATGTTATTGTATTGTTTGTTTTGTTAAGTTATATGGTATTTTTATTGTTAGCCGCCCGAAAGTCCTGCGGGAGTGGGGCGGTCTATAAATTTTAATAAATAAATAAATATAAAATGCAAAAATGCAAAAGAAAACAGTAGGAAAGACAGGGGAGGGAAAAGAAAAGGGAAAACTGTAGGAAAAAGGGGAAAAAGAAAGAAAAGGTATTGATTTGCGACTCTCTTTGGTAGAATAAGGTAATAGCATCAAGCCTCAACTTTTAAACTTTTGCATAATAGTATAAACTAGTCATTTCTGCAACAACAAACTGATCTAATCGATAAAACTCAAAATCAAATTTTCATTTTTTTTTCCACCTCGAGCACAAAATCCAGAAACGGTTCCCAAGTGGAAATAAAAGTAATTGTGTTTTTTTTTTCTTTAATCATAAAACTGTCTTTTCAAAGGCCCAAGACTTGCCTTTTCGTAACCAGCCCAACCCGCATATTCTTGCTGTTTGACTGACAAAACACCAAACTTTTAAAGATAATTTGACAGTACGTACAATATTTCAAAATGCACTTTTTAAATTTAAAACTCTCGCATCCTTACCAAGGATGTGCAAGACCAACTGTGATTCTGCTGCAAAAAGGAAGCAGAAGTTCTTTTAGTTTATTTTTAAGCCAACATCGCTGAGTTTAAATGATCCCTTATGACACCTGAGCCACTTTACAATGTCTTCTGGGACTTCAATTCCCAGAATTCCCCACCCACATCTTAAAAAGTTGGGAAACACTGCCCTAGCAATTACAGGAGACAGGGTTCCCTGCTCTTAAGCCATAGGCAAGGAAGAAGAATGACACTTTATAGCAGGGCTTTTCAACCTTTTCACCCATTGTACCACTTTTAGGATAGGGCAATATCCGAGTACCACCAGTCGCCTAGCTAGGTGTCAAAAACTTGATGACACCCCCCGCAAAAAAGGAAAAAAGTGATAAAGTACAGGTAGACCTCGACTTACAACAGTTCGCTTAGTGACTGTTCAAAGTTACAATGGCACTGAAAAAAGTGCCCCCCAAGGCAAGCCAAGCAAGACACCTGCCTGCCCACCCAGCGGCGCTCTTCCTCCAGTCTGAGGTTTTCATTGTTGTGAGCATTTCTGTTGGGGATTGGCAGCGGGGGTGGGGTGGGGGGTGTTTGTTTTTTATTACCCCCGTCTGCTGGGTGGTTGCAGCAGGTTTTGGTCACTTCACATGACCCTGGGACGGTGTGACTGTCATAAATATGAATCAGTTGCCAAGCATCTGAATGTAAATCACAAGACCCTGGAGAGGCTGCAACATTCCAGCTGATCGGCGCTTCTTCTGGGCTCAGCAGAAGCACCAGGATCAGTGCCAAACTCCAGCTGGAGCCTGGCACTGATCCTGGCGCTTCCGCTGAGCCCTATCAGCCCTGCAGCTCCAGCCGTCTCTCGCTCAGGCTTGTGCGGTGCTGCCACCGGTTCAGCTCATTCCCCTCCCCCACTACTTTTCTAGGATAGTCACGTACACCTGCCAGGTGCCAATGTACCACTGGTTGAAAAGCCCTGCTTTATAGCACTGGCTGCAAAAAGGCTGGCTTCAGAATGGGTGAAATCAAATATTTCGGCCTTTGTTTTGCATTTTTAGCCCTTTGGTTGGGGTTATGAGGCAACACGGAAGACCAAGAAAAGACAGAATAACAGAGTTGGAAGGGACTGTGGAGGTCTTTTAGTCCAACCCCTTGCTCAGGTAGGAAACCCTATACCAGGGGTAGGCAACCTTCGCTCTTTTATGATTTGTGGACTTCAACTCCCAGAATTCCTGAGCCAGCATGGCTCAGCTGGGAAACCTCTCCCTTTCCCCTCAGTATGGCTGGCTCAGGAATTCTGGGAGTTGAAGTCCACGAGTCATAAAAGAGCCAAGGTTGCCTACCCCTGCCCTATACCATTTCAGACAAATAGTTGTCCAGTCTCTTCTTTAAAACTTCCACAACTTCTAGACCAGTGTTTCTCAACCTTGACAATTTTAAGGCATGTGGACTTCAACTCCCAGAATTCCACAGCCAGCATTGGAATTCTGTGGAATTCTGGGAGTTGAAGTCCACATGCCTTAAAATTGTCAAGGTTGAGAAACACTGGTCTAGAGGCAGGTTGTTCTACTGATTAATTGTTCTAACTGTCAGGAAATTTCTCCTTAGTTCTAGGTTGCTTCTCACTTTGATTACTTTCCATCCATTGCTTCTTGGCCTGCCTTCAGGTGCTTTGGAGAATAGCTTGACTCGCTCTTCTTTGTTATAGCCCCTTAGATATTGGAAAATCAATAAGCTCAAAGGCACAGTCAAGGAGAAGGAATGCTGAAATGGAATAGCATTTTTGAGAAGGCCATGGGTTAGAAGATAAAGAAAAGAAGATTAAAGATTTACCTCTCCAAGGATCACCAGACAGGCCCAGCTCACCTGTCACTTCTGCAGACTGTGATAGATGGTAACTTATGAATTCATTTCAGAAGCGTTTTCTTTATACCTAGATGAAAAAATAGGAATATAATTTCTAATCAGTGGCACATTTTGTTATATGCTAGCCACGCACCCACACATGCTCATACACACAGACATTAGGTTCAGTTTATGATGGCCAAATCACAAACTTCATTCTAGCACTGATGATGTTACCTAGATTGGTAATGAAATGTCTGCAAGAAAACCACCAAGCTGAGACACTAAGAATCCCAAAGCACAAACTACTTTGTTATAATGCTTTGCCTGGTTAGAAAAGGGGCCAAATTACCCACACAAATAATTCAAACTCATTTAGAAGCACTGAAGATGGAGCTTGGCTGTTTGAAGAAGATTTAGCCAGTGTTTCTTAACCTCAGCAACTTTAAGAGCAGTGGACTTCAATTCCCAGAATTCTCCAGTCAGCCATGCTGGCTAGGGAATTCTGGGAGTTGAAGTCCACTGCTCTTAAAGTGGCTGAGGGTGAAATATTGGAACTGGTTACTGCTCAAATATCTTTCTCCTGGCTCTGACGCTTGATAAAAAGAAAACAAAAATTAAAAACCTGTATGACCTTTGTTTGGATCACATCCTGGAACACATCCCATCCGCTGGCTTAGAGAGCTCCCTACCCTGAACTCAAGGCCCCAAACATCTTTCAGATGACACAAACTTGCTCAATCCTTAAGCCTCAATTTTCCCTCACCCTGGATCCCTGGTTAATTCATTGTCACTGCCACTAATCCGGGGTGTGAGAAAAAAAGAACTTCCTTCATTTCACACATGTCAATGGGGTGACGTGTCTGTCCAAACCCAACATGGCTTCTTGTTCTTCCCTATGTGTAACAGGGTGATGCCAACTCACTATGCAAAGATTGGTTTGCCAATACATTTACCTCTGGGGCAAATTTGAACTTGGGAAGCATGTACAAGAGAAGGAGGACGATTAAAAACAAGCGCAATAAAACATTAAAGTGAATAGGTCAATATTGACAAAGGTGCCTATAATTTCTTTACAGGCAGTCTTTACTTGTGACCTTTCAAAGTTACAATGACACTAAAAGGTGACTTATGACCATTTTTCACAGTTATGATCATGGTAGCCTCCCCATGGCCACATGATCAAAATTCAGACATTTGGGAAGTTGCTCACAGTTATGACCGTTGCAGTGTCCTGGGTTCATGTGATCACCTTTTGCGGCCTTCTGATAAGCAAAGTCAATGGGACAACCAGATTCATTTAACAACTGTGTCACTAATTTAACAACTGCAGTGATTCACTTAACCACTGTGGCAATAAAGGTCGCAAAATGGGGCAAAATTCATTTAATAAACATTTCACTTGGCAACAAAAATGTAGGGCTCCATTGTGGTCGTTAAGTCAAGGACTATCTGTAGTAGCCTCCATTTCTAAGGAAAGACACAGCAGGAAAGCCCCCCTAGGCCCCCCAAACCATTAAGCATGCATAGGTTCCATAACCCATAAACCTCAACCAAAATGGTTCCTAAAGGGCAGCCGGGTTGGGAAAGGCTGGTGCAGTTACCTCAGCTTGGAAAGGCAGTAGCTTATTCACACAAACCTGGAGTCATAATGTTTGCATACCGGTTTATTGAACAAACCATCATTATGTAGCTTCACAGAGAGAATAGATTAATGCCCCACACAAAACTGCAAGCAAACTAACCACTTTTTGTTTGTGCTGGAATAGTTGTTGGGAGTGGGCTGTTGGGGGGAGTAGACTTATGTAGTTCAGTGTGGGGGGCATTAATCCCTGTGGATCTACATAACAGTGATTTGTTCAATAAACCAGGATGTAAAAATTATGCCCGGGTTTGTGTGAATAAACCCCTGCCTTTCCAAGCTGGGAGTTGAAGTTCACACATGTAAAAGTTGTGGAGTTTAAGAAACTCTGAAGTAGTTTCTAAATGGAAACTACAGGTGATCCTTGACTTACGACCACAATTGACCCCAACATTTCTGTTGTTAAATGAAACATTTGTTAAGTGAGTTTTGACCCATTTTTTACAACTTTTCTTGCCACGGTGTTAAATGAAACACTGAAATTGTTCAGTTAGTAATAGGATTGTTAAATTGTAAATACGAGCCAGTTGCCAAGTGTCTGAATTTCGATCAAGTGACTGCCGGGATGCTGCAACAGTCCTAAGTGTGAAAAATGGTCATAAGTCACTTTTTTCAGTGCCATTTTAAGTTCAAACGGTCACTAAACAAACTATGGTAAGCCAAGGACTATCTGTAGAATAAAACACCTTTGAGCCCTTTGAAAAAAAAAAAAAAAGAGGTTCAAAACTCTTCTCTCATCTGCAGAAAATCTTGGGAAAAAGTGGAAATAATTGTCTTGGGCAACTTTCTCCCTCAATGCTGCGCCTTCCTCAACCAGTGCAAAGGCAGAGTTCACTCATTTTTCCTCAGCCACACCAAGATGTAGGAGGGAGATTATGCTCGGGGGAAACCTGATTCACATCCCCACCGCCTAGCTCGAGCAAACTGTTGTAAATCGAGGATTACCTGTACAATAAAAACGCCTTTGATCCCTTTGAAGAAGAAGAAGAAAAAAAGAGGCTCAAAACTCTTCTCTCATCTGCAAGAAATCTTGGGGAGGGGGAGTGGAAATAATTGACCCGACAACCCAAACAAGCGCTTCGGGAATGACTCAGCACGCTGGGGGAAAACGTGTTTCACATCCCCACGGCCTAGCTCGAGGCGTGACACGGGTGCTTAGCGATGCCGCCAACCGGCAAAACGATGAGGGGGTTGTTGTTTTTCTCCTCCTCCTCCTCCCTCCCTCCGCCCAGGACAGCTGATGATGTTTGTGCGCTCTTGGCTCTAACCAGGAAGCGGCGGCGGCAGCGGCGTCTCTAAACCGAAGTGCCAGCCGAGCCTCGCGGGCTCGTCCTTTGCGCCCTCTCACCCTTCCTCCTCAGCCCCCGGAGAAGCTCCGGACTCGGACGCCGGAGACAGACCCGCGCCCCCTCTTCTTCCTCCCGGGCAAGCGAGCGAGCGAACTCCGTGCTCCGAACTCGCAAGGAGGGGAAAAGCGGAGAAGGAAGCGAGCGGCGGCCGAGGCGCCACCCCCGGTCATAGGGCGCTTATTGCCTTGCCGATAAACGGAATTGGGCCCTCCTCCTCCTCTTAGAGACAGCCGAGGGAGCCTCGCCCGAAGCCTCCGGATTAACCCGTTACGTTAAGGCGCAGGGAAAGGATTCGACGCTTTGATCCGGGATCCAGCGCGGGAACTTACTGTAATACAAGTAGAGTAGAGTAGTGTAATGTAGAATGTAGAGTAGAGTAGAATAGAATGTAGAGTAGAATACACTAGAACACAATATAGAATAGAACATGGAGTAGAGTAGAACAGAATGTAGAATAGAACTTAGAATAGAGTAGAGTAGAATAGAATAGAACATAGAATAGAGTAGAATAGAATAGAATATAGAGTAGAGTAGAATAGAATGTAGAGTAGAATACAATAGAACAGAATGTAGAATAGAATATAGAGTACAACAGAATGCAGAATAGAGTAGAATAGAATATATAGAGTAGAATAGAACGTAGAGTAGAATATAGAGTAGAATACAGTAGAACAGAATGTAGAATAGAGTAGAACAGAATATAGAGTAGAATAGAATGTAGAATATAGAGTAGAATACAGTAGAACAGAATGTAGAATAGAATATAGAATAGAGTAGAACAGAATATAGAGTAGAATAGAATGTAGAATATAGAGTAGAATACAGTAGAATAGAATATAGAATAGAGTAGAATAGAATATAGAGTAGAGTAGAGTAGAATAGAACAGTAGAGTAGAACAGAATGTAGAATAGAATAGAATAGAATAGAATAGAATAGAAGAATAGAATAGAATAATAACTTTATTGTCACTTTAAATGTACATTAATCAGCATACATTAAAATGGGATTTTGTTGCAGACAGCTCTCAAAAGGTCAACCACCTCCAATATATACTGCAAAGGTAGTTCTCGACTTACAACAAGTTCACTTAGTGACCTTCGAAGTTACAAAGGCACTGAAAAAAGTGAATTATGACCGATTTGAAATTGTGTTTATTTATTTGATCAATGACCAGCAACATCAAACAATCAAAACGAGCAATAAAAACAGGAAATACAACCCGGGTCAAAAAAAAAAACACCCCACCACAACAACACTCCAACAAAATCAATACAATAAAAGTATACAAGCAAATAGACAGTCTCTAAAAATTATTGGAAAATAACTAAGCAAAGTATTAATACGAATCAGGATCTTTAGTTTCTTAGCTGGGTTTTTTTTTCCCTTATCAGATTGTTTAGTGACATTTGAAGTTACAATGGCAGTGAAAAAAGTGACTTATCACTGTTTTTCACACATACAACCATTGCAGGATCCCCATGGTCAAAATTCAGACGTTTGGCAACTGACTCATGATGGTTGCAGTGTCCCTCCAGGACATGTGATCCCCTTTTGCGGACTTTCTGACAAGCAAAGTCAATGGGGAAGCCATTGTGACTCACTTAAAAGCCATGTGACTCACTTAACAACTGTGGCCAGACCATAAAATGGGTCAAAACATGCTTAAAAAATATCTCACTTAGCAACAGAAATTTTGGGCTCAGTTGGGGCCATAGGACTATCTGTAGAGCAGTGGTTCTCAACCTGTGGGTCAGGACCCCATTTGGAGTCGAACGACTATTTCACGGGGGTCGCCAAACAACGCAGTCTGCAATCTTTTTCCCCCTTTTCCTTAGCTGTGCTACTCCCTTTTATTCTGTTGGCTTTTGAAAGCCAATAGAATAGACTCTCTTGACTAGAGTCTAATTCTATTGGCTTTCAAAAGCCAATAGGAATTTTCCAGGTTGTCTCTGCCCTGCTGAGCCTGCCAAAAGTCCCATTCTGCAAACAGTGCTGCACCAGTTGAGTAGTCCTCAACTTACGACCGGTTGAGTAGTCCTCGACTTATGACCGGTTGGGGGTCGCGGCATTAAAAAGGTTGAGAACCACTGCTGTAGAGGCTTCTGCTCTGAATGTAACCCACCCACTTCAATTGTGATGTATCTGAATGGTGATATCAAAAATGAGGGGTCCTTGCTGCTCTCTGAGCTTGCTTGCTTTCTTGCAGAAGTTTCATTACCTAAACTAGGTAACATCATCAGTTAGGGTTAGGATTGGGGTTAGGGGTTGGGGTTAGGGTTAAGGTTTAGGGTTAGGGTTAGGGGGTTAGGGGGTTAGGGGGTTAGGGGGTTAGGGTTGGGGTTTAGGGTTAGGGTTAGGGGGTTAGGGTTGGGGTTAGGGTTAGGGGTTAGGGTTAGGGTATTGGTGGCAAACCTATGGTATGAGTGCCAGAGGCGGCACTCAGAGCCCTCTCTGTGGGCACGCATGTCGTTGCCCCAGTCCTAGGCCTTCAGCTGGGTTTTATAAAACCTTTTCGCTTTAGGCCTCCACCGCCATGTGCAAAAAGAAAAAAAAAAGGTTCAATCAGTCAATTTCAACTTCTCGCAGAAAAAAAAAGTTCTTGCAAAGTTGGAATTGATTGATTGAACTTTTTAATCCCACCCAGTTTGCCATTACCACCGCAGCCTTGGCCACCCAATTGGCCACGCCCACCCAATGGGCCACACCCACCCAATGGGCCACACCTACCCGGCACTCGACGATGCATAAGTGGGTTTTGGGTTGCAGTTTGGGCACTCAGTCTCTAAAAGGTTTGCCAACACTGGGTTAGGGGGTTAGGGTTAGGATTAGGGGGTTAGAGTTAGGGGGTTAAGGTTAGGGGTTGAGGGTTAAGGGTTAGGATTAGGGCTATGGTTAGGGTCAGAGAGCACCAAAACCCCCTCATTTCAATCCTGAGCTACAAATAAGGATAGTCCTCAATTTATGACCATAATTGAGACCAAAATTTTTGTTGTTAAGTGAGACATTTATTGTGTTTTGCCCCATTTTACCACCTTTCTTGCCCCGGTTGTTAAGTGAATCCCTGCAGTTGTTAAATTAGTAAGACGGTTGTTAAGTGAATCTGGCTTCCCCATTGAGTTTGCTTGTCACAAGGTCACAAAAAAGGGATCACGTGATCCCGGGACACTGCAACCGTCATAAATATGAGTCAGCTGCCGAGCATCTTAATTGGGATCACGTGGCCTTGGGGATGCTGCAATAGTTTTAAGTGTGAAAAACAGTCCTAAGTCACTATTTTCAGTGCGGTTGTAACTTTGAACGGACACCAAATGAACTGTTGTAAGTCAAGGACTCTCTGTGGAGGCTTCCTCTGTGATGTAAGCCACCCAGTTAAATTGTGATGTAATATCAAAAGTAGCATCCAGCTCACTGAAGCCGGCGACTTGGTGCTTAAAGGCATCAAGTTAGAAACCAGGAAACTCTTAATTCTAATGTCTATGGCAGTGATGGCGAACCTTTTAGAGACCGAGTGCCCAAACTGCAACCCAAAACCCACTTATGCTTCGTCGGGTACCGGGTGGGTGTGGCCCATTGGCTGGGTGTGGCCCATTGGGTGGGCGTGACTGCGGTGGTAACAGCAGACTGGGTGGGACTAAAAAGTTCAATCAATCAATTCCAACTTTGCAAGATCTTTTTTTTTTCCTGCAAGAAGTTAAAATTGACTGATTGATTGAACCTTTTTTCTTTTTTTTTTTTGCACAGGGCGGTGGAGGCCTAAAGTGAAAAGGTTTTATAAAACCCAGCTGAAGGCCTAGGACTGGGGCGACGGCACATGTGCCCACAGAGAGGGCTCTGAGTGCCGCCTCTGGCACCCGTGACATAGGCTCGCCACCACTGGTCTATGGAGATTCTCAGCCATCCAGATCATGCTTGTCCCAAATATGCTTTTTTTCAAAAGGCATTTTTTTTCCTTGAAGAAGTTTCGCTTCTCATTCAAGAAGCTTCTTCAGTTCTGAACGGAAAGAGTTTCTTCGATGTGAAGCGAAATGTCTTCAAGGGGAAAAAAAAAAACAAGAAAATCCGGTTGCTTTTTGAAAAAAAAAAAGTATCCATGGGTCTTAATTCTAATCTTGCTGTAGATACCAAAACTGGTTAGCTGACCTTGGGCCATTCTCTCTTTCTTTCTAAGCCCAGCCCACCTCACAGGGTAGTTGTTGTGGGGGAAATAGGAGGAAGAACGAGTACAGGTAATCCCCAACTTAGAACCATTTGTTTAATGACTGCTCAAAATTAAAATAGCACTGGGGAGAAAGAAAAAAGGTGGCTTATGACCAGTTTTTCACACTTAACGACCCTTGCAGCATTCCCCATGGTCACATGATCCAAATTCACTTGCTTGGCAACTGGTATGTATTTATGATGGTTGCAGTGTCCTAGGATCATGTGTTCACCTTGTCAACGCTGCTAACATTGGATGTTTTGCATTGACAACAGATGGAAATGTAGCCATCTTTTTCCCTTTTAGAATTAAATGATGCTGGGAGGGGCAGGATGTGAAGGAGAGTCTAGCTAGACATAACAACACTAGACCTAGTGTGAGAATCAAGGTTATTGAGCCGGGAGCTGATAAAGAATTGGTGGGGCTGGAGAACTGGAGAGGACGCCCGTGCTTCTAGCTAATTGGGGAATGTGATTTATGACTCTTAATTGGAGGAAGAAATTGTGCTTTAATACTATGTGCCCAGGGGAGAGGAATTCAGTTTTTGGCTTCGATTAGGCAGTGCCGATGTTACGCTACTCGAATAAAAGATTCTTTAAGGTAAACAATGCCTCGAAGTTCTTTTGAAGAGTTTCACCTGTCGGAACCACGACAGACCTTTTGCGACCTTCTGACTAGCAAAGTCACTGGGGAAGCCAAATTCACTTAGCAAGCATGGTATTCTCTTAACAACTGCAGTGATTCACTTGACAACAGTGGCAAACAAGGTCATAAAATGGGGCAAAACCTCCCTTAACCGTTTTGCTTAGCAACGGAAGTTTTGGCCTCAGTTGTGGGTATAAGCTGAAGACTGTATTAGATATGTTCACCACTTTTGAGTCATTAGATATGTTTGTCACCTAGAGCAATTTATAAAAATAATAAAGGTGGGATGGAAATAAACACATGAAGTAATATGGTGGCTTAAGTTAGTGGCCTGATTCACTCACAATGCCCAGTTGCAGTCTATCAACTCTTTTTATCCAAGTTTAATGTTTCCTATAAATCCACAAAACTGCAGTTATCTCTACGTCATCTGCAGCTCATAATAATAATAAAGTTGGGACCTTGGAGGTCATCTAGTCCACCCCCTGCTCAGGCAGGAAACATTATACCATTTTGGACAAATGGCTGTCCAGTCTCTTCTTCAAAATTTCCAGTGTTGGAACATTCACCGCTTCTGGAGGCAGGTTGTTCCATTGGTTAATTGTTCTAACTGTCAGGAAGTTTCTCCTTAGTTCTAGGTTGCTTCTCTCCTTGATTAGTTTCCATCCATTGCTTCTTGTGCTGCAGCACACTGCTGGCTCATATCTAAGTGATTGTCCACTAGGACTCCGAGGTCCCTCTCACAGTTACTACTATTGAGCAAGGTACCCCCTATACTATACCTGTACATTTGGTTTTTCTTGCCTAAATGTAGAACCTTACTTTTTTCACCATTGAATTTCATTTTGTTAGCTAGTGCCCATATATCCTGTCTTTTTTTTTTTTTTACTTTCTTTCTTTCTTTGCTGGGATTCTCTTTGTATCTTCAGTCTGAAATCCTTAGCTGTAGTAGTTTGTAGTATTTTTCTCCTTTTTTCAACACCATCCAAGACAACCATATCATGGCATCTCAATATTTTTTCCAAAGCCTTCATGGCTGTTAATGTCCAGCATATTTCGGGACTGACTGTTTCTTTATAATTGATCATGGATCTTATCTGTGAGACTTTGATTGCTAGGGAGGACAGGGACTTGGCTAAAGGCAGAGATATACAGTAGGCAATAAGGACCACATTCCAAGGCCATTCATTTTTCCCACTCAAAATGGGTGGAAAGCATTTTGACCTAGCATTGGGGAAAATTCCGTAATAAAGTCCAACATTTATTGATTTATATTTTTTTCCCAGGTACATTTGGATCCTACCTTTTCATCAGGACCTCAAAATGTGAAGACTTGCTAGTCCTGGAAATACAGTAGCTAATAATATGTTCACAGCATTGATTTTAGATTACAGCAGATAGCTGTATAAGCTTCCTACCTTCCATAGATTGTTTTTAGTATCTCCTTTATCTCTTAAACCAGTGGTCTTCAAACTTGGCCCTTTTATGATTTGTGGACTTCAACTCCCAGAATTCCTCAGCCAACATGCCTGGCTAAGGAATTCTGAGAGTCGAAGTCCACAAGTCATAAAAGGGCCAAGTTTGAAGATCCCTGTTTTAAACTTTTGTGATCCTTCTTGGAATCCAAGGTACCCTCTTTCTTTTTTCCTACTCCTTGATCAATACCACAATACACCAAAGCAGCTTCATTTAAACATGAAATTAACCATCCTAACACCTAACTTCCTAGGCACTGGAGCAATTTACGATTATGAACATTTTTTTTCTTTTATAGTAAGCAAGGTTTACATTATATGGTTCATATGTCACTCAACAATTGAAGCTTTCCCTTTTGTGGAGAGCTTCTCCTGAGAGATGAGCTTTACCTATGGAATTTCTACCTATCTAAAACAAAGCTTCTTCTGCAACCCTCTCTACTGCATTTGAATATGGCTCTATAACGCCCCCTTCAGTGTCTGATCAATTGGCCCCATGCTGGGAGTCTAAATATGCTAGAAATATCCTATTCTTCTTAAATACACATGTTTAATCCTGTGGGCATAAGAGCTTGACCAGTTAAGAAGAGAACCACCCCTAGAATCTTTTTCTGGTTAGATGTGTAAAAGTGGATGACTAGCAAGAATACTAGTAGATTGGGCAGAGCAACTATCAATCACTGCTAAAAGATTAGCTGGTTTTTTTAGCTGAATCCAAAAATCCATTGTGAAAGTAATTGCACTCAGAAATAACAAAGACAGCCAGCCTGCAAACATTTAATCAAGAATCCGTGATGCTTCCTGTTTCTGAACACAACACTCTCCGTAAGGACTTTTGCATCCATTCAGAAGCATCAGATTCTCTTCAATCAGGTAATAAATTAGATGGACTTTTTCTGGTTGTGTTTTAAACGTTCTGCTGTTTCCCATTCATGTTCCTATTTTTCTCCCTGTTTTTTTTTTAATATTTAAACATATGGGATAGTCTCATTTTCATAGGCAGTTTTTTTTTAATTAAAAAAATCACTTTTCTTACCCACGGGGTTACGAGTAAGAAAATTCCCTCAGATATTCTACAGTAATTTGAAGCAGTGGATGAATCAGAAAATCAGAAATACTTTTTTTCTCCTAGGCTGGTCCAAATGGAGGGATCTTTGGAAGACTTTGAGGTGATTTGCTGGTTATGTCAAAACACAAGTTGGCAGACTCTTCCTGCTTATGAAATAATACCTCATTAGAAGTTTGAGTCAAGTTTGGCCCCTGGCAGCTTAGAGTGATGTAATTTTCTTGGCATCATAGAGAAGTAGTTTGGCATGTCTTTATGGACTTTTTTAAATTTTTTATTATTTTGGAGAACGTCATGGTAACAGAGTATCTGCCCAGTGAATTTGAGCGATACAGATTGAGGCTACTAAACTTAGTTAAAACTTTATAAATTCAGCAATATAAGCTGAACTGTGGATGCCATATGCCTATTATCCTTTGTTTCAAATTCTCCAACTTGATTCATTTTGGTCACCACGATGTAAAAAAGATGGTGAGACTCTAGAAAAAGAGTGCAGAGAAGAGTAACAAAAAATGATCAGGGAACTGGAGGCTGAGAAACATAAAGAATGGTTACTGGAATTGGGTATGTCTAGTTTAATAAAGAGAAGGAAGAGGGGTGACATGATAGCAGTGTTCCAATATCTCAGCAGTTGCCACAAAGAAGAGGGAGTCAAGCTATTCTCCAAAGCACTTGAGGGCAGGACAAGAAGCAATAAATGGAGACTAATCAAAGAGAGAAGCAACCTAGAACTAAGGATAAATTTCCTGACACAATTAATCAGTGGAACAACTTGTCTCCAGAAGTTGTGAATGCGCCAATATTGGAAGATTATAAGAAGAGATTGGATAACCATTTGTCTGAAATGGTATAGGGTTTTCTGCCTAAGCAGGGGGTTGGAGTAGAAGACCTTCAAGACCTCGCTTCCATCTCTGTTATTCTATTCTATTCTATTCTATTCTATTCTATTCTATTCTATTCTATTCTATTCTATTCTATTCTATTCTATTCTATTCTTACACTTTTAATCAACAACTGAGTATCATGAATCAACTATTTAGTAGTCATACCTGTGTTTCTCAACTTTGGCAACTTTTAAGAAGTTTGGGCTTCTACTCCCAGGATTCCCTAGCCAGTATGCTGGCTGGAGAATTCTGGGAGTTGAAGTCCACAGATCCTGAAGCTGCCTAGGTTAAGAAACACTGGATTATACAGTTCAGACAATTCTTAACTTTTTTTGTTGTAGCAGAGCCTAGAATATACCGTAAGGTTCTGGAGTTACTTAGATTCCTTTTATGGCAATAAAAGTGCCATTTAACAGTAAGCATGACCCTGGTTAGCTTTTCCAAATGCAGAGAAAGTCATCCAGGAAATACCCCACAATGGGGCAGATAGATGCCTGTTTCTTAAGAAGTTAGTGAGGAGAGATTCACTGTAGTGTTGTTTGCCTGACTTCTCATGTGTACAGATTAGATGCCTTTATCAGATGCAGAGCAGGTAGATATTAAAAGGGTGTAGCTTTGGTGAAAGTTGGGGGTGAGAAGCAGGACCAGAGAATAATATTAATTAGGTTTAATTTTAATCACAACATACATGAAATCATCCTGGCCTGAACCACTACCACTCAAAGAATTTGTGCGCCCCTTGTCCTGGAAGTGGAGCCCTCCTCATGTGATCTAGAACCTCAACCAACATATTACTATTTCTGCCTTTTCAATGGTTTTCACTTGAGTTGTGTCTGCACAGTCCAACTGAGTTCACCTGCACAAAAATCCAGCTGCAAAGAAATCATATCTGCATATGGAAATGAGGGCTCTTTCTCCGGTCTCTTTGCTTTTTCAAACAGATAAAAATATTTTTCAGTGCTAATTTGCATTAAGTGGCAATCCAAGGGGGGAAATACAGTTATTATTGTTATTAGTGAGAAATAAAGATAATATTATTTCAGGTAACCCTTGACTTAACAACCACAACTGGAACCAGAATTTCCATTGCTAAACAAAGCGATTGCGAAGTGAGTCATAGTTAATTTTACAACTTTTTTTTTTTTTTGGCCACGGTTAAGTGAATCATTGCAGTTGTTAAATGAACCATGAACTCCTTAAGCAAGTCCGGCTTCCTCTATTGATTTTGCATATCAGAAGCCGGTCGGGAAGGTCACGAATGGAGATCACATGACCCTGGGATGCTGCAACGATCATAAATAAATGCTACTTGCTAAAAAAACAAATTTGTGTCATGTGACCGCAAGGATGTTGCGTTGGTTTTAAGTGCAAGCACCAGTCGTAAGTCACATTTTTCAATGCGTTGTTGCAACTTTGAATGGTTACTGAATGGTTGCAAGTTGAGAGCTGCCTCCATTTTTGCTAACATTAGCATTTATATTGCCTTTTAGCTGACAACTCAAAGCATACACGGAACAGTCCTTCTCTCCTCTCCCCTTGTTTTATCCCCACCACAACAACCCCAAAATCACCCAAGGAAGTCACTTGAACCCGGGTCTCTCCATGCAAATCCAGGACCTGTGCCAGTAGGCTACCTTCAAGCCTTTCAGCAGCTTGATCCAGAGTTTTGGTAGGGCACATCCAGTGAAGCATCAGGAGGGATGTCCAAGTTGGGAGCCTCTGTGACTGAGGGCTCACTTTGTCTGTAAGAGGAGGGTATTTCTAAAATGCAGGCCTTTAGATCAGCATAAGCCTGGGGCAACGTCCCCAGGTTGACCCAACGGTCGTGGGCAGGGTTGTAGCAGTGAATGAGATGCGTGTCTCGATAGGTGTTATGGCTGTAGCCTCCAAGAATGTAGAGCTCTCCGTTCAAGATGGCAGAGGCAGCGATGACGTGAGCTTGGGGAAGTGGGCGCAAGGTGACCCACAGGTCTTGATCTGGACTGTACCTCTCACAAGCCAGTTGGTCAGCGTAGCCCCCGTGCCCGTCCCGCCATCGTAGACCGCCAGCCACATAGATCCGACCATTCAGCACCTCCATGATGTGCCCAGCACGCTCTTCCTGCATGGAGGCCAGAAGGAGAGGTGGACCATCTGGGCGATAGCGAATCAGGGAGGATTGACAGCGGCACGAGCCGTCGCTGCCTCCCGTGATGTAGATCCATCCATCCAAGACACAAGCTGCATGGCCACAGACTGGGGTTGGCAAGGGTGCACAGGGCCTGAAATAAAATAAAGGTGGGAATAAATAAAGGGGAATTAAAGGTAAAGTAAAGGTTTCCCTATCAAGTCGTGTCGGACTCAAGAGTGCGCTGCTCTTCTCCGCTTCTTAGCTGAGGAAGCCAGTGTTGTCCAGAGACATTTTCTGTGGCCAGCATGACTATATACCAGTGGTTCTCAACCTTTCTAATGCCGTGACCCCATAATACAGTTCCCCATGTTATGGTGACCCCCAACCACTTATACATCACTGGGTGCAGGGGCGTGGCCAAAGAAAAGGGGGAAAAAATGGCGGACAGCCTTGTTTGGTGACCCCCGTGAAATGGTCGTTCGACCCCAAATGGGGTCCCGACCCACAGGTTGAGAACCACTGCTATATACCAAAGATGCATAGAACACTGTTACCTTCCCACCAAAGCTGCTCCTATTAATCTTTTTCTTTTAATAATTTTTTATTTTTCCAAACTCTCCCCCATACATATACCATGATATTTATCAGATGTTAACGTACATTCTTTTAACATTCATATATAAGATACTTTTAATAAAATGAAATAAATACATACACATGACTTTTGGTGTTACTCGCCCATATCCCCTTTCACTGTATCCATACTCCTTCTTCTCTACCTTCTTTCTCCCTTTCTTCTCTTCCCTACTTCCCTCTTCTTCCTCTCCTCTTCTCTTTCCTTCACCACTCTCCTTCCCTTTCTCCCCACTTCTCCTCTTCTCCTCCAACCTTCCTACTTCCTTCTCCCCTCCTTTACTCTTTTCTCTCTCCTCTCCTTTCTTCCCTCTCATCCCTCTTCAGATACAATTCAGGCGTAATGTCTGAACAACTTCTCTCTCCAAATTTCCCTATCTGTATTATATACAATAAGATTAATTTTCTCTTATATTAATACTTCTATTTATCTAACCTTCTCGGTATATACTTCTATAAATATTTATACAACCTCCAGTTATTCAATACTGTGCTGCCTGGGTCTCCCTCCTTATCTGCTCCTTCTTCTTCCATCTAAATTGATGTTAACTATCTTTTAACCGTATTATCTTTTCAGCCAATCATAAAAAGTTCCCCAGATTTCATAGTGGTCTGACTCTGTCTTATCTTTAATTGCCATTGTTAGTCTATTCATTTCTGCACATTCCAGTATTTTCCTAATCACCTCTCCCTCTGGGGGGGCTTTCAGAGCTTTCCAATTTTGTGCAAACACAATCCTGGCTGCCGTAATTACATGAATAATTAAATATGTTTTCTCTTTATTGTATTTCCCTGGTAGAATAGCTGCTCCTATTAATCTATTCGTGTTTGGATGCTTTCAAATTGTTAGGGGGGCAGGAGCTGGAGCAGGAACGGGAGCTCATCCCGTTGTGCATTGCTCGGGTCTTGAACCCAGGTTGTCAGCTTTCCAGCTGACAAGCTCAGGGTCTTAACTATTGAGCCATTGCACCCCTAAAGGAAAATTAGGGACGTGAAAATAATTGCTTTGCTGGAGCATAGAGTGAGATGTTTAGCTAGGTCATCGAAACCCGACAAATTATTTGTGAAAAACAGATATTTAGGTTGTCTTCTGAAATCCAGCCCCTTCAGATTTATAGGAAGCCCTCGACGTATGACCACAATTGAGCCCCAAATTTCCATGGCCAAGCAAAGCAGTTGTTAAGGGAGCTTTGCCCCATTTTATGACCTTTCCTGCAACAGTTGTTAAGTGAATCTGTGCAGTTAGTAACACAGGTGTAAAGTGAACCTGGATTCCCCCATTGACTTCGCTTGTCAGAAGGTTGCAGAAGGGGATCACGTGACCCCAGGACACTGCAACCGTCCTAAATACATGCCAGTTGCCAAGCGATGTCCAAATTTTGGTGACATGTCCACATAGGTGGTGCAACAGTCCTAAGTGTGAAAAAGGGTGATAAGTCACTTTTTTTCAGTGCTGCTGTACCTTCAAATGTGTAGGATAGTGATGGCGAACCTTTTAAAGACTGAGTGCCCAAACTACAACCCAAAACCCACTTATGTATCATCAGGTGGCAGGTAGGTGTGGCCCATTGGGTGGGCGTGGCTGCGGTGGAAACGGCAGACTGGGTGGGACTAAAAAGTTCAATCAATCAATTCCAACTTTGCAAGATCTTTTTTTTTTCCCGCGAGAAGTTGAAATTGACTGATTGATTGAACCTTTTTTTTTTTTTTACACACGGCGGCAGAGGCCTAAAACGAAAAGGTTTTATAAAACCCAGCTGAAGGCCTAGGACTGGGGCGATGGCGCACATGCCCACAAAGAGGGCTCTGAGTGCCGCCTCTGGCACCCGTGCCATAGGTTCGCCACCACTGGTGTAGGAAATGACCAGGCGGAGCCTGAGGGAGGGATCAAATGTGTCATTAGTCATGAATCCTTTGTCCCCACAAAAGATTTAAGTCCAGCTGACCATGAATTCCTCATTTAGTGCCAAATTGATTTAACTATTAGTAGTTCAGATTCTTGTAGAGAGCTTAAGCTTACAACAAATCTTTATGCTTATTGGAACTGCCTGGATCTCCTGATTTCCCTGGCGCGTGACAGAATGGTTATTAAATGAAAGATTTTAAGTTGAGGACTACCTATATCCTTTGCACTGCATGGTCTCCAGACCTGGACCTAGCACATCTGCTTAAGTCTCCATGAGCTCCTACCTCCATGTGTCACTCTGAGTTTCATAGCACTCCACAGAATCCAGGCAATAAACCTCATTGGAGCTCCCCCCTAGAGCGTAGAAGAAACCATGCAGGAAAACTGCAGGAAAATAGCTCCGGCAATTGGTCATGTCAGCTAGTCGCTCCCAACTCCCGCAAAGAGGATCAAACCTGTAAAAAAAGGAATAAGAATTCTCTATGGAAATAACGCCACAATGTAAAAAAAGATGTTGAGACTTTAGAACAGGGGTGTCAAACTCAATTTCATTGAGGGCCGCATAAGCATTGCGGTTGCCCTCGGGGGGCCAGGCGGGTGTGGCAGGATGTGGCTACTGGGTGGGTGCGGACGGAGAGGGTGTGGCCTATTGGATGGGCATGGCCAGCTCTACATTGTTCGCGTCAAGGGTGCCTGTGGGGGCCTGGGCAGGAATGGGACAGATCTGAGGGTCTCTGGCAGAAGGGGGTGGGACCAGGGCAAATGCCAAGGCATGGTCCACTGGAGGAGCCTCACTGCCTGCTGAAACCCCTCCGCCAGAGCCCATCAAGCTGGATAGGTGAAGGAGGCGAGGACCATTTGCTGGCCACTTCCAGGCGATAGTGCATTTCTTCATTCCTCACAAAGGGTGACACCTCCCCAGCATGCACCCAGGGGGCAGGGTTGACACAGCAGGGGCTGGTTGCTTGCTGTTTCCAGACAGCCTTGTGGAGCTAAGACTGAATGCATTTCAGCATAGATGGCCACCACAAAATTGTACATTGGCTCCCGGCCGGCCTGGGCCACGGCTAAGGGAGTGGGGGCCGTTCCCTCACTGTTTCCAGGATGGCTTCGCGGGCCACATGAAACCACTTCGTGGGCCGCATCTGGCCCCCGGGCCTTGTGTTTGACATGTTTGCTTTAGAAAGAGTGCAGAGAAGAGCAACAAAGATGATTAAGGGACTGGAGGCTAAAACATCTGAAGAAATGTTGCTGGAATTGGGTATGCCTAGTCTAATGAAAAGAAGGAATAGGGGTGACATGATGGCTATGTTCCAATATCTAAGGGGTTACCACAAAGAAGAGGGGGTCAAGGTATTCTCCAAAGCGCCTGAAGGCAGGACAAGAAGCAATGGATGTATGACAACTAATCAAGGAGAGAACCAACCTAGAACTAAGGAGGAAGTTAGAACAATTAGAACAGTTAATCAGTAGAACAACTTGATTCCAAAAGTTGTGGGTGCTACAACACTGGAGGTTTCTAAGATTGGACAACCATTAGACTGGAATGGTATACGGTTTCTACTTGAGCAGGGGGTTGAACTAGAAGACCTCCAAGGTCCCTTCCAACTCTGTTATTCTGTTAACTCTGTCTCTAAGTTGGTTATGAATGGGCCACTAGTCCTTATTCCTGGACAGTCCATGTGCCAGATATGTTCCTCCTGGTTAAGGAAGCCTAACTAGGGACATCCTGGTTCCTATTTCTCAGTTGCAGAGTCCATATGTAGAAAGTTTGGTTAATTAGTATTTGCAAGAGAACCGAGAAGCCACAATCCCTCCTGGACTTTCTTAAAACCTTCTGGGATTTATTAGGCTATGTTTTGATTTCCACAACATATTTAGCTGGATAATATGAAGGATAGACGTATTATGGAAACACAGAAAGCCAGTTATTTCAAAGATGGGGTCTCACACACACACCAAAGTAGCATTGGATAGATACTTGATGGTATAGTTATTTAACCAAATCAGACCAGATAGAACAAAATTAGATCAGTGGATTAATTCTTTCTTCTGGCTTTGGGATACACAGGCAGAAGGCCAGAGAACAATTCTGAAGTACTCCAGGGTGTCAGGAATAAGTCTCTTCCCTGTCCAACCCATTCTAGGTTTTCTGAGCACTGTGGATTTTACTCTATTTTTTTCTGAACTGTGTGTGGGGGGGGGGATCAGAAGTTGGCAGATGGCTAAGCTCCTGATGATAAGGATCCCAACTTCTCAGATAACATGCATGCATGCATGGATGGATGGATGGATGGATGGATGGATATAAATTGTTGCTAGTTCACCCAAAGGTGCTTTTTCAAAAGACAACTAGACTTTGTTTTTCCTTGAAGACATATTGCTTCTCATCCAAGAAGCTTCTTCAGTTCTAAAAGAAGCTTCTTGGATGAGAAGTGAAACATCTTCAAGGAAATACAAAGTCCAGTTGCCTTTTGAAAAAGCACCTTTGGGACAACCATGATCTGAATGACTGGGAATCTCCATAGACATGTTGCTAGTTCGGTGGCTTCATCATGAATCTTGGGGACATGGTAACCTATGATGAGAGCCCAACCAGTATTCCCAATCACTGGAGAATCATATAAAAATGTTTTAGCTGCCCCTCAGCTGTGGTTTCAGATACCTTAACCAGGAATGCTGGTTGTTTCCAGCATTCATTCATTTGAATGCTAGATCAATCACAGAATAAGCCATGGTGGTTAGAATGTAGTACTGCATGCTACTTCTGCTGACTGCCAGCTGCCAGCAGTTCAATAGTTCAATTCTTACCGGCTCAAGGTTGACTCAGCCTTCCATCCTTTCAAGGTCAGTAAAATGAGGACCCAGATTATTGGGAGGCAATATGCTGACTCTGTAAACCACCTAGAGAGGGCTGTAAAGCACTGTGAACCAGTATGTAAGTCTAAGTGCTATTGCTATTTCCTTCCCTCATAATCATGACCATTGGATGCTTCATTAAAACATTAAACCTGACATCTTCCCACTCTTACTCAAAAGTATTTTCACTGAATGGGACCACATCCGTACTCTCCTTCCTTCCCAATTCTTGTCTTCAAGCAGCAGGTCTTCCAGCTCACCTGAACACTGAACACATAGTATCCCTGACGCCATAAAAATGCTTCCCCCCAAAGAGGTACATCTTATTGTCTTTGACGACTACAGCATGTCGGAATCGTGGTTTCTCTGGAAGGTACCCAAGACGACGCCACTCCACTTGTTTGACCAAGCCGATGCCATTGAGGAAGCGGTGGGTGAACCAGAAATCTTGGCATGGGCTGCGAGTAGCCATATTTGTTGTCAAAGTATCTCCTCCGCTAATCACAATGACCTTCTCTGGATATCTCACCCGGCAAGGAAGTTGCTCCATCTTGGAAGGACCTGGTGGAATGCTAGCTAAGGATTGAACCATGAGATTGTAGAGGCGACCAGGATTAGCCATCATCTCTTCTTTCCGCACCTGCTTGAGCTCTTGAGTGGACATCAGTGGGAATCTGATGCATTGCAACACTTTCTCAGCACAGTTCATCCGCCCAGCCCAGTCAGCAGTCAACCAATGGACAGCTCCTTGGAAAGCTTCTAGTTCATAGAGGATGTAGAGTGAATCAGAACTAAGAAAGTCCACCAGCTGGTTTACAGGAAGATCTAGGAACTTTGCCGTTTTCATGACACAAGCAAAGTTGTTTAATATAAACTTCTCTGCAGTGCTTTCAAGATCATGTAGACTATAAGCACGGGCAAAAGACAGAACATCCAAGCAGGTTTCTGGAGTGAGCTTGTAGTGGAACAGATCCAGACAGAGGTCCAAGATGCCAGAGACTTGATATTGAAGAGCAGCTTGTGCAGCTTCAAATATATAATCCCATCCACCTCTCAGCACTCCTGTGTAAGCAAAGGAGATGATCAACCCCAGATCAGCGGCAGTGAATTGGGTGCAAAGAGGAACCTTGGTCTGTTGAGTTTCCTTCATGCCGCTGGTAAACATACCATGGAAGAATTCACAGCCACAAGCCAAGGCTAAGCGGTGAACTGAAAGTAGAGAAGATGATGTCAGGAAATTGAGGGACTGTATCTTTAACACAAGTCATAATGACCCTAACTCCAAGACAATTCCTACCCCAAATCTGGCTTTTTCCAGTTCTTCCCAACCTATTGAGGCCTTGCACTCTATTTTTTTTTATTATTTTTTTTGCTTTTCTACCAACTCTACCTTATTCACCTCAGAATAACAGAATTGGAAGAGACATTGAAAGCCGTCTAGTCCAGTGTTTCCCAAACTTGACAATTTTAAGGCATGTGGACTTCAACTCCCAGAATTCCACAGCCAGCATTGGACTGGTCTAGTCCAATCTCCTGCTTAAGCAGGAAACCCTATACCATTTCAGACAAATTGTTGTCTAATCTCCTCTTAAAAACCTCCAGCGTTGGAGTACCCACAACTTCTGGAAGCAAGTTGTTCTACTGCTTAATTGTTCCGTCAGGAAATTTCTCCTTAATTCTAGGTTGGTTATCTCCTTGATTAGTTTCCATCCATTTCCACTTTGGAAAATAGGTTGACACCACCACCACCACCTTTTTTGTGGCAGCCCCTTAGATATTGGAATATTGCTATCATGTCACCCCTACTCCTTCTTTTCATTTAAACTAGACATACCCAATACCTCGAAATGTATCTCCTTCAGCTTTAAGTTCCATGTCCCAACCGATGCCTTCATTGTACAGCTCTTCAAGCCTCTGTAGTGTCTTCCATTTCTCTTCCACTGGACTTAGTCTATCTTCATTCTCTATTCCTATCAATACTACCTTGCATATTTCAGCCAAACGAGGGACACCTAGGGCCTCAGCTGCATCCAGGATGTCTCCGGCCACAATTGGGGTGGGCTCTAACACTCCTGTGTAGGCAAAATTCAAAATGGCCTCCCAGCCAGACGGTGTGGTCACACCATCCAGATTCATCCCTTCTTGCACCCCACATTCTAAACGTTGCAGAAAGACAGAACTGACTGCAGCCAGAAGGAGGCCATGGGCTTTATAGTCCTTTTGACCCAAAGTCACGGTTGTATCCACAAGCAGGTCCTGTCCCCTCAGCAGGAGAGCTGTAGTGAAAAATCTGTCTGCATGTCCCTCACTCCGCAATTCCAACTGTTGTTCTGAAGAAGTTTCCAGCATATCTGGAGGTCTGTCCATGCAGGTCATCCTTTTCTGAAAAGAAGATAGTTGTGAGGAAAAAAACAAACAAACTCAGAGCTGGATGATCCCTGTACTAGTGCAATATAACCAAAATAACCAAAATGATTCTTATCACTCTTTCTTCAAGAAACTACTTTAAATAATAATAACAATTGTCGATAAGAAAGACAAAAATGTCTGGATAGTGGACGTGGCAGTGCCTACAGACAGCAGAATAGACAAGAAAGAATTGGAGAAGATAACAAAATACAAAGACCTACAAATAGAAGTAGAAAGACTGTGGCAAAAGCAAACAAGGGTAGTACCAATAGTAATAGGTGCCTTGGGTGCAATCCCAAAACAACTGGAGCACCACTTGAACACCATTGGCATTGACAAATTCGCTATTAGTTAATTGCAAAAGGCGGCCTCACTAGGAACTGCTTCCATCCTGCGATGATATTTGTAATACCATCAAACATCCACATCTGCCTATCCCAGGTCCTGGGTAAGGACTCGATAGGTAGACAAAATGTCAAATCCAGTCTGAACATCTGGCTGACTGTGCAATGATCCATAATAATAATAATAATAAAGTTGGAAGGGACTTTGGAGGTCATCAAGTCCAACCCCCTGCTCAGGCAGGTAACCCTATACCATTTCGGACAAATGGTTGTCCAGTCTCTTCTTAAAAACTTCCAGTGTTGGAGCATTCACCGCTTCTGGAGGCAGATTGTTCCACTGGTTAATTGTTCTAACTGTCAGGAAGTTTCTCCTTAGTTCTAGGTTGTTTCTCTCCTTGATTAATTTCCACCCATTGCTTCTTGTCCTGCCTTCAGAGGCTTTGGAAAATAGTTTGACTCCCTCTTCTTTGTGGCAGCCCCTGAGATATTGGAACACTGCTATCATGTCCCCCCCTCAACCTTCTCTTCATTAAACTAGACATACCCAATTCCAGCAACTGTTTCTTATATGTTTTAGCCTCCAGTCCCCTAATCATCTTTGTTGCTCTTCTCTGTTCTCTTTCTAGAGTCTCAACATCTTTTTTACATCGCGGTGAAGAAAACTGGATCTCACCCTATTGTTTTTTTTTTTTAGTAACATTTCAGCTCATGAAACATTTGGGAGAATTGGAAAGTGTTCACATTGTCTTATTTTGGTTGATCTTAAATCATTATCATCCTCATCACATCATGATGTCATCGCTTTACAAATTGGAGATTTTTCCTCTCACAAACTGTGATGTCGTCTTAGAACCCAGTGAGAAAAATACCAACGAAAGCATGGAAGACAGTAAAATGAGAGAATATCTAAATACATACAAGTAATATTCGGCTTACAACTGAGCCCAACAATTCTATTGTTAAGCAAGACAGATGTGAATTTTGCCCCATTTTACGATCTTTCTTGCCACCGTTGTTAAGCAAATCCCTGTAGTTGTTAAGCTAGTAACACCGTTGTTAAGTGAACCTGGCTTCCCCATTGACTTTGCATCTCAGAAGGTCGCAAAAGGAGATCATGTGACTCTGGGACACTGTAGCCCTCACAGATAACGTCCAGTTGCCGAGCGCCCGAATTTTGATCACACGACAATGGGGATGCTGCAGTGGTCATAAGTACGAAAAACAGTCATAAGTCATTTTTTCAGCGCTGTTCTAACTTCAAACTGTCACTAAGTCGAGGTCTACCTGTACTGTCCTCAAGTCACAGCATACAAAGTAGTTGTGTATGAGACGAAGGTCACACTTTTTCACTGTGTAGGAAACATGAAATATTATGTAGTGGCTCCTAGAACTGAATGATGGTTGTTAGAAAATCTACAGATATGTAACGTGCCAGAATAGTCTGGTATGCTCTCTTCCTCCTCTTGTTTCCCCCCCCCCCAGTACTACCTAACCAATACATAATGGATATGAGCATACCTTTATTGTGGTTGCGGTTTTGTAATCTGAATCAGAGATTAATACTTTCTAATTATTAAACAATTAGAAATGAGGAGTTCCGCCCTAATTTCTGGCAATAATTGTTTTGTTGGTGTTTCCACCCACTTAATGAATACTGTCTCATTTTGTTCTGAATGAGGGTTCACATCCACAGAAAACCTTCAGCCTTGTTTTGTTTTATAAGTCACAGTTAACTTTGCATAGCACACTAATCGCAAGAGCTATTGACAAACCACAGTGGTTGGGGTTCATGCAATGTATTGAGCCCAAACGTAGTGAGTCACACTATATTTCTCAGTCTTAGTGTGATATGTGATCTCAGGTAGTCTATGAACAGGCCCTGTCTCTTGTTTGGGATGTGCCTTCATATTCCCGAGGCTTATCATTTCAATCGGTTCTTCGAGAACATTCAGGTCTGAGCTGTAATTATGATTATGTCTGTCTGATACTCAAGTAAGAAACACGTGGACATGCAAATCCCACAGAAGACTCTTGCCACATGCACACATGACACATGACCCTTAAGCCTTTCGCCCTCCACCCTCCCACGTTGACAGAGCTCCTTTGTAACTCCCTGGGGGATCCCCAGCCCAAATCTCTCACCTGTGTCTGCTGGGACGGGGTCCTTCTTGGACCTTCGTGGTATCCGTAGCTATGGCATGACCTCTGTGGTATGCTGACCATCAGCTTTGATGCTAACTTGCAAAGTTAATTATAGCCAAGCACAAGATATTAAAAGAGGACAGGATGGGCAGACAGGACTGGCTGGTTATGTTTAGCTTTGATTTCCAGCCCGTGCATTAACCTAGCAATTGAAGTGTAATTTTTTCCCCAGATGCCATGAAGGAAATAAAGTTGTTTCATAATTGTCACAATCACAGTTATTAATTGGGACTCATAGTTACTGGACATTCTTATGCTGAAAAAGTAAAATACTCCTAACAACAATGCCTCAGGTTTATACTGAATGTTTTGCATAGTCATTTCTATTGCCCATTCCCAGACCATACGCCAATACACCTGTGATTTTCTACATGTCCACCAAACATGAAAAAAGTGCCCCTTTCTTTTTCACATTTCCAACACATAGATGAATATCCGTTATACATTTTTGCTAATCTGGTTAGAGGAAGATGCCATCTGTAAACCATCTTATACAAATTCTCTTTATATGTTGACGCCAATGTGATTTTATTGTTTCGCATCCATACCTGCTGCCATTGATCCAAATTAATATTATGTCCTAGATCTATCGCCCATGTCACCATTGTTTCTTTGACCTGTTCTTCGAATAGTCTATACTCCAATAAGGGTTTATAAATATTCTTTATTTGTTTTTTCTCCAGGCCTAGCAATATTTTGTCTAGCCCCATATCTTGTCTATTAATACCCCATTCTTGCTTATCTTTCGTGTATCTTGCTTGAATCTGGAGATAAGACCAGCACTCTATGTCTATTCCTTGTTGTCTTAACTCTTGTTTTGATATTGAAAAAAATGTAAGTAAAGATGACACATATTTATTCATTCCCGTGGTTACAGCGGCAAGGATATTATTTGCTCAAAAATGGAAAGCTACGGCTGTACCGAGTGGGGAAACATTAATTCAGAAAATCATGTATTGCGCAGACAGGATAACTAAAAGATTAAAAAATCAGGATGAAACAGACTTTTATCAAATATGGAATATATTTTATAGATGGTAGGAAAAAAATGGAGGTCATTATAATGAGATAAGTTAAGATTGAGATTAGAATGATGTTACTGTAAAGACATTTATTTGTAATTAATGTAAATATGGACTGAGATGTCTGTCAAATGTTGATTTACCATGTTCAATGTTTTTAATTCCTTTTTTTAATTCAATAAAATTATTTAAAAGCAAAAGCAAAATAAATCCTTGTTCATTTAAAGTTAGCACAGACAAATCCTTTTCCTGACATATAGGTAGTCCTCGACTTACAACAGTTTGTTTAGTGACCAAACAACGGCACTGAACAACGGCACCTGTGACCATTGCAGCATCCCCATGGTCATGTGATTTCCATTCAAATGCTTGACAACTGGTTCCTATTTATGACGGTTGCGGTGTCCTGGGTTCAAGTGATCCCCTTTTGTGACCTTCTGACAAGCAAAGTCAATGAGAAAGCCAGATTCACTTAACGACGGTGTTACTAATTTAACAACTGTGGTGATTCGCCTCACATATGTGGCGAGAAAAGTCGTAAAATGGGACAAAACTCACTTCACAAAATTTTTCATTTAGCAGCATAAATCTCAGGGTGATTTGTGCTCATAAGTCAAGGACTACAGGTGCTGATTTTTCTCTCTTTCTCTTTTTTATCAATGTTGTTCCCCCCCCCCGTGTGTGTTTGTATGTGTGTGTGTGTGGTATATACAAACAGACAAAACAGACTACTCTGTTGTTTTGTGTCTAAAACTTTAGGTGGAAACTGTAAACCATTCCCCCCTCCTCCCCCACCCCCGAACATTTGACCTGAACTTGACGCTTTTCCGGAAAAAGTCAGAATAGTTCCTACCAAGGTGGGTGGGGAGTGGAATTCAGGGAAATTTTTTTTAATGAAATCTATCTTAAGTTGCCGGATGATCTAAATAAATTAATTACTTCAGAGACACCAGGGTTTAGTAATAAAAATACCAGGAAGTCCAGACGATTGTAATTTAATATGCGGAAGGATGATTGGGCAAATTGTTAAGCCAGATTGAAGTCCTCACCAAGCTACTTAGCTCCTCCTCCTTTCACAGGTATCCGTCAGGCCCTTACATCTGAATCTCTCTCCCCCCCCCCACTTCTTGAGCCCCCTTTCTCTTGCTTGTGGGTAGGGATCTTCCTCTTCAAGGTGATCCCTTTTTGCTTGGGTGATCCTTCTCCTGGACCAGAGGGTCATAACTGATCATCCAAAGCCTCCTCAGATGGGTTTCTACTCCACCTCTAAACCTTCTGTCAGCTCGAAGATGGGTGGACTTCAACTCCCAGAATGCTTCAGCCAGTATAAATTGAAGTTCATCCATCTTAAAGTTCCCTGATTTGTGAAGCAACGTTGTAGACCGATGTGTTTCATCACAATCTGCTTCCAGGTTCTTCTGATAATTTTATTACTTCATCAGTCCCATCCACTCTGTCTATTGCCTTTGTTCTACTTCCCTTAACCTTACCAAGCATAGTTTCCATAATAGCTCAACATCTTCTCCTATCACATGACCACAATAAGTGATCTGCTTACTGATCATAACCAGCAGTCAATTATTGCTTTGTGAACAACCAATTGGATAGTTGTTTTTGCAGTTCACAGTGCTCATAGCAACCATCTCCAGATCTTTATTTCAAAAGTCTCTCTCTTGCTCCCATTTCAAAGTCCAGCTTTCCACTTTCAATGGAAAAAAACCATATTCATTTAACAAATTTGATCTCTGCAGTCTTAAAAATCCTTTACAATTATAGCTTAATTTTTATTCTTCCCTAGAACTTATCTCTGCTTGTCTAGCCGCTGTCCATCTTCCTTCTTTCCTTCCTTCCTTCCTTCCTTCCTTCCTTCCTTCCTTCCTTCCTTCCTTCCTTCCTTCCTTCCCAAGAACCCAAACCTATTTTATACCTTTGCTTATTCACCATCTTTCTCTTTCTTTCTTTCTTTCTTTCTTTCTTTCTTTCTTTCTTTCTTTCTTTCTTTCTCTCTCTCTCTCTCTCTCTCTCTCTCTCTCTCTCTTTCTTTCTTTCTTTCTTTCTTTCTTCCCAAGAACCAAAATGTATTTTATAACCTTTGCTTCTTCACCATTTATAATAAGTTCACTAAACAGGATTGGCAACGTTATTTGTCTTCATAAATGTCAACATTCATCCACAGTTTTCATTTACTGTTTTTACTTTCATAACAAGTTCCCAATGGCATTAACTTTCTCTGTTTGAAAGGCAAGGCCACACATCTTTCCAGCAATGTTTTCTTTCAATTAAAAAGCTATTTTTCTTTCCCCTAAGAAGCAATTTCTGTCCAGCCAAAATGCAACTGTTTTTTGTATTATTTTTTTTTGAGTAGTCAATACAGGTAGTCCTTGACTTACAAGCACAACTGAGCCCAAAATTTCTATTGTGAAGTGAGACATTTGTTAAGTGAGTTTTGCCACATTTTATGTCCTTTCTTGCCAAAGTTGTTAAGTGAATCACTTCCCTTAGTCACGTGGTTGTTAAGCGAATCTGGTTTCCCCATTGACTATGCTTGTCAAAAGGGGATCACATGACCCCAGAACACTGCCACTGTCATAAATATGAATCAGTTGCCAAGCTTCTGGATTTTGATCACGTGACCCTGGGGATGCGGAAGTGTGAAAAATGCTCATACGTCACTAAGTGAACTGTTGTAGGTTGAGGACTATCTTTAGTCTGATTCAAACTAACTAAAGCAACATTTTTCCTACTGTCTAGCTTGTAGCCTCAGAACACTCCAAAGATCTTTTGGCAAATTATGATGTGAGTGAGTGAGATACGTGTGGACATGCCTTGTATGCATATCCTGTACTTGTGTCTGTATTTCTTAAGGTGACCAACCATCCTCCTTTAAGGAGGACAGTCCTCCTTTTGTAAGTTCTGTCCTCTCTCGAAAGATGTCCTCCTACATGTCCTCCTTTTTGATATTTGAAGACTAATCTGTAAATCTCCGTATTCGATCGATGCCGATCCATTGCATGTGATGTGATGTATTTGTATTTGACATGACGATTCGTCAAGGCGCGGTACAGTGTGGCGAGACGCGATTATGAGACGCATGCGCTCCGCGCAGGAGAATTGTTTTAAGAGAGCGCGCCGCGCGCAAGAGTGCACCGCACGCAAGTGGCTTTGTTTACTTCTTACCGAAACATGACACGGCACACACGCACGCATTAGACTCACTTTTTTTTCTTCAATTTATTTGTGTCCTCCTTCTCATTGTAAAAAAGTTGGTCACCTTAGTATTTCTAAATACTAAAACTGTTTCTATTTAGAGTTAAGAAAAGTCTGAAATCCCTGCTCATTATTTGCTGACGTTTCTCCAGAGGCAAACCTTTAATTTTCTCATGTTCCATGTCTACAGAGGTTCTCCGTCATCCAGGCCATGACACTCCCAAAGGTGCTTTTATTCATGAGGCAACTGGACTTTCTTTGTTTTTTCTTTGAAGACCTTTCGCTTCTCATCCATGAAGCTTCTTCAGCTCTGAAGCTGAAAAGTCAGAGCTGAAGAAGCTTCTTGGATGGAGACATGAAACAAAGAAAAGAAAAACAAAAAAGTCCAGTTGCCTCTTGAAAAGACCTCTTTGGGACGCTCATGTTCCATCTTCTTCAGTTCCACCAAGAGCTTCTTGTCATTAGTAGAAAGGTCTGCAATGCCTTCTGCTCTTCTGCATATCTTCTTTGGATAATGTCCAAACAATTATCTTTGACAATCTTTCCACCAGCCCAAATATTAATCCAATTTAGCTCATACTGGTTTCCTAAAACCAATAAGCCAATTTCAACAACCAGTTGCTATCTAAAGCTCCATGCCAACCTACTAGAGTCCTCTCTAATACAGATAGCCCTTGATTTGCAACCGTTCATTTAGTGCAGGGGTCCTCAAACGTGGCCACTTTCAGACTTGAGGACTTCAACTCCCAGAATTCCCCAGCCAGCCATGCTGGCTGGGGAATTCTGGGAGTGGAAGTCCACAAGTCTGAAAGTGGCCAAGTTTGAGGACCCCTGATTTAGTGACTCTTCAAAGTTACAACGACACTGAAAAGTAGGTGATCTATGA